TGGGGTCCTCGTTTATCATCACCGACATCTGTTTACATTGCCCTATTGCCCAGGCCTAGTTTTGCTAAACATGATTAGCGTGAAAACCTTGAAAATGTCATGAAATAATTTCGAGGCAGCCACTCAGGCCTAAGAGAATAGACACTTGTTTAACTGTGGAGAATTTTTCACGGCTTTTGGGTCTCACACGATGTCACAGGCTTTGTCTCTGTACAGAGGCATGTAGGAACACAGGCCTCTGCACAGGATCAGGGTTGAGCTTTATCACTTCTCTCATGTTTCCTCTGTGGGGCGAGTCTGTCCCATGGGTGCATATTTTTATACTGTGATGTAATTAGTGCTTCTTGTGTTGTGACCATCCTTATTCACCCATGCAATTCTGAGTTCACTTAGAACTATTTTACTTGTTTGTATGTGTTGCACACATTCATTTGTGCCACTTTTGACATTCAGTAGCTTGTTTTCAACAAGTGAAAACCCACTGGAATGTAATCGTGCATTAAGTTTTGTTGTTTTTTTTTGTTTTTTTTTAAATGTTTGATATGAAGTGGACAGTATTTTGTGCGCTGTGAGGACAGTGTTTACCATTGAACGTCAGCAATAAGATAAAGCGTAAAAAAAAACAACACTACTGCAAAGTATTGAGGCTTGCTGACTTAATGCACAGAGCTTGTGGAATTGTTACTTCTCATCTAAAACACCCACACTTAACTTCCTTTTTTAGAGGCTTGAAGTTAAAGGGGGTAAATCGTGCTGTCAAACAGCCTTGATCATTTGCCTAGCCCACTAAACTTTCAGGGAAAAAAAAAACATGACTTTGCGGTATAGCTTTAGAGATAGAGATAGCGATTGAGGTTTTCTTGAACCAAAATGACGTAGAGCAGTAAAGTTTTTTGCGAGTTGCTAGTTTAGCGTTGCAGTTCTCTTGAAGGGTGTTCAGAAAGCAAAGCAAGTCTTAATCACACATCGCTGAAAGACTGTAAAGAGGTAAAAGTGGTTGGCTGTCAGTAACTTGAACACTAACAAAAATACACCATTTGATGTATCAGATAACAACTTGTTTTAAAAACAAGAAGGATTTAGATGGACATCAAATCCGGAGGGATTTTAAACACACATCAGATCCAGGTGATAACTGGGTAAGTCTTCTTATGGACTTCTGCAGAGCAGATACTGTTGATGGAAATGTCAGTGCTGCCGATGCTGTAGCTGAGACAGTTCTGTAATACCCAAGGTAACAATGGTAACTAGTGAATGCCAAACATATGCTACTTGACAGAGTGCTCACTTGGCAGTAGGCCTGGGTGATAAGGCGATGTAATGGGATATTGTTGATGATGGACAGGTAACCCAAGGGCGATGTGGAAAAAGCGATAATTGTAGTTTTGGTAATAGAACTGAGAGACAATTGAAGAGCTTGAAAAATATGTAGGGAAACTGGGGTTCACTTTTAAGAAGTGTGTAGCCTCGCGCACCAGAGAGAGAGAGAGAGAGAGAGTGAGAGTGAGAGAGAGTGAGAGAGAGAGAGAGAGAGAGAGAGAGAGAGATAAGAAACTGTCAGTGTTATTTCTCTCTGCTACACACTGTAATGCTAGCTTTGCCGCACGTCTTCACCCTAATTTACTTTTATGTAAATGGAATCGGAAATGAATGCTGATGAGCTTTGGAACATGGCCTTAAAGTAACTCGCTGCAGTAAAAAGAAAACGAGCTAAAATGACGAAAGTTAGTGTAGAGCAGGCAAATTAAGCCTAACCTGAAGAGAAAGTTCTTTGTCTGCAGCCAGTGTACAGTATTTTCTGTACAGATTACATGTTTAGCTGAATTATGAAAATGCTGTAGTATCGACAGAAAACACCTTGTTTTTATTGTGGAAAGCGGCACAATAAAAGTGTTTTGCATCTGTATGGTTGTCTCATAGACCTCAGTCTATAGCCTTGAGTTTTTACCAAAGCAGGTCCGGTAATGTAGTTTGTGTGTGATTTGACTGACTGATCTGTGTAATTTCCCCAGATTTCCCCAATGATAGGGCTGCAACAAATATTTAATAATATTCAATAAATTCAATAATTAAAATATTTGAAAATCGAAAAGCCATTTGAATAACAAGCATGTTTACTACTTTTATCAACCCCGTCACTTCTGTGAGGAAACAAACATTTATCAAGCCTAACCAGTACCAGTTCTTACCAGTAGCACACAGCTGCCAGCTCTGCACGCTGGCCTTTTTGATTTGGCACAGCTTGCAGGACTCTTGCAGTTCCAGGTGAAAGTATCAGTTTTAACTCCAGGTTCAGTCCAGATCATTTTTTAATTTTTTGGGATTGCTTGCTACCTGGCTAGCTAGCAGGCTTTCAGTTACATTCATTACCGAGAATAAACAAGAGTGTCGACTAGCCAGCTGTCCAGAGCTGTAGGAAAGTTCAGCCTGGCTGCACTGGCTGTTAAAGCCATTGTGGCTTAGTTTAACGCATGCTCCAGTATAAAGTAGTTTTGAGCAGCTTAAAACCTTGCTTTCGTTTTTAACACAATGGTTAAAAAGATGCTGGTTCTGCTCTCTGCCGCCACAACTGTCCAGACAGAGCCAGATCAGCATTGTCACGTTGGGTAGAATCAACAAGCTGCTGTGAAGTCATTATTTAACAATTATATTTTTTCATTTAAAAAAAACTAAATAAATAAAACAGGTTTTGCAATAGTGCAAGAAAAAGTAATAATAAAAATCATGTTTTTTTCCAATCAGTTATTAAAATGAAAAATGTCTTATTGCTTTAAAATATTCATATATTCAGGGTAATAAAAATATTTCATAGTTGCAGCCCCTAGTTTACAGTTGTTTCAGCGTCATATGTTTTGCCTTCGGTTTCTACCAGCTCTGAAATCAGACTCTGCTGTGTTTTTTCTTTTTTTTAAGATCTAAAATGAAGCAGCTTTTTGCTTTTAAAAACAACCAAACCTGACTTGACTTAGAGCAGGAAACTGGCTGAAAATCCACTAAGATTAAGTGATACAATGCTGATTAGCATTTTAGCATGGACAATGCGTAGTTTGTTGAGCTACTGTAACTAATGGTGCTCTTCCTCCTACAAGCTGTTATATTCAATGTGAATTACATTTGCAATTATTGAAACGTTGAAGGCTAGGGTTTGAAATTTGAGAGCAAGGAAATGTTGCATTTTTTTTTTTAGAGGAACAAGGGATCAGCAAGTAGCAGAGCGCTTCCTTTTTCACTCTGACAGCTGCAGATGTGGGCTGTTCTGTTTCATAAAGAAAGTGACCAGTATAGACTCTGTTGTCCTGTAAATTGTTAAGACAAAAAGCAAGTAGGAAAGAGTTATTAGTCTTTGGCTTAAGTCACAGTTGAAAAAGCTGTAGATGATATGCCTGCATGTTTATTTGTCTTTTTTTTGTTCAGTTGAATGCATTTCCTCCTTGTGGAAACAGTGGTTTATGGGTACTTTGTCTGGGTTTCCTCCTATAGTTAGCTCCAAATAAAGAAGTGCATCTGTTTTCAGGAGTGTAAGCAAAAAACAGTTGCTGAGTCATGAAATGATTGCTAGTAACATTTAAGTGACACCAGAGTCTTGTGTTGTGGCCAGTCTTGTTTTACAGGAATCTTGTATTGCCTCAGAGAAGATTGTACTTACAGCTGATGAGGATGTGCAAACTTCACACCTACAAATAAAAGGCTTAGAATGGCACGTCTATGCACAACAGATAGCTCTGTGCCTGTAATTACTGCTGTCGTTCCTTTGACTCATGATTAGTGAGTGGGGCTGTATTGCACAGCTTATTGCTAAATATATTTCCACATGAATTGTGTGGAATGGTCTGAATGCTGGGATGGGTTTAAGTTTTGTTCTCTGGTGAATTGTAATGGATGAGTTTTGATGTTGGACTGTTTTGAACTGTCAGCTAGTCGGTAACTCATAAAACAGTATTTGTTTTGGGGCTCACTGGCTGCATGTACAGGGTTAAATTATGTATATGCTGTATTGCACCGAATCATTCAAGCATTTTTACTGAATTCTTTGAGCTTATTGATGTAAATGTGTGTTTTCTGAGAGTGATTTCTACCTGGATTTGTATTGTGGAAAAATACCTAAATGTTGTATTGTTCCAGAATATGATACGTACATATATTGATTTGAAATATCTGTCAAATCTAAACATCTGCTGATACCAATGTGATTTTTACATGATCATGCATCGCTAACACAAACGTTAATCCTAAAAATGTTGAGACGGTATGTGAAATGCTAATTAAAACAGAACGCAATTATTAGTAAGTTCTGTTTGACCTGAATGCAGCACAAAAACACAATCTTTGATGTCTTACCATGTAAACTACTTTTTTTTTGTTTTTTTAATATATGCCTGTTCCAAATTTTACATTCCAAAAAAGTTGGGAAAGGAGCATGTTTACCACTGTGTTACATCACTTTTCCTTTTAACAATGTTTAATAATTGTGGACTGAAGACTCCAATTGATCCACTTCTGAAAGCAGAATGTTTTGATCATTCTTTTGTTGTGCAAGTCTTTGCAACCGTACAGTGTTTTCATAGTCATATTTTGTGCTTTGTAATGTGCCACGTTTTAATGGGAGTAATTTTATTACTATTTTAAAATTTTTCTGATCCTTGACTTTGTAGTTTTTTTTTAAATCCAGGATTATTTTGCAAGTTTCTCTAGAAGTTTTTGGGAACTGGTTAATGAAAGTAGTGGGTGTGCAGAGACTTCAGCTCTGTAAAATCACTCCTTCCTCTTTTGCACAACTATGACAGTTTTATGGTTTTCTCTTTTTGTGTGTGCTTTTCACATTGTGATACGTATGTGAAAAGCATGACTTGAAGTCAGTGGCCTTGAATTGCCTATTGATTTCTGAATTTAGACTATTTCGGGAAATAAAGAACTGTCTGAGTCTAGAATTTTGCTGTTGTGTAATAGACTGTGTTTGGTTACTGTAGTCTGAGTTTTTCCATTCCTCTCTCCACAGAATCATGACTGCCACAGTGACCCTGGAGGATGCTCTGTCCAATGTGGACCTGCTGGAAGAGCTTCCGCTTCCAGACCAGCAGCCCTGTATCGAGCCCCTTCCATCCTCACTCATCTTTCAGGTAGCACATCCCCATTCGTTATTATGTTATTGAGTGTGACTTTGTCCTCCAGATGATGGACTTTGGCGTGTATCTAATGGATGGAACCAGCCAGTCATTTGGCTGAATGATGCTGATACTGCATACACTTTTTCTTAAAAAAGTTAATATGGAATCAGAGCATAGAGACATTTTAGAATAGAAATGTTTTAGTATCTGATCCTGATGCTTGTATATGATATTGATACTGAATATTCAGAATGCTGACTTTACCAGCTGGGCTTTGTCATTTTAGATGTGTTAGATTTAAAGTATCACATTAAGGACTAATGTTTTAGATTACAGATAAAGAATCATATTAAGGATTATTATTCAGTTATAAAAAAGGTTGGAAATGACATCCATACTTATGTCTGGTACTAGGAATCAGCTATGAAATAAAGATCACACAGATTTTATGTGCACATTTGCCAGTCCTAGTATTTTATCTGTTTGTGTTTGTCCATCAACAGCCCAACTTTGACACCAACTTCGAAGATCGCAACGCTTTTGTGACTGGAATTGCCCGCTACATTGAGCAAGCCACAGTCCACTCCAGCATGGTTGGTCTCCATACCTCCCTCTGTCCTTCTCTTTCCATGCAGGGTGAATGAGTTTGCCCTCAGAGTCTTTGCTGATTTACTGTGCTCTATCAGTGCCTCAGCCCCGACCCATTCAAACCAGTCCTCAGTGCTAAGCCTCTGGCAGCCTGGTCAAAGAAGCTTGTCAGGAGAATGAATGGCTCAAAGAGGACCTGAAAGAAGCATGCATTGTTCCCTGTGCTGATTGGAGGAGCCCTGGCCAAGTTCAGGGCCCTGGTCTGAATGGTGCTGTGATGAATGTGTGCTTTAGAGCTTCAGCGCATTGGACCAGAACTTGTATATGCTCTGTTAGTGAGGGCTAATTGCTGTCACGGAGTGTTTGAGGTTAGCTGAAACGATGTTTTGTATGGGAACCTAATGTATATTGAATGTACTACTTTGGCCTGCGTTCCTAGAATGAAAACCAAACAGGCCTAAATCATCAAGAATCAAGAGAATCCGTGTGCATGGGTGTGTGTGTGTGTGTATGTATGTATGTGCGTGTGTGTGTATATATATATATATATATATATATATATATATATATATATATATATATATATATATATATATATATATATATAGGTATAATTTGTTCTCCAGTTCCAGCCTGCAGAGGTGACCATTTTGAAAACAGCTAGCTGACTTTTGTAACTGACAAAATGGTTTGTGCTTTTGTCACTAAATGCCTGGATTTCTTCACCCTCCTTGTCTAGCAGTGCACTGATCCAAAGTGGCAGTTGTTCTGCATCCAGTCTTTTGGCAAAATGCCATCGCTGTTTAATCAAAAATATCTCAAGCAGGCAATGCTGATATTGATATTTTATCACCCAGGCCTAACATTCAGTGTGTTTGTGCGTGGTTGTTCTCATTTTTGATGGTATGGAAAGATTTGTTTGAGGTTACAAATCTTGGTAGTTTTTTATAATACTACAGCATTGCTGTTGCGTGATAGGTAGGTAGTTATCACGTTGGATACAATACATTTATGATTTCGACTGAATTACTTCAACACTACCAAGTATCAAGTATTTTGTGTTATACAGTACCAAATATTAACATCTAAGTTGTCAGTCTTTGGATCTGCTAGCCAGTAAGCAGTTTTGTACCAAAATCTAGACTGCTGATTGGCTGCCTAAATAGCGTTCTGTATCTATGTCATGAGTGCCCACCCCCATTATGGTCAGCAGTTTTAGCCTGCAGTCCTTTGTGGTCACTTCCTGCACCTCATTCTCTATTCTGGTTTAATCCACATCCACTTTTGAGTTTTGTAATGTAGGGAAAAAAAGTATTGTTTAGGACTCTGTATTGCTATTAATACTGAAAAACAATTGACCTATACCTACCACAGTGTAGGTGAGTTTGTTGTGCTTATGCATACAAGCTGGTCGTGATCTCATGCTCTGTGTTTCTGTACAGAATGAAATGCTGGAGGAGGGCCAGGAGTACGCTGTGATGCTCTACACATGGAGAAGCTGCTCCAGAGCCATCCCCCAGGTAACACGCCCAACTTTGGCCGTGCACCACATCACTTGCATATGCAAAGCTCTTTATTTTGCTTGTGTATGTTGTTTTACTTTGTCTTCTCATTTACACCACTGCTCCCCTACTCTCTCAGGTAAAGTGCAACGAGCAGCCCAACAGAGTGGAGATCTATGAGAAGACCGTGGAGGTGCTGGAGCCTGAGGTCACCAAGCTAATGAACTTCATGTACTTCCAGGTAACCTCTCTGCTGCTCGCTGCTCTGTGTGAGAGCTTCAGATGACTTAAAAGCGAATTAGACTGTTGAAGGAACTACAAGTAAGAAGGCAATTACCCAAAAAAGGCAGTCCCACAAACCCACCAAAATATACAACTGTTTTGATATAGTTAATGAAGTATTTATTATGGGAAGACTGGTTTATTCCTCTAGAATTCAGATGGATACATTTGGCAGAGGAATAAATAGATGAACTACATAATAGCAAACCATCCTCCAGATCTTCTGTAAAATCTCTACACTTTTCTTCCCCTTCCTCTTCAGTGCCTGAATATTTATTCATTGTTTTTATTCATTTTATAAAAGACATTTCCTAATATTTTGTGACTGTACAATGTAATTCTATAATGTAAAAATATGAATCTGTTCACTAAAGTGAGCATGGCTTAACATAAAGCCTTATATGCTTTTTTTTTCTTTGTTACATTAAACTTTTGCAGTAAAATTATAAAAAAAATAATAATAAGGGAATGCTATTTCTAAATCTTTTTACACAAACACATTACTTCTCTCTTTCTCTAGCGGACAGCTATCGATCGTTTCTGTGGTGAAGTGCGTCGTCTGTGTCACGCTGAGCGCCGGAAGGACTTTGTTTCTGAGGCCTATCTACTCACACTGGGAAAGTTTATCAACATGTTTGCTGTACTGGACGAACTTAAGAACATGAAGTGCAGCGTGAAGAACGACCACTCAGCATATAAACGGTACATACACACTCTCTCACGCTGTCTCTATTTCTGTCATACACACAACGATGCACATATTCTTAAACGTTCACCACCACCACACATTGGCAGATGCCTTTTTTGTACATCTCACTGATATATTTGGCCTCTAGATGGCAGCCAAGCTGCTGCTCTGGTTTTCACTGGGAGCTCTGAGGTGATCAGCAGACACAGAGCATTTCCCCTTTTTAGTACGTTTTACTATATTTATAGAACAATTTAAGCTAGAACTATATTATGTAGCACCTCAGTACATACAAACCAGTTTTGTTTGTGATGAACTACATTAAACCCCTGAATAAGCTGTGAGTTTCTTCTTGTGTGTACTTGTGTGTGAGCAGTAATTTGTTCTGTGTGCATGTGTGTCTAAGAGAGATTGCTCAGATCTCCTGTAGTTGTTACTGTTATCTGCATGTGGAGTGTGTTTGTGTGTGTCAGTGTGACTGGTGTCAGCGCTCTTCTGCATGGATTAAAGTTTCATTTGAGTCAGGCTGCCCTCAGTGGTCTCAGTCTGAAAGGTCAGACTTGTCAGCCCCTACGTTCGTCCTCTTTTTTTATTTACTCTCTCTCTCTTTCTCTCTCTCTCTCTCTCTCTCTCTCTCTCTCTCTCTCTCTATCTCTATCCCTGTCTCTCCGTCTCTCTTTTTCTCTCCCTACCCCTCTCCCCTTCCCTGCCCCTTTTTCCTTTCTTCTTACCGCTTTTTTCCTCTCTCACCACCCCTCTATTTCTCTTTCTCTCTGCTTTTTTTACGCTTTCTCTTTCCCCCCTCTTTCTTTCCTCTACTATTTCTTTTTTCCACTCCTTATCTCCCTCTCTCCATCTCTCTCCCCTGCACTTGTTTATCCCGTGCCTTCAATCATCAGCCTATACTTGCCTGAGCATGTCAGAATGAAAAAGCTTACAGCTGCCTCTGTGTGTGTGTGTGTGTGTGTGTGTGTGTGTGTGTGTGTGTGTATGGGGAGGGGAACTACACAATATATAGTTTGTTAAACTTGCCAGAATATTGGCTTTTGCAGTAGGTAGAGTTGCACCAATGCTGTATCGGGTATCAGCACCAATACTGGCACTTAAACGCAGTATCAGCGATGGTGATACCTATGACTGATACCATGAGGCAATTTCTGACATGCATTTGTGCTAGTAGACAGAGCTTGACAACACATTGTCAGGGTGGGTTGACAAGCAGCAGTAAAAATGCTCATAGCAAAATCTGTAACGCCTTATTTCAATGAATGGCGGTAGTAGTGGGTGACATACCAGTTAGAATTCTTTCTAAGCTGTTTGTTTCGCTGATATGCCACAAGTACACCAGATAATGCAACATACAAACAATGTAAAACACGCTAATGTTAGCCACATACCTGAACGGCTGAGTCAGGCTACTTTCAGTAATCACTCTTCTGCTGTGTAGTCAGTTACAGTCTGAGTTAATGTTAGTCCATGTCGTTTTTGAGGGAGGGAATGTAAGAGAGACATGTGGAAGGAGCAACAGGTCACTTCCTCAAGTAAACTATAGCCTTTGGCCTTGTTTTAGCCTGTAGCTTAGCAGCCTGCTAGCTGTGCTTTTGTGTGCACTCGCACTGTCTGCGGTGCTCCTCTGTCTGTTAGCTGCATTATACACATATGAGACACATGACTTGGGAAGCTCAGATGTGAAACAGCATTTAGCACCATTTTTGCTGGGCCAAAGAAGCTGCTGTGGGCTTACACACCACAGGGTTATCTATATATTGTTGAGTTCTGTTTTACATCTGTTTTACCTGTCTTATTATTAAAGAACATATATATGTAATCATTCATGCTTTGTATGTTTTATTAGTGGCACAGGACACAAAATAAAATATTTAAAACGTGGAACCATATAAATATCAGAACTTAGTTAGGTTAGATAGAGTTAGTACTAGTATCGGTACTCTCTATTGGCCAATACTTAAGGACCAGATATCAGTGGTATTAATGCATGTCTATGACAAGTCCGAGTTAAGACCAAAACTTTGTAGTAGTCGAGCCTAATTCAAGACCAAGACCAGATTTTTTTTTGTTTTTAAGGATCTAACAATAAAAAGGAAAAAAGTTCAAATTAAAAAAATAAAAAATATTTTACATGATCTTTAATATTGTATTTGATGAATATTTAAAATATATATTTTATAACTTAGTAAAAATATATCATTAATTAATATGTAGCTTGAAAATCTGAAATATTAAGATCTGGCCCTCTAGCCAGTCAAGAGTTTTTTAACTGTGCTGCTGTCAGGATACTGATTAATCTCAGTGCCAGATGAGTGTTTCTCTGGGTGTTTTGATAATCAAGGTATTCATGTAATCCAACAAAACTAAATTAATTTGGTCAAAATAGTGCAGACTGATCCTTAACCATGTCACATTGCTGATTTACCAATGCATATTAATTATTCATACATTACAAAGCACATCACAATACAGTCTGTACACTAGATTTATTTTATATGTATCATGCAGCCATAGTATTTGTGTCTGTGAAAGAGATTAGATTGTATGGATCAGGCTTCTCTCTCTATCACTTGTTTTAATCTTGCTCTCTGCCTTTTCTTTTGTCCTCTATTGAACAGTGCGGCCCAGTTTCTGAGAAAAATGTCCGAGCCGTCCTCCATCCAGGAGTCTCAGAACCTGTCCATGTTTCTGGCCAACCACAACAAGATCACCCAGGTACTACAGTGCAACAAATGACTTTTCCCTGTGGTAGCTGTCGCACTAATGAATGTCTTTAAAATGTCCCGTTTGTGTGGGTGACGCTGATGTGTGTTTAATGGTCTCCTGTGTGTCTCAGTCCCTGCAGCAGCAGCTAGAGGTGATTAATGGCTACGAAGAGCTGCTGGCTGACATTGTCAATCTTTGTGTGGACTACTACGAGAACAAGATGTACTTGACCCCCAGTGAGAAACACATGCTGCTCAAAGTAAGATGCACACAAACTCACTTAGATATAAAAACTACGTACAAGAATTCCTCACTCTATTATTGGATTCTATTATTGACTTTTACCTTGTCCTCCAGGTGATGGGCTTTGGCCTGTATCTAATGGACGGAACCAACAGCAACATCTACAAACTGGACGCTAAGAAGAGAATCAACCTCACTAAGATTGACAAGTTTTTTAAGGTGTGTGTCTGTCTCTTTTTTTTTCCCCAATTTATCTTGTGGCCAAAGTGAAAACCTTGTGGCCAGAAATTTAGAAACATGTTTGTCATATATCCATTGTATTTATAATTTAGAGTTTCAGTTCCAGAAACTGGTGTTGCTTCCCATATCCATTGTTTGTTTCATTGTGCTAGTCAAACCAGTGAATCACTCAAAGGGATCCTCATTTTCCATAATATAGTGAGCCAGATTGAAGATTTTTTATTAGATCGTTGTGCTATAACAGTGTGTTGAAAGCTGCAACAGTGCTTTTAAATATAATGTTTTTTAAATGAGTTTCTCCAACTAAATAATGAACTTGTGTCTATCATGGAAACAGGAGTTTACAGAGTTTAAATCTGTCTCTTACTCTAAACAGCTAGAGATTGCATATGTCTAAACAAAGTTTGTTTGTGTATATGCAGCTATAGTTTTAGCTGCCTAGCCTTAGCCCAAATGTGGAAATAACTCATAGCTTAATTAGAAGTTTGGAATATCTCATATTGAAATGTAATTACAGCAACTGCAAGTGGTGCCACTGTTTGGAGACATGCAGATTGAGCTGTCCCGCTACATCAAAACCAGTGCTCATTTTGAGGAAAACAAGTCCAGGTGAGAGATCTTAATCATGTGTCCTCAAAGTAGAATGGACAAAATTAGTAATTTTACGCTATTAAGTGTTTGTTTTAGTAGTACATTCAGTTAGTGTACTGCAGGTATTACAGTGTATGGTTGTAAGTACAGACATGATAGTAGATCCTTTTCACTGAATGAATTCATGAATGCCTTCTTTGTCATACAATACAGGGAGATTTGTTTAGCAACTCCACGAGTTTAATGCCTTCAGTAAAAGAATAAAAAAAGCTTTTAATTTTTTATTCAGCAGATTTAACTAAAGTCTACCTGACTAACACTCTCGCTTTCTCTCTGTCTTTTTTTTCTCTCCTTTTTAGGTGGTCTTGCACATCTGCAGGCAGTAGTCCTCAGTATAATATCTGTGAGCAAATGCTTCAAATCAGAGATGACCACATGCGCTTCATCTCTGAGTTGGCTCGCTATAGCAACAGTGAGGTGAGTGACTTGATCTTTATTTTTATTTATTTATTTTTATTTTTTTTTATTACAACAACTAGTTCCCATGCATTAGTTTAGTTTAGTAGCCAATTCACAATGAAGTAGTGGGCTGTCATTAGGCATTGGGGACCCCTGGCAACAGATGCCAAATTGCACAGCTGAAATTCAGACCTTATTAACAGAAATAAAAGGTGCCTCTGTGCTGTAATTTTTTCCTGGTGTGTCCATGGACATGTTCACTGTTCAGAATGAATTAGCACATTGTGCCTCAGCATTAGACCTGAAATGGTCATTAACAGAAGTGCCAAATCATCTGCTTATGTTGACATGTGGCTGGTGATTCTGCAGGTTGGAGATTTATTAGTCATTTCCATAATTTATCTTCAAATTCAGTGCCAAATTCTACCCAGTTACTGTTGCACAGATACTCTGTAAGGGTGCAGAATTAACCACACCAGTGAAAATTAATGTGTATCTTCTGTCTGAAAAAAGGCATTTGTTATTAGCATATTTGTTGCCTTTTATTGTTTAGCAGTCTATTGTGACCACAGCATTATTACTGTTATGACCTTAATGATGTATTTGGAATTTAAATCATGTACCCACTTATCATGTATTCTTTAAGGTTGCTTGTGGATGCTAAGGTTGTGAGCTCATACCTGTCTGTTTCAGACTGTCTATATTCCCATCGCTGACTAGGAGCACATTTGAATTTCCACACAGAATTACATGCATCAAAATTCAATTAGATTAATATGCAAATATGGTGTGAAATATTTCTGTGAAGATGTCGGACTAGAAGCTGCATAATAAGAGAGTGGAGGAGCAGGGCTGGGTGGGAGAGCATGCTGACATGTCCAGGCAGAGCAGTTGCACCCTGCTGAAGGGTTGGAGAGAGAAAAATTGGTGCCATCACTGTCATTGTCAAGTGCTGAGCTGTGGCACAGTGCAGTGAAAGGTGGCTGGTTGTCTTATTCTGTCTCTAACTGCTCCAGTAGAATTGGGGATGTGGTTTATTCTGAGAAACTGCTTTCTCTTTCCTCAAGCAAACAGTTTTTTTTTGTTGCATCAAGTTTTCACCCCCCCATCTTATATTCCTCGTGTGTCTGTGTCTGTGTGTGTGTAGGTGGTGACAGGGTCCGGTCGCCAGGATGCACAAAAGACAGACTCCGAGTACAAGAAGCTGTGTGATCTGGCTTTGCAAGGCCTGCAGCTGCTCTCTCAGTGGAGCGCCCAAGTCATGGAAGTGGTAAGTTCCACATGCAGCCTTAAAAGGGTGATCCACTGATTTCTCAAAATGTTGGAATGGTTCTGTTACTGAGATGTAAACAAAATAATTCATAGTGGTTGGTGAGTGATGGTGCATTGTAGCGAAACTTACTGACTCTGTTTTCTTCACAGTGTGGTGGGGATAGAGACCAGTTGTGATGTCTGCAGCACAAATATAGCTATTATTTACTATTTAGAACAATTAGTGGATCTACACGTTTCAATTGAATTTTTATATGTAATGTTGATAATGGTAAAATTGCAGTAATTCTTCAAAAAGAATTTACTTTACAACACCCTCCATACAACTCTCAACCATAAATGGGTTTAAAAAATACATTATAGGTAAGAATCTTATCTCAGAACTGTCGTAAAACAATGCCTCTTGCATCAGGCAGTTTATTCATAACCATTTCATGTAATAACTGTGTGAGGTAGCTTTAATAAGCATTAAACGCTTTAGACGTCTGGTACGTATCACCACCATTGTGAACAATTCTGACTCAGTAATTTTCTCATTGTTTCACATCGTACTACTCTGAGTGACTCTTCATCTTAATTGTTTAAGCTAAAAAATTAAAATCAGTAGAATTCCCCATTTAAAACAAAAACAAATTCACACCACATAAGCATGTCTGGTTGAGCTTGCCTCAAGATCCGATGAGACAAGCGTGTGATTTTATGTATGCAGTTTGCTTGATGCTAGTTGGTGGGGTTTAACTTTCTTGACTTGATGGCTACATTGAGCTTGTAACTCCAGTGCAAAACTAAAGATGCAGACTTCAGACACCAAACGTGTCTTGACTGATCAACTACATTGGGGGTGAGGTGAAAATTGATTTTTTGCCGAATTTTCGCTTTTGCGCTCTCTCTGCTCCTCACCCACTGATTCTTTCTGACTGACCTTTCTGATGAAAATAAACGTAACTTTAGTGACAGACGGCTAGTGAATCTCAAGCATCACACAGTACAAAGAGCTTGGCATGCGTTGGTCCAACATTGTCCACATTTTTTCTTAGGACATGGTGTGAATCTGTTCTGAATTGAAATTAATTGTATTTATTTGATGATAAAAATACATAAAACACCACACAGCAGAATCAGAATCACTTTATTTCGCCGCTTTATGGACGACCACACAGACTAGTAACATGTATTTTTCCAAAAGACTAATAAAATGCCAGTGTGAAAGGAGCTAAAGAGATGTGTGAATATCTGTACATGTGCAGATATGAGTATCTATACATATGTAGGTCTCAGTAGATATATAATATAATAACTATTATTTACAGAATTTTACAGACTGAAAAGAATATTTGTAAGATTAACATTGGACAGTGTAACACAGCTGTTATTGACATTAAACTTAAAACAGCAAAAACAGTGACAGCAATATTCTGCACAGACAGCATGCAACAGTATTAACATCTGGTGGTTCTTTGCGTTAATTTGGTTGGAAACCATAATTTTATCAAACTGCTGTGTTGCCATCCTTGTTCTGGACAAGCACTTGTCCATTTTATTCTCTACCAAAGATGCCCTTGGGTTTCTTTGTTTCATTTGCATGTTCCCCAGCATTCTTTGCAAGACTAAAAATCTGTTATAATCTTTCAAAGTGGACTTCAAAGTATGTATACATGTAGTTAACTAGTTGGTGACTAGTTTGTATAGCCTGTAATGAAGTGCAATCTTTTCTGTTGTATTTATTTTCAAATTAGCCATAAATTAGGATGATTGTACAAAAGGAAACGTTTAAATACAGGATAAATAACAAAAATGTGTTACTTGAAAGAGAATGAGAGAATAATAATATGCCTAATATCGGCACTTACTTGTTATCGATCCAAGGATAATAGAGGCACTCAGCATAATAGGTAGATCCCTGGTAGCTAGCATGTCCAATGCTGGCACCAACCAGGGGTGTGATAGTTTATCATTTCATCAGATTTTAATCACTGAAATACAGTATATTGGTGCTCGATCATCAGTATTGAAATGATGTGCATTGAAATTAAACTCAGCTATTTGTCATGCAAACTACCGACTTCAAGTAAAATGTTTTTACAATTTATATGTTGTGTCTATTTGTTGACTTTAGTCAGCATAGGTTAGATAACCAAGATTTTATTATGATTAAACATGAATATATGACGTTATATAATTTGATTCATTCGGGGCCTTTTGGAAACTGAATTTCAGTGCATGGCCGTATATGATGATTTGTCAATGCGCACTGCCAGGATGCTGTTTTCATTCTTCAAGATACTCAAGAAGTACTTCTCTTTTCCAGGAATGGCCATACACATTCGCTTTTACCTAGAAATAGGACTAACAGCATAAAAGCCTTTCATAGGGTTATATTATCTGGTTGCCATGGATACTGAGGCAAAGGGCATAGATGCTTGTAACGCTTAATCAAATGGAACGATAGTAGTTTTCAGTGATCGTCCGCTTGCTTCAAAGGCAAATCATCCACAGGTAATGAAGAAAGATAATTTAGATTTGGGAGTATTGTTTTTAATCTCTTCTGACTGATTGCAGTTTCTTTATCGTGCTGTCCATCAGTAATTAAACAGTGATTGAGTTTTTATGTGTCTCCAGCATAAAGAAGAATGACAAAGTGCTTATCGGTCAGTGACGTTAGCTTTAGTTCAGAGATGTTTACATCTATGTTGGGTGAATCATATAGGATTTATACATAGTGCCGCAGTTCCAGGGAGTGCAAGTAATTGGACAAAGTCAACATTATTTTTTGTATTTGGTTGCAAATCCTTTTTAAATTAATAGCTGTATTACGCCTGTGACCCATTCACATCACCAGACACTGTTTTCCCTGATGATACTCTAACCACTCTATAATGGAGCCATTTTAAACTTCTGCCTCTTGCAGGGGCTTTTTGTATTCAGTAAGTGAAATGCTTGCTCAGTGGGGTTCAGGTCGGATGATTGACTCGGCCATTCAGGAACGTTTCACTTGCTCTTCATCAGCATTCCACTGGCAGCCATACATGTCCATGCCACTATATTTCATGGTATCCTTTTTTTTCTCCCCACACTTTCTTTTTATTATCACTCTAGTACAGATTACTCTTATCCATAAGACTTTTCCCCAGTGCTATACTGTTTTATGTACATTGTTAGCAAGCTGTCCTTTCTGTTTTATTCTGACTTACAAGGGTTTCATGTTGTGGTAAATCCTCTAAAGTCATGCTGGTGTATTCATCTCATTATGAAAGTCTGTATATATGAGTTTCTTCATGTATGCAACAGGTTTTTTTTCTATTGATTGAAGATATTCTTCTGTCGTTCACTATTGTGGTCTTCTCTGGTCTGCCAGGCTGCTTGTTATTGCTAAGACAGCCAGTGCTTCTTAACAATGTACCATCCTCTTGTGCATGAATTTAAGTTATAGCACCTCATAGCTAGCAAAAAAAATGAGTGCCCAGTTAGTGTTGATTCCCTAAATTGGGAGGATTATGTATAAGAGGGCTGTAATTCCTACATGGTTCACCCAGGATGGTATTAGAGTCGACAGTCTGTGCTTGAACCTTTGTATCATTACTTAATTTCAAATCCAGAGTGATAGAGTGCAAATCCAAACCAACAAAAAATGTCTCTGCCCAGTTACTTACAGACTGCCCTCCATTAAACTGCTGATGTTCACTCATTATAGCATTCCTTATACCAGCTTCGTTAATAGACAGTATTTTCACTTTTCAGTATTCATGGAAATTGGTGCACCCAACAGACAAGTACTCCAACAAGGAATGTCCTGACAATGCTGAGGAGTATGAACGTGCCACTAGGTACAACTACACCAGCGAGGAGAAGTTTGCTCTGGTGGAGGTTAGCATCACTACTCCTTTCTGATCTCCTTTATTGCTAAAAGGACATAACTTACATTTCGTACTGCTGTTCCGATAGTATAGTAGTAATTCTTTATCTTTCTGTCACCAACTACAGGTGATGGCCATGATAAAGGGGCTACAGGTGCTGATGGGCCGTATGGAGAGTGTGTTCAACCACGCCATTCGCTACACCATCTATTCCGCCCTGCAAGACTTCGCCCAGCTCACGCTCCGAGACCCGCTGCGCCAAGCCATCAAGAGGAAGAAGAACGTCATTCAGAGGTACCATGAAACCCTAGAATATACATACGCTGCAAATTCAGAAGTGTTGGGATACCAGATATGTCTGTTTCTTAAAAGCACATATTGAAATAGGATGCACAATGACATCTGAATCATATTGGTATCAACAGATAGTTGCTTGAAAAAGTCATCTGAACAGATGAACAGTTTAGATTTGAGCAGTATTTAAAATAGATTCATATCCTGCAACCCGTTTAGTAACTTTAGTACTTTCAAAAATGAATGAAACTGAATTGCTTTCAGCACTGTCTTAGTTAAATTATTTGACTTGTCACCTTGATCTGGTACCAGCATCCTTTTTTCACAGTGATTTTTGTCAGTATCTGTAGTTCAGTCTTGGACATAGTAAACTACTTACTAGAAACTAGTAGCTTTCCAGATCCACTCAAGACTGCTGCCTTGAGATCTCTACTGAAGAAAAATAATGTGGACCCTTCAGTCTTGAAGCAATTTGAAACCAGTATGCAACCTGCATGTCTTAAGTAAAATAATAAAGATAGTACTAAAACAACTAAACATATTTCTCCTCAGTAATAATGTTTTGGAAACGTTCCAGTCAGTTAAAATGGATTGGACTGTCAGGAAATGTTCTTAGGTGGTTTTATTCTTGTTTAACTGGTAGAAAGTACTTTTTCAATATTGATGTCATATTTTTTGAAAATATGGTCATGCCTGGTTGTGTTGCCACCTGGCCATATTTTGAACAAATGACATCCATTTCCATAGCTATGCAGACAACACCTAACTATACAGCAAGATAGCACTACTGCTCTAAATGCTCTGACAGACTGCATACAGAGCATCGATAAGTGGATGAATAGAAATTTCCTTAAACTTAATGAACAAAAAACTGAAATTCTTCTTGTTGGGACCGAAGCTAAGAGAGATAAAATTATGAGAAAATTAGGAAGTTTTCTCGTTTCTCGTTTTCCAGTTTCCTCACCAATTTAGCTGTATCCAATTAGGACTCTCCCAGTCACACGAGACTGTCAGTGCTAGGAGGGTGAAGGCAAACACGAGTTTCCTCCGAGTCATGTGAAGCCAGCCACTGCATCTTTTTGAACTGCAATGACATTGGACAGCTGAATGCGCTTTGAGGAGAACACTAACTGCCAATTCTGTTATGTTAGCTAACAGACTCCTGCGCTGGCTAGCAGAGTGACTGGGGGAGAGGGAGGGCCATCCTACTCACCCAGAGAGAGTGAGGCCAGTTGTGCTCTCTTGGACTCCCAGCCACAGATGACTGCAGCATCACAAATATTTATTTAGATGACATATCAGCCATACTGATGAGATCACAGCTAGGGGGGAAAAAGCGAAGGCATTATTTCAGTTTTCAGGTGTTCCTTCAGTTTGGCAATTTCTGCAAATTAAGAACAGCTTTTATTTTTGTTTACTATATTAATGCAAGTTGACAAAGAAAATATGCTGCTTTATTTAAAAAATATTGAAAAGGTCCTCAGAATGTGCAGTGCATATGTGCTTGTGCTTGTGAGATTGCATATATAAACATAAATACTATAGATCAATAATATGGATAATAAATATAAAGGTGACCAGTGATGTCTACATAATACTCCATGGGATCCAAAATAACTTTTTTGATTCAAGAACTGAAACAGAGATTGATTTTCACTAAAATATATCTAATTAAAGGTGTTTCATTGTTATTGCAGTGTCCTCCAGGCCATCCGAAAGACTATCTGTGACTGGGAGACAGGAAGAGAGCCTCATAATGATCCAGCCCTGCGAGGGGAGAAGGACCCCAAAGGAGGCTTTGACATCAAAGTGCCCCGTCGTGCTGTGGGACCCTCGAGCACTCAGGTATGTCTTCTCTTACTCACCACCTAAATATACTAAATAACTTGTGAGCTGTGCACTACAGTTTGGACTTGGCTGCAGCATTTAGTCAACAGAGTTGATCATTTGTTTACTAATGTGGCTACTAGGAAAAAGTTGACATGGACTTCTGTTGTGCACACCTCATTTTCATAAAAAGCATGCTGTAGTGCACTACAAAGTTCATATGATACAGTGACGGTGGTGGCGAATGGGGAGGAACGGAAGAATGCAAAATAAGTAGATTAGTCAGTTAATTGAATTATTGTTAATAGGTTTATGGATTATAGATATAATCATTGATTCGCTTGCTGTTTTCTGGTTCTGGTGTAAAGATTTTTAAGCAGATTTTAACAGGGGGAACACAGAGCTTACATACATATTTGACCTATTTGACATGCTTTGCTTCTGCTTTAATTTTTTGGAACCATTTGGTTTCAGACAAAGCTGTTGTTTGTGTGGTGTTGCAAAATTAGTTAGTAGCACTAATTGAGTTTCCTGCTTGGGTGACTTTTGTGAAGGGTTCAGCTCTTCAAAGAACTAAAATGTTTTAGTTTTATTGCTAATGTTTTTGTTAGAGATGGACAGTTTAGTGTTTTTTGAACCGATACCAATCGCCTTTTAATGCGATTGGCCGATTGCCAATACCAGTCGAGGACGAGACTGGATGCCACGTTCCAGGGCGGAGTAAGCGATTCTGCAGAACAATTGTTGTTATATGAACTCAACATCAAAACAAATACACCCTTCCCTTCAGAAGCTGATGAAATTAATATTGTTCGAAGTAATACGTTTACATTTACATTTATGGCATTTGGCAGACGCTCTTATCCAGAGCGACTTACAGTGTGATCTTTTTTTTTACACAGGTAGGCGAAGGTAGTGTTAGGAGTCTTGCCCAAGGACTCTTAGTGGTATAGTGTAGAGTGTTTACCAAGGTGGGGTTTGAACCCCAGTCTACAGTGTAGAAGGCAGAGGTGTTACCCACTACACTATACCAACCAATGCTAATAAATTAGCATGCTTATTTTGTCCACTCATATACTTTATGACAAAAAGCACTACTTTTTAAATGGAAACAAATGAGACAAACGTAGTTTAACTTATCTAACTACATGAAATAATGCAGTTATTGCGATTAATCATTTGAAACAGCTAATAGTTTTTCTTAATTTTTACATACTGTATGTGTATACATAGAGAAATGTGCTTACTGCATAGACAGTCTTAGCCATGCTGTATCCAGATGTCTAATAGTGTGCTAGCTCTAGCATCGTGCAGCCCACCGGTAACATGTTAAATGTCAGCAGTGTCAGTGAGATTGAGCTGTAATCTGTTTAGTCACTCAGACTGATCTGAGCTTTGTGCCTCCACATGTGTGCTGGAGAATCAGAGCTATCAGCGTTTAGCAGAAAATTTATGCCTGACCTGATTTATCTATCAATCTGCTCTAACAAAGTACATAATCCTTAAGAGGGATGATTCCGTTTGTGTCATACCCCTGTGTGCGTGTGCGCGCGTTTGTTATATGTGTGTGTGTGTGTGTGTGAGAGCAGATTCCTACTTTCATTATTCCTCTAGTCTGTGTTTGGGTTTAGTTATGAATAAACACAACCTTTTTTCAGGTTTTCCATTCTCGAGCTCCGTATGCTGCTGTCCTTCATTGCAGTGTGTTCTGTGTGCTAAGAGGCTTAAGGCACTGGGCATTAAAGACGGTCATCAGTCTATATTATAGAGTTTCATATGCTTATTGAAGGGTGGGTCACTGGTTGAGCTGTTCTGTGGGAGACATGGCTATTTTTTAATACAGTGATGCAGGCTCATGTGACTCATGCATGCATGCTTGCTTACAGGCGTGCACACAAACACACACACACACAGACAGACAGACATGAACATACCACTCTAAGGCTGCCATATGGGACATGATTCTCTTTGGGTTAGAGAGAGAAAGATGAGTCCTTTTAATCTTGGCTCTGTGTCTCAGTGGAGGCTTCCACTAGACAGGCAAACACTGACATGCTAAGGAGTCTTGTCTCTCAGGTTGTACAGAAGATTTCCACTGTGATAATGGTGCATGGCGTGAGTGAGGCCTGTGTGTTGGATTTTCAGTCTGTAGAGAGTGTTCTTTTAATTGACGTTCAATTTCACTGTGTCAAGAGTTCCATTTTGTTCTACTTCAACATCTCTTTGGTATCTTCTCTGTAGCTGTACATGGTGAGGACTATGCTGGAATCCCTGGTTGCTGATAAGAGTGGCTCTAAGAAGACTCTGCGCAGTAGCCTGGAAGGCCCCACCATCTTGGACATAGAGAAATTCCATCGTGAATCCTTCTTTTACACTCACTTGCTCAATTTCAGTGGTAAGGACTATTTACAGTATCATTAGGTCTATCATACTCCCACAGTTCAGAAATTGTGACCTTACTTAAAGCCAGGACTGGAGTGGAACTCGTTTTTAGAGCACGCGTTACCAACTTTAAACAGACCGCTCAACTTTTTCAACACACCCCAAGAGTCACACAGCTGTGAAGAATTTGAACAGGCTAATCTACACCTACTCTACCACTCGACTAATCAGCTAACCAGTTACAGTCAATAAGCCGGAAGGGGCTGATGATTCATTCTCTGAGTTACTACAAATATGGACTTGGTTGTAACAGTATGTCTTGGGTTTGTATATATTAGAGCACACAGGCCCATTAGAAATTACCTAAAGGAATAATTTGGCCAAAAAAATTACATGTATCGTGTACCCAATTTTCCACTTGCCCCAAATGTATTAAATTAGCCAAGACCTGTTTAGTGTCAGCAGTAAACCTATGTTAACAGTGTGAATGTGACAGTAACTATATGTCATATAGTGATGGTAACTACATTAGTTAGTCTGATTAAGATTACATGACAGCTTGACATGATTTGAGGTGAGTATTTGTTGATTTAGGCATGCATTTTGCACAGTGCTGATTGGTGGTGTATAAGGTGGCTACTTTAGCCTTGTAGCAGCAGTGAAAAATTAAAAAAGAAGAAAACACAGAGACTTAACGATTTGGCATCATTTGGATTTTTTTCCACCAATTTTTCCTTTATATAGCACACTATGATTACTGTCTTATCCTGTGTATGTGTTAGAAAATATACGGAAAGTATACTACCGGTTTTATGAAGCTTAAACATTTGTGGGATCTGCTGAAACACCTATTCAAGACGTACCATACTCCCAATGGCTCAGAATAAAATAACTGATGCATAGGGCCAGTGGTGATGGAGAAATTGTCTCATGTTTGAGTTTCCTGTTCCAGAGACACTGCAACAGTGCTGTGACCTGTCCCAGCTGTGGTTCAGGGAGTTCTTTCTGGAGCTCACCATGGGCCGCCGTATCCAGTTCCCTATTGAGATGTCCATGCCCTGGATCCTCACCGATCACATTCTGGAGACTAAAGAGGCCTCAATGATGGAGTAAGCACACTATTACATTGCACTGCATGAGCATGTGAAATTATCTGTGTGCAAATACTTAAATATAAGAAAATGTTTGTAGTTGCGTTAAATGAAACTGAACAAATGTCGATTATATCTTAGACTTGTGTTATATTTTCAGACTCAGAATTGTTTTTTGTGTCCCCAGGTATGTTTTGTATCCCCTGGACCTGTACAACGACAGTGCACACTACGCTCTCACCAAGTTCAAGAAGCAGTTCCTCTATGATGAGATTGAGGCTGAGGTAAAATTCTCACGGTTTATTTGCACTCAAAGCTTTTGATTTTCAGTAATAATAGAGGCCACTAATGTAGTACAGTTTTGTTAGTAAAAAGCCTAAAAACATGAGTAATGGTGGCATTAACAAGTCTGTTCTGTGCTGAAAGGAGGCATCACTTGATACCACTAAGATTGTACTGCTACAGATCTCTCTTTTTTTAATGCTCTAGTTATTTTTATTTGTCCCTTTCTCTCTTCACTTGTAGGTAAATCTGTGCTTTGACCAGTTTGTCTACAAACTTGCAGACCAAATCTTTGCGTACTACAAGGTTCTCGCTGGAAGGTAAATTAAAAAGCTAATCAGCATCAGATGATCTAATCAAATGGTTTCTCATGTTCTATGTGAGTGATATTATACAGTGTGGTCCCAGGCCCTTTTTTTCATACAGTTTCAATTCCATTCAAAACTATAACTTTACAGGAGAAGGAAAGAAATTATTAACTTATAATAGAACTTAATGTAACAACTTTTTTTCAGAGTTTTCAGAATTTTGACAGTGACAAAAGCAAAGTGTAACTAAAAAAAAAAGAGATACAAAGTATTTGTGTGACAGCAACCATATACATTTGCTGGAGAACAGGGACAAAAAAAGTCTATGTCTAATTATGGGTCGCAGAGTATGTGCTTAGATGTGGGTGGTGTTTGTATAATGTTTAGTTGCAGACTGGTATTGGTATGGTATTGGTAATACTGTATCAGTATCAGCAATAGAGAGTACTGATACTGTGAAGCAATTTCTGATGCGCTACTGCTTGATGCTTGCATGTGTACCAGTAGATGGTCCGAAATTAAAGCAAGTGACATGCTGATGTGATATTATGTCTTGCTTGAGACAAGCAGTAGTGAAAATGCTCATTGCAGAATTTAAGATAATCTAAGGCCAGTATTGTAAAACCAGCAAGAATTTCAGTGCATCAAATTTAATTAAGCACTTAAAGATAACCCGTGTCAGAGAGCACAGCAACTTTTTGAAGCTCTGAAACCAGTTGAATGTGAAGTTATCCGACCCTGTAAATGCCATTCATTCAAGCTTGTTTTTGTCTGGGACACAGAATCCTGCTTTTAGAAAATAAAATATTCCATTTTTTAAATTTATTGTCACCTGTCCAGTAGTTAGGTTAGATAGGGCTGGGAAAGGTATAAGTACTTGTTATCAGCAGATGCTTGAGGATCAGGTATCAGTATTGAAATGGAGAAAGTGTTATTGATGCATCCCTAAAGATAATGTCTGGTTTGCTGTCTTCAGTCTGCTTCTGGATAAGAGACTGCGGGCTGAGTGTAAGAACCAGGGCGCCAACATTCCATGGCCTGCTTCCAACCGCTATGAGACACTGCTGAAGCAGAGACATGTTCAGGTGAAGATGCCCAGTCTATTAAAATTAAACACAGCACTCCCACGACAGAATGTATCTTTGATACTCCTTGTGCATGTTACGGCTGCATGATATGGACAAAAAATGCCAAGTGTGGTACAGTTGTTCAATATTGTGATGATGGTGTTATAATTACAGTACGATGTGCAGTATACTTATTTACGTTTTTGTTCTTTGTTGTGTTTTGGTACTTGGCTGCCCTAATTTTACAGGCTAATGTATAATGATAGCATAGCTTTTCAGCTTTTCATGTTCTACTGTAATTCTGAAGTGTGATGTGTTTATCATGGGAATTCACTTCACTCATATCATGCAGCCCCAGTGTGTGTTGGTATTCATATGTTATTATGCATGTATTTAACTTTCTCTGCTTCTCTTTCAGCTGTTGGGTCGTTCCATTGACCTGAACCGTCTCATTACTCAGCGAGTGTCTGCTGCCCTTTACAAGTCCCTTGAGCTGGCTATTAATCGCTTTGAGAGCGAGGACCTCACCTCCATCGTAGTGCGTTCTTTTTCTACAAATGCTCGTCATTAAAGCACTGCCACTGGGAATGCAGGAGGAATGTTTCAATATAACCATTTGTCTTTCAGCAAAAGAACCTTGAATTTTTTGAGTGTTTCACTATAATGTAAAGTTCAGTGCTTCCCTTATCAGACAGTGAGTGCGTTTACATATACTTAATAATCTGATAACTACTTCAGATTCTGTCAGTAATCCGATCAACATGTTTACATGCACTTGAGTAATCAGATAATGAGGAAACTCCAGGTCTGCATGAGTCAAGCAGTAATCAGATTTTTGCTTTGCAACCAGCCAATAGACTCACAGAAGATGTGACGTAAAAGTAATGTGAAATTCAGACTTCATGCCACACCTTATTTTATTTATTTATTTTTTTTAGAACACTTTACCTGAAAATGTGAACATATTCATCATCTTCTAGATGATGAATATTTGAATCCTTTATTTCATCAAGCATGTGCTTAGTTTCAGTGCTGCTCCAAAAGCATTTTGCTACTATCTAGCGGCAATGCTGCTTGCTTATTTCTGGTACTGTGGTCTGTTTTTGCACGTATACAGACTGAGAAATCCTCAAGAAATCAGAATAAGAGTATACATGCACTGAGAAATCTGATCACTGAGCTAAAAATTATCAGATTTCTTAGTCAGATTTCTAGACCATACTCTGATCTAAGAAATCAGAGTATGCTGTTTACATGACCATTTGAATAATAAGATAACTGCAGATTAGATTTATTAAGTGCATGTAAACGCATTCAGTGTTCAGTGATTAATTGAAATGCGAGACACGGCAGAAATAAACTGCACTGCTGTGAGGAGCGTTTCTGAGTGGGGGCATGGACTTATTAGTATGTGTGTGCATTCAGTAATGCATTTAAAAACATTTGTGTTTGGTTATTTATTTAAATTTTTGTTTAAAGATGATCACTGGTGGATGCCTTTTGTAGGTTTTATTTGTTTAGTTTCTGTTTTAGTGTATTTGTGTTTAACTTTTTATTGAAGCTACTTATGTCTGAGTGTTTGAGTATTTAATGCCTCTCCATCATCTTTCTTTTTCAGGAGTTGGAGGGCTTGTTGGAGATCAATCGGATGACCCACAAGCTCCTCAGCAAGTTCCTGACCCTGGACAGCATGGATGCCATGTTCCGTGAGGCTAACCACAACGTATCTGCTCCATATGGCAGGATCACACTGCATGTCTTCTGGGAACTCAACTACGACTTCCTACCCAACTACTGCTACAACGGCTCTACCAACAGGTACATCTGCTGAATTGGTTTCAAACATGTCTGTAGCTATGTATCCACTTCCAATTCCTGGAGGACAGGAAGAGTGGTCATGGACCACCCAGCAGAGTGTGGTCATTTCCCCTCCTCAACCTGGTAATTAACTGCTAAGTTCAGTCAGGTATGTTTGAGCAGGGAAATCACTGGATTTTGCTGGACACCCTCTGGTTTATGGCTTGACCCTTAAAAAAATAAACGAACAGTTGTTTCTATGGTACTTAACAAATATGCAAGATCATGCCATCTGTGCATATGGCAGAATAACAGCACTCAAAGCTTTGAGCCGGAATTTAAAACATAAAACATTCTAATCTCTGAATGGTATCAAACCGTATCTGCCCATGTTTGGTTTAACACAGTGGTTTAATGTGTTTGTGATGTTTTTCCTAATGGATAGAGCAACTCTTTCAGCCTGGACTCTTTTGTCATCGAAGTTTGAAATGCATTCAGAAATCAACCTGAATAAAAAGAAAGTCACTTCATAGTTTTTGCTTCATGGAACTTTGAGCCAGTTAGGGAGATGAAGAGAGCTTTTGTCCTTGTGGTGAGAGGCGTAGAGGAGAACACCATTTCTTTTGAAGACATTCTGATTTCTTTCCCCATTGCTTCATTTCTTCTCCTCTTTCATCAGCAGATGAATTCTGAGTGCTTGCGCTTGCCCGTCTGCTAAACTGTCTTTTTTCTTTTCATCACTACTACTGTCGCTTTTAAACGCCACAGACACAATTATGTTTCTGGGCGTGGAGTATGGGGTGAAGTACATGTCACTTTTTCACCTCAGTTGTCAGTTGAAGAGCACAGAGTGAGAGAGGAAATGAGGACAATAGAACATATCAAGAGAAAAGGAACAACAGGAAAGAAATTATGGAATTACTGATGTAGGGTAGGGGACAGATTGCGTGAAGAAGATTAACAGTGGGAGGGGTACCAGAGGCAAGATATGTATTTCATGAAAGATGTGGATGGAGAGTGATGGACTGCATGATGAAATAGGCAGATAGAGGGTCATTTAAAAGACTATTGGTCAGTAAAGGCTAGTGAAGGTAAACATGATCTATATTACTGTTTTTAGGGGCTAAAAATGTAGATAACTGCTACTGATATTATTAGCCGATGTAATTTTATATTCATATTTTAGAATTTCATTTTATGCTCCAATAGTTTTAGTTAAACAGCACTTTACTGACTGATGTGATTGTCAGTTATCAACTGTCACGCTGTTAAACAACAGAAATGCTAAAATAATATAGCTCTGATGGTGCAGCTACCCAGAATGCTTTGCACTTTTTGTTTATGTTTATCACCTGTTGTTTTACTTATTTTTTATTAGTTATGTTGTTCTCATGCTTAAGGTTAGGTTTGGATGCATTTTTAAGTGTTTTTATAAAACTTTTTGTTTTTAGATTCAGCAGTTCAGCCTGTATTATTGTGATATAATTAACCAGAGAGTACCTTAATACTGTCTAATGTTTTGCCATTTCGTCAGAGGATATTGAGTTATCGGCTGATACAGCTAACACCACAGGTCACTGATATTGGCCAGTGTTATTGGTCAACTGATATATATCGACCGGGCCAATTAAAAAATATCAAACTGTTTAACTGACTTTTTCTTCCACCCTCAAGGTTTGTTCGCACTGTGCTGCCGTTCTCACAGGAGTTCCAGCGGGACAAGCCACCCAACGCCCAGCCACAGTACCTCTATGGCTCTAAGGTAAGTTTGTTTTCCATTTTGTACTTTTCAGGTCATGATTTCCAAGTCATACATATTCACACACTTAGAAGGTTTCTCTGCATTGTGTCACAGCTTTACAGAAAAGGATGATGATTTATGAAGATCTTTATTATGTGTCTCTAGGTAAAGAATTGCTCAAAGTCAAAAATATTATTTTAAACACCTTATTTTTAATATTTCTGTATTTGTAACAACATAAATTGTATTTAATGTTTTTTTTATCAGTTTCTTTTTCACAACACAAAATAGAAGAAATTCTTGTAAGAATACAGGAAACAAATACTTCATGTATAAAGGTTGTTTCTCTGATGGAAAAGGCAGTTGTAGATGTCCTCAGAGTCCTGGTAAAATCTCATAGGAAGTCTTCATTTGCCCTCAGTTTTTTATGGTTTCTGGTACTGTTTCTCCAGATCTGCAATTAGCAGATTAATCATTCCTTTCAGGTTGACATTCACATTAAGTGGTTTTCACCTGGGTTGCTAATCAGAACACAGGATCCTGTGATTTTTCTAAAATTATTCCAGTCTCATTTCCTAGAAGAAAATGCCAAGAGCGCATTTTTTTTGCACACTGAATTTGTCATAAGTCTGTCAGCACAGTATTCAACAAAGTAAATGAGTAAGGGTGCAATAATCATGGCCATGTATAGGTCACATTATTTCAATACACCAGTGTCAGAATGTTACTTTAGCATTAATATACAGTTGCTTCACTAGACTTGAGAAACGTTACAAGGCCACCTACCTTTTCATGTGGGTTTGAGAGGATGGATAAAGATTTCCCTGGCACCCGAGTATGCCAAAGACAGCCATCAAGTTGTCCTTTTGTTGTCATATGTCTAATACATTTGCAGAAAGCCATAGGACTGTATGCAGTTTAAGGATGTTTTGTAGAATCTGTCTGTTGTAGCTGTGGCAGATGTGATATTACTTAGCTAGGCGAATGCATGGAATTATATACATATATATGTGTACAGACTCATTGTAGACCTTGCAATTATCATGGACTAAATGATGGTTTGCCTGCTATTTGTTTTAAACTTCTTGTTTTGTTACTGCAAAAAGGCTGCATTTGAGTTTGATGGGATTCATGTTCTTTCTATCTTGGGATTTGAAATTGACCAAAATTATGAAGCATTAGCAGCCCCACGTAACACAATGATTATCTTTGAATGATCATAATGTCCAGAGCACAGCAGTGGCTATTTTAGTTCAGGCCAACTCAGGGCCGCCGTTTTGTTTGTTTCCAAGTGTCTTGAGCTCATGGCTCTGTCCGTTGACGGGTACTCCTCCATGCTCAGTGTGAAAAGGGTTCTCTATCACTGTTGCCTGCTGGGAGTCTTCCTCGCTGTAGCTTGGTGTGTACAGACTCTCTCTGCCTTCCCTTGTCCCATAATCATTCCTGGGCGTCAGAGCTTGGCTGGGTGGGGTGGACCCTGGCCGACTTCCCCCCTCAGAGTGCCTCTTTGCTGGGCATATGGAGTGAAGGCAGGCCCAGAGCAGAACCACAGCGATGATGAAGAGCAGAATGCTGCTGGCCAGCCACACACCCATAGCCAGCTCCCTGCGGCTTCCCCCACGATCTGCGCCCTCATCCAAGGTGCTGAAAAGCTGGCACTGGTCCCTTGTAGGATTTGCAGATTGGCAGGTGACACAGAGGATGTAGGTGGTCTGGGGGCTGAGATTGCCCAGGTGCGTTGTTGTCTGGCTTACTGGAATCCTCTCTTCCCTCATGAAGCTCTTGCGTGTGTAGCCCATCATAAGGCTGTTCCAGTTGGGATGGTACATCACACTGTAAAAGGTGTCCACACAGCCAGGCATGGAGGGCCAGCTGACGATGGCCGAGGTGGCGGAAACATTCTGCACATTGATCATCATTGTTCTTTTTGAAGGTTGCGGGTGCGCTTCAGAGGGTTCAATGTTGGTTCCTCATGGATCTGCGGATTTATTTACAGTTTTACGAGGCTAGTTCAAGTTTGTAGGTAACACTGCTGGAAGAACAGACAAGGATGCTGTTTCAATATATTAAAGATTTCATTCATTGCGTAATCAGTTTCTAAAAGGCCAAAGAAAGCCTTGAAAAAGAATTTAAAGCGTGTGTAGCATCATGCATGTTGCCAACCAATGCTGATTCATTAAGAAGCCGAATTTTAATTGATTGTTGTTTTAATTGCATAACCAAGTTTAATCAGCTTTGCTACAGGCACTACTGGGACCATTCCTCATTCTGGAGACTAGTTAAGGCCTAAATTACACCGGCAGTGGAAATTACCCTTTGAAAATCAAGTTTCGCCTTAGACTATGCTTCATCTCTGTACAGAAAGCCAATATGTGATTTTTTCCGGCAGTGGCATTATTATATATACCAGCAACAAAATAACATTGCTTTTTTAAGTGTGTTGTAGTTCATTTGATCCTCTCTGTATTCTATTCCCCTACGTACGAGTGTAAGGCGAGAGTGCACAATGACAATCAGCTAGGATTGAAATTGGCTGATATTTGCTTCTATTTTTATGTTGACTGATTGTTGTTGTAACTTTGTGATGTAAATAATGGAGCCAACCATGTATGCGTTTGTTAGTCCATGTGTTCATTTATCCTGCTTCTGCTAAAGACCAAGTAAACAGTGTTATTGTGTTTGTTACCTGTTGCTTTAAAAAAAGTGTCCTAAAAAAATTATGCTTTGGCTGTAAAGAAATGGGAACTGGCCATAACATGTCATGATTGTTGTATCCCAAGTGTAATATGCATCCTGACCTTTGTTTCCATGGTAATATGCCCCTTTTATATTCACATTTTTGTTAGTGACCTTGTGCCCATCTCTCTGTCTTACTAGCTAAAGTCTGCTGGCCTGAAGCACTTAGCTTTGAATTTTTGGGAACAAAAGAGCACAAAGAGCCAGAGATGATTTTGTGTGTGTGTGTGTGTCTCTCTCTCTCTCTGTCTGTCTCTCTCTCTGTCTGTCTCTCTCTCTCTCTCTCTCTCTCTCTCTCTCTCTCTCTCTCTCTCTCTCTCTCTCTCTCTCTCTCGCCTTTTGAATGGCAGTGGAGGAGACAAGCATGTTTATAATTCCAGTCACCTCTTTGTGTTTCTAGGTACAGAAAAGCTAGGAGTGACTCAGTGATAAAATTCAAGTGTTAAATATTCATGTGAATTCTCTTTTGTAATGCAGTACTTTTAATCATAAACATTTCTTATAGAACTTTGTGTCTTTTTGGGAGAGTGACAGAGCTGAATTATTCTGTACGCAGAAACTAGTCACAGATTTCAGTTTATAAAAATGAATTTACAAGCAGTAGTATATTGTTGTGTGGATGAAGCTTTTGGTATTTTGAGGCCTGAAAATGTGCTGCAGGTGGGGCGAATGTATTCTATCTTGTGATTAATTAGTAAAGAGGCTATATAGAAGTGAAGACATTCAGCTACATCTGACAGTGTCGGAGGTCTTTGTTCATAATTTTTTATCAAAGGCTGAAGCTTCAAAGACAGCTGCCCTCTGAGCTATGTGCCACTGTGTCCCCAGACGCTGGCACTACTGGTACAGATGAAAGGTGTCAGTGCAGAGCACAGACATGACTTCATAAACAAGCCTTATGGCAAATGGTTTATCTCTAGGAATCTCAGTGTCTGCCATAGCTTTGCATGGATTAGGACAGTAAAAGAATGTGAATTGCCTTTTTTTAGTTCTTTGTAACCTTCTTATTTGTTCTAAGGGTCTCTGTGTGAAATTTCTGTGGTTGATTTTTGCACTTTTGGGCTTTGTTAAAGGGGAATTCCACTGTTTCTTTTTTTCCAAAAGTTCTGCCTAATTCAGTCATTGATGAGTAAACAAAGTCATTCAGAATATTTTGATGAGAAATTGTTTATTCTAGAGAAAGTCAACAACACTGATTTCTGTACAGTGGTGGTGATAGGAACCAGCAATATTTTATTTACTATGCAAAAAATGTTTTTTTTTCTATTTTGCCTTACAACATCCTCTGTGTACCTCTCTGCCATGAAAGGGTTTAAAAATAACATTTAGGGCCACCCTTATCTCAAAACTATCATAAAACAATGTCTCAGGCATCAGGCAGCATATTTGTTGCCATTTCATGTAATACATTTCTGTGAGGAAGCTTTTAGAAGCATTACTGTCATCTGACGTCTGGTTCCTATCACAGCCGTGAACACTTCCCATCAGACCACTCTGAATGACTTTGTCTTTCCCATTTTACCTATTTAAACCACGCAGAATTTTAAAATAATTGGTGTGATTTCCCCCTTCGAATTTAGTTTGATTTAAAATTTACTTGGCTTTTTGTTTATTTTTGTCCTACTTTCTTGTTACAGTTGTAGTTAGTTACTTAGTTTTTTTTTTTTTACCTTTCGATCACTTGATATGCTGAGGATTTGAGACTCTGTTAGCTGTAAATCAATACCTCTCCACTGTGCTCACTGTGATTATGTAAAGACCAGAACTGACTATAAGCGCTAGGCGGCTACAGTGGATTTACTGGCTTTGCCAGAACCATGGATATTGTGAGTGATAATCATTACTCTGAGCAGTAGTCATTGAGATTTCTCAGAAACATGAAGCAGCACCTACACAATGCTCAACAAATAGGTCAAACAGTACGAAATATACTTTGTGTTAATAACTCACCAACTACTGTTCTGATTGTTTATTAAGGTAATATTCCCTTTGGAATTTCATCCTCTTTTGTGGTGTAGGCATCTGAATGCATATACATATTCATATTAAACATGCATTAGGGCAAGTACACAGTATTAAAGTTATGTAAAATGTGTACGTCTATAATCCATGTACATCCCTATGGTTTAAAGATTGAATGCAGCTCTGCTGGCTGAATTGTGCAGTTTTATTGGTTAGTTTGTATTTTTCCCAGCTCATGAAGAGGAAAAGGGACATTTCCCCTCTACTTCTTGACTTTTTTGCTCAGTGTTTCCTTATCCCTGGGTATAAAGCTCATAATGATGAGTATAAAGCCCACTGTAAATAACAAAACATAAGGCATGAGGATAAGCTGTATCTGTCTAACATACCTATGCGTACATATAAACTATTGTGCTGTAGTCAAGGGAACAAAAAGTGTAGATTCCACAATACAATTGTAGATTCCTACTTATACAATCATATGTGCAATAAAATAAGTTTTCCTGTTGCTTTTTCCCTTGTCTTTTTCTACATTTGTTACAAAGGGTAACTGATCCACATGTTTATCTCATAATAGAAATACAGATATTTTTATGATGAGATAAATATTAAACTTTATGGAAACTGCATATTTCTTACATATTTTATGGTGTTTTATCTCACATTCATAATATGATAAATTTACTGCTAAGAGTAGTAAAGATTTTCTATATCAGAATTAATCAGGTTCCCGTTCTTGCAAACAAGATACAAGTGTCTTAAAACTCTGAGTCTGACAAAAGATAGAAGACATGGAACAATCGATAGACAAATCATCTTACCCAAAGAGCTGAGAAGAGACGACAGCTGAATTAATTGATTGGTGACTCTTGCTGTTGTGTTGATGGTGTGTCCAGCCGGATGTCTGAGAAAAGATGACCCGTGGCTGTTTCTCTCTGGCATGGTTCAGGCACGTAATGCCTGTGGCAATAAGCTGGGCTTATGAGGGACGCTCAGTGGCAAGGTCTGTTTCTGCACAATGCAACAGCGCAAGGTTGCAGAGGGAAGAGAACAAGAACGCTACCTGATCACAGCGGCAGGAGTGGGGTGGGGGGATGTGTGTGTGTGTGTGTGTGTGTGTGTGTGTGTGTGTGTGTGTGTGTGTGTGAGAGAGAGAGAGAGAGAAAGAGAGAGAGAGTGCTGTATGTCTGAGTAGAGGGAACATTAAGAAGGATTACCGCTGAACACACTGCCACTCCCTTTCTCATTGCCCCTCTCCCTCTCTCTTTTTTTTCTGTCTTTCTCACATCTCATTCACTCTTTCTTTTAGGCATTTCCCTCTCGTTCTCCTCCCTTCTATGGTAGTTTCCCCCGGCTTTCTTTGAATCGTTCATACACACAAATTTGCTCACTCAGTTACTTATTCTTTCATTCTCTCTCTCCTGTCTCTCTCTTTCTCTCTCTCTCTCTCTCGCGCTCACTCTCATATCCTTACTTTCTTTGTGTCAGTTGGCCAGTTGCGTTGCCTGTATATTTTTCTCATTGTGTCTTGACTCTCTGGGTCTGAAATCTGTAGCACAAAGGCTGGTTGGAATAGTCAATTCTCTTTTGATGCTTGTTGTCTCATTTGGCGCTTTTGATCTCATACTCACTCCTGCAGTTGTATGCAAAAGACACTCCCAGGGAAATTACTTGGTTTGTTGATTTTCTAAGTGATTAATAACATCATCTACAGGGAATAAACTTAAATATGACATGAAAGCTGTTTATTGACTATTTGTTGAATGAATTGGGGGGAAAAATTATGCCGTAAAAATGCCGTAACTTTTGCACAGACCACATTTTATGTGGAGGATTAGAGATGAAACGATATTAAAATTTCATATCACGATTATCATGACCAAAATTATCACGATTATCGGTATTATCGCGATATTGTTCAAATGTGTTGAAAAGTAAAATAAATTTAAAAAATAAATACTGAAACACAAACGGAAACTCGTTTCACCAACTTTTATATTAACACAAATAGAATTGGCAGCAATATGCACTTTTTGTTTGCATAAACATTAAAAAATAAGGACAATACATTTTTAGTATTGTTTTTGTATTACTTACAATACTTGTAATACACTGTAAACAAAAGAATAGCAAATGTATTATTACTGTTATTCTTCTTCTTATTCTTATTATTATAACTGTTGTTATTATTATTATTACTGTTATTATTATTATTATTATTATTATTAATTACAATAACTAGGGATTTCCCTGCATAGAGAATTAAATCTCGACCAACTCTGGGTCTTTTACTACTTCTTACTTATTAAATTACTACTTCTTAGAAGTGCTGCACTCGAGGGATTTCTTTCCTAACTGCAATTGCAGCATTATTGTGCCGTTGTGGCGCTGTACCCCTAATCAATACAGTGCACCAGGAAAAACAAAATCACAGAGGAGCTGCGTGACCGCGCTGTGAGCTGCAGACAGTGTAGAACTCACACAGTGTGTCTTCACTTGTGGAGCTGCTCCTCTAAAAGCATTTTAATACTAAAACATAACTTAAAATTAACGCGCATCTGAGCTGCGGCAGAAACACTCCTGAAGTTTAATCTCTGAAACTCTGCTTTTCCTAAAAGCAGCACACAGCGTTTACTCGTGCAAGGTCCCGTCTCAAAGCACACTATCTTCCCTATGTAGTGCACTTTGTGGATCATGAAATAGCAAATCCTTCACCCAAAGAGTGTGTAAAATGTTCACAATAACAATATATTAACAGTAGGTTACAAATTCCCTATTTAAAGCTCAGCTGCTTGTTAATGATGATCGTGCTTGTTTGAAAAGTAGCGCTCTATGTAGGGGACATTGAGTGATTTGAGAGTGTTATTTTCTTCTCAGACAGTAAACACTGCAAGCGAGACGAGAAAGGGGAGCTGTGCAGATTGAACTTCTGCAGCGTCTCGTTCCAGAGCTTGTGTGACTGTTAACTCAGAGCTCATTTTGGAGACTCTGCTCCACAGAAATATTTGTTAAAAGCTTTAGTTTCGATTCACAGCTGATTCAGCGATTGTTTTTTTGTTTGTTTGTTTGTTTTTTTTTTTACGCTAAAAGCTTCATTTTATATTATTAACAAACCATAAGCATAAGTTAAACCACACAAACCATGACATTTCTTCTATTTCGAAGTCCCCACAGACTTCTCCGTTAAAGTTAACCTTGCATTCTTGCAAGTAGCGGGTGGTGGTCGCGAAGATGACTCGTAAGGTTTGATGTGTTGCCCCCATTTCGCCGCTATTTTCTTTCGGCCTGTTCTGCAGACAGGATGGTCATCTTCAATTAACTTTCCTTCTGCATCCTTATAAAACCCAAAATATGACCAAACGTCAGACTTGGTCTTCTTAGAAGGCTGAAATATCTCCGAATCTCTGAGTTTTTCACACGATTTTAACGATACTTTAAAGTTCACGTGGTACTACTAACCGTCATTAATTTTACTGCGGTTTACCGTGAAACCGGTAACCGTTTCATCTCTATGGAGGATGTGTACTTATTTTCACTTAGAAAATAAACAAAAAGATGTGATTTGACCAGGGTGCCTAGACTTGTACACATACAAGCTGTGTGCAGGAAATATAGTTTTTTTATGTAATTAACCAACTAATTTACCCAGTTTAACCTGTTCTTTCAGTAACAGGCTTTTGGCATTTTAGTATCCATTTTTTTATACAGTTGTATGCAGAAGTTTGGGAACCGCTGGTCAAATTATGTTTTGTGTGTTTTTTTTTTTTTAAGTGACGTAAGCCTAGTGTATGCAGTGACTCAAGCTGCTCACACAGAGAAGTGTCACTGACACCGCGGCAGCGGGACCCCAAAGTGTTGGTCACATTAAACATTTCGCCACGGAACATTCCTGCCAGACATGCAGTGTGCGATTTTGACTGGCATATTTGTCAGTACACAATGGTGTATTCAAACCTACAGTGAGTCACTAAACAACAAGATTTCTAAAATCACAGTGTATGCCTAGCTTTAGAGGACATCCACCTACAGTGCAACCAGCCAAAAAGACTCCAACAAGATATAAAACTCCATAAGTGAGCTCCTCGGATGCATTAGCCTCAGATGTGATTCCTGCTGTCACTGTGATACAGAGAGTTTTGTTGAAAGAGACAGATGAGGAGCAGGGATCAAAACTATGAAACATACTTTATTTACAGCTTTACAGAAGTTCCTTTCTGGTGTATAACAAAACCTGTACTTCTTCACTGCTGCACTGCTCTGTCCAAGGTAACTAATGTAGTAGAGCTAGCTAATGCACTTTATTTAAAATAATCTAGATGTTAATGAATTAACTGTTAAGGTACATTGCACTCTTTTACGCTAACAACTACTTATTTCTAAATAGGTCACTCAGTATGGTATTTTAATTAGTATATTGGGAAAAATAAAGCAAAAAAAAAGTGGCCTGGGCAAAGTTATGTTTGCTTGGTTAATTTTTTTCCAGTATGTTAATCTCAGCAAATAAATAGAAGTTGTGCACTAAAATTTGCAGTAAATGCCATTTGTTCTCAGTAGAGGCTGTTATCTTTTTCTCACTTTTTCTCACACAAATCAACAAAATGTCATTTGGCGCAGGGCCTTTCAGACATTTGCATACAACTGTATGTGGAGGTAATATTAGATAAATAAGAACAATGATTAAATACATAAATAAAAACATAAGTTGACTCAAAGGCATGACTACAATAAAACAGACTATATTCTTTTTCTAGCCTGTTTCATCTTGGAGTGCACAGGGCAGGTTTTTAATTTTAGTTTCAGTTGTAGTTTCTTTTTCTTATTTTTGTTGCAGTAACATAACATAAGCCTTGGTAAAATCTAATTGAAGTATGTGTCTCTCGCTCTCTCTCGCTCTCTCTCTCGCTCTCTCTCATTATGTTAATGTAGGCCTTGAACTTGGCCTACAGTAGTATATTTGGCTTCTACCGGCACTTTGTAGGCCCACCCCACATCAAGGCTGTGTGCAGACTGTTGGGATACCAGGGCATCGCTGTGGTTATGGAGGAACTGTTGAAAGTTGTTAAGAGCCTGGTAAGAGCATAATGTGTTTTTTTTTCTATTGTAACCTTAGCATAAAGGGATAGTAAATTAAATTACACAATTTTACCATTTATCCTGCATGTAGTTAATTAGCCAAGACATGTTTTGAGTCCAAAATGTGGCTTCTTTAGTTTTAAGCTGGAGCTGCAAATGTGAACTATAAAAATGAACAAAACAACATTGTGTTGCTAAACGCTGGGGGCAGACATTTTAAATTGGCTACTGCGCTGAATTCTGCTCCCCCGGCAAAATGCAGCTCTCCTTCATGTGCACACATATTACACAGGCATATAGATGCTACAAATTGTATTCTTAATATCTGTTTTTTCTAAAGAGCTCTTAATATTGAATTTTCAAACTGAAGATGTATGTTTACAAGTAGAAACTATAAAGATTGGGAATGTAGCATCAATATGCCTGTGTCCCCGCAAAGGGGAGTCAAGATTCTGTGGGGCAGTCAGAATTTGGCACAACATTTGTTGTCTAAAATGACTGCTCCCAGTGTTTAGCTACAAGGTGAAGTTTTGTTCATTTTTACAGTTCACAATAAGCCATACTGTGTCCAGTGACAAGTCTGTATCAGTGTGTATGGGGATATATTTTAGGAAAAGATATGGGTGACTGGACTTCTAGTGTTTAGCAATGTTAGCCTCCAGACCTGAACTGAAGAATCAGTTGATTACACCTAGGGTAGGTGAAAAACTGTGCTTTGAACCATTACTTTGAGGCTTGTATTACTGAATAGACTAATATGAATGCCTTTAACTCCCAAAACTGCAACATCACATCCCATGGTAATGTCACTGTTGCCTTAAAATGTGGGATCGCTTGGATGTTATCATAGAGATGACAATGTATATTATCATATAGCATAGTGCTATCATAGATTCTTTTTATTTTTGCAGTGTCTTGAACATTTGAGGCTGTAAAATGAAGCTAACAGTTGAATGTTTCTATGGTGCAGCTCCAGGGCACAATCCTGCAGTATGTTAAGACCCTGATGGAAGTGATGCCCAAGATCTGCCGTCTCCCACGCCACGAGTACGGCTCACCAGGTGGGTGATGGAACAGAGTTGCCTTCTCTGTGCTGCTCAGTAGGGTTCTGTGTTACACAGCAACCAAAGTAGAAGCTCTAAGGACTCTGCTTTGTACCAAAGCCTTTATGTAGCTATGGTCAAACTCCAGGAGCACTGACTTGGTGAAAATCAGCTCCCACTCAAACCCAACACAAAACATGATCTTTTTATTTATTTTTTTTTGGAACAGGAGTGAGTGTTTCCAGGTAGCTCAGATAATTTGTCGCGCAGCAGGTTGCTGTATGGCGTCTGTGTGCTCTGTGAGATTGTGGAGCAAAGTGTACTCAGTGTTTTGTTGGCTGTAATGAGAGGCTTCTCAACTTCAACACCTACCACTGCCTTGAACATGCTGGGTAATTGCCTCTGACTGTTGAGTGCTGGGTGTTTGTGTTGCTGTCCGTAGTGAGGGGGTCCACTCCACACTGGGGTCATGACTTGGCTTGGTAAAAGGAGTGTTACAAAGAAGACTCCAGTCAGAAGGAGGATAAGGAGGAGGGAGAGAGAGAAAGTGGCTGATGGTACTACCTTTATTGGGAGTTTTCAGTGGGCATCAAAGCTATGTTTATTTACATTGCTGATAAAATAATTGCATTATATGTTAGTAGCAGCCCAGAAATACAGTTCTTGTAGTTTGGTAAGCATCCTGCATTTTCTTATGAGTCACAATTATTTTTGGTAATAATGAAAGGCATGTAGTGGATTTTTATTAATTACTTCAATTAGATTTTTTTTGTGGAAATATGCAAATTTGCAGTGTTTAAACAGGTACAAGTCTATCAAACATTTTCCCAATATGCATTATAAGGAAACAAATCAATATAAAACAAGAAGAAAAAAACAAAATGATGTGTATTACTATGAGATCATAGGGTCCTAAATGTTTTTGATTTTACAAACACATTTCTAGAGATAAATTTGATTTTTCTAGTTTGTAGAAGAGCAGAAGGTCACAGAGCCACTGTGAGGCCTTTGATGGATGGGGTGATTTCCAGTTGAGCAGTATCCTCCTCCTTGCAAGAAGGGTAGCAAAAGCCAGGGCCTCTTTAATCCTGTTTGGAATTTGGATATTCAGAATATACCTTTTATGTCCAAACAAGCATTGGCGGCAGAATGGGTCATACTGAAGTGTTCAGTGACTTTAAACATGGAACTGTCGTAGGATGCCACCTTTGTTGCAAGTCAGTTTGTGAAATTTTTGCCATGCAACATCTGCCCTGGTCAACTAAGTGCTAGTATTGTGACATAGAAGCGTTTAGCAGCAACAACAGCTCAGTTGTGAAGCAGTAGATCACACAAACTCACAGAGCGAGGCGTCAAAGCACTGAAGCGCACGGTGCCTATCCTCTGTTGCATCGTTCACTACAGAGTTCCAAACTGCGTCTGGAAGCAACATCAGCATCAAACACGTTCTCTGGAGTGATGAATCACACTTCACTGTTCACAGCCCAGCTTCCAAAAAAGTCGGGACGCTGTGCAAAATGTAAATAAAAACGGAATGCAATGATGTGCAAATCATTTAAACCCTATATTTAATTGAAAATAGTACAGACAACATGTCAGAGATTGAAACTGAGAAATTTTATATTTTTTGAAAAATTTCCATTTTAAATGTGTTTTATTTTAAATGTAATTTAAAATAATAAAAAAAATGATTTGAATTTGATGAAAAATCATCACCGTGCAAACAGCATTGTTTTACCAAAAGAAAAAAACATCCAGATCATGTTTTTCTTATTTTCTTGTAAATGAAATCAGAACAAGCAGAAAAGTTGGAATTGTTACAGAATGTGAAAGTAATTAATTGTGTAAGTACATGTGTAATTAGTCGTGTAATTATGTTAAGGCTTTGGCTGTAATGCAGTTGCAGTAGTTTAAAAACCTAAAAGTCTTTATAATTAACTAGTAGTGGAGTTTCATTGAATTTGTCCTTTGCAGGTATCCTGGAGTTTTTCCACCACCAGCTGAAGGACATTGTGGAGTATGCTGAGCTGAAGACTGTGTGCTTCCAGAACCTGAGGGAGGTGGGCAACGCTGTGCTCTTCTGCCTGCTCAGTGAACAGAGCCTGGTAGGTTAACACCATACAGATCTACTGCAGAATAAAACTTGCACCACGCTGATGTATGCTGGAGGTTCACATGAGTCCACAAAGATATAGACGAACTGGAACTTCAGCCTCCCGTATTACTCTGATTTATGTTGAGGGTTTATGGAATATTGAAACAGTAAGATGAACCTGACCACATTTCCTTGATTAAACCTCGATGTGGACATGAAGACTCTCTTCATTGTGCTGTGACACATAGCGTTGTTGTCGTCATTTACTGCATTGGCTAGATTCACTAAACCTTGCAAAGGATATCAGTGGCACAGAATGGTGGTCTCTCTCATGCACTCCACTGATCTAAGTCCCAGAATGTATAAGTATCAGCTGTCAAAGGGGAGTCCATAGTCAGTCTTTGAAAAGAGAATATCTGAGTTTTTTAAATCAGGAATTATTTACTGTGTCTTTAAGGGATGCAAGAGAAAATATATGTATATATAAATATACCCACAGTGCACAAAACGTAAAGATAATGTAAGAGAAAAGGCTTCTGCACTCCGTCCCACCTGCTTTTGAGGATATGCGTTTTTGAGAGAGGTTACCTGCAGCCTGCTGAGGGTTGTCATGGAAACACAGCTGTGTTTGTGCTTCATGTAGCAGTATTTGGTTTTATTCTTAACACAGTATAGTTTGCCCTGCTGTTTCTGAGTTGAAAACAGATTCAGTCATGTCAGATGTGTTTTTGATGTTTGCACCTGGACTGCTTTGAGTGGTAGTGCACAGGAGAGAAAATTGAATTGATTTAATGAAGCATTTGACAACCCTGTGAAAATATCATTTGAGATTGGAGCATGCTTGCATCATGGTTTTGTTGTCTCAGCTATTTCAACAGTAGGAACCACTCAGTGGCTGCTGCTAGACTATTGTTGATGCGCAAATACACAAGTACTACCTTTTATTAACCAGGTATGCTTGATACCATAATATTTTTTTGTACTATTTGCTAATGTTTAAGTGATCAAAGCAGCAAAACCGTTGTTCTGAAACATGGGCTACTAGAAAATAAAATCTTAAGAAAAAAGGAGCAGCAAATAATGGTAGATGATGAAATTTCTAATACATTTAGTAAAAACCTTGGGCAAAAACCTGGTAGTAAATCTTATAAGACTGAAACTCAAGCTTAATTAAAACCTTTAGGGAAGTTCTGTCAATTCCCTCAGATTCAGCAGAGCTCAAGTAAACATGATTTAGGAGATTAGCAGGGCTGTTGTTCCATGCCCATGGAGTGACCTTGTCTTGTGGTTGAAAAAAAGATCAGTAACATGCTCCACGTTTGACAAACTGGCACTTAAATACAACTAACATAAGCCTTGTACAAGTTACTGGCGATTCAGTTTATTATCTGTTGTGGACATCTTAAGTTGGTTTCAGAATTGTCAGTCATCTATATTAAGTGATATAAGCACATTAAAATAAATTTAATTTTGTATTCATTATTTAACTGGTCCTCCTGTAAATTTACATTGAGAAACCAATGAGGGATAAAAGATTTTACTGCAGGGAAAAGGAAATGAATCAGCAAGACTAAGAACAAAAAAACACCCATTCATAATTTCTGTGATGTAAAATAACCCATAATGCAAAAAGAGAGGAAATGTTGTAAACTTTAATGCATATGAATATAAAAAAGAGGAGAATAGAGAAAAAAGGAGAAAGCTTCTCAATAGGTCAACACATTGGAATAAACACACATCCTCAGACACAAAATAGAGACTTGGATTGGTTCACAAACATAACCTAGTGTCATTAGTTAAATCCAGTCAATAAAGGTGTCCCTCATGTTCACCCTAATGACCTCTGCAACAGGCACCTTCATTTAGGCCTCCACAAAGTGACCTCTCACCCAGTTATGCCACATCTGTCATGTCTCAGTAGAGGAGTTTAGACAAAAGCAAGTCCTTATTTCAATCACAACAACGTTCTCAGGAAATAATCATCCATACAGAGAGAAAACACCACACAAACATAACACACACTTCAGCTTTTCTCTCAAAACTCCATTTGTATTACATTTTAGCACCAGGTGCAAATCAGGCCTTCCTATAAGAGCCAATAGTCCGGACAGTGCAGTGCTATTTCACAGACAAAAATGCTCTTTTTGAACCAACAAAAGATTCAAAGGCCACATTTTCATTTTGTATCAGGGTTCAAGAGTTCTTAATGCCATCTTCAGCCATGTTCAGACTTGCAGAAGATACTTCCTTGTGGTTATTACTGACATCCAGCACCTGCTCTCCATTCCTCTTGAACAGCCTAGTGGAAATGTTCTGATTGCATGGGTCAGGATATGACTGCCAATGGCTCAGAGCATCTGAAAATTAGACTGTCGTAGTGTTTGTGTCTGTACAGCACCATCTAGTGGCCATGATCGAAAGCACACAAGTAATTCACCCTTACCGGAAGTCTACAAGTCAGTCAAACTCTGAGCAAACATTTCAACACCCTGAATGTGCTTCACATGGGAAAACGTGTTTGTGCTTTTTTTTTTCTTGCCGTTATTAATTAATGCTTATTTCTTTATCATTGTCTGTCTTAAGTGTGGGCAATATGACGATGTCATCATTATCGTGATGAATTGCCACAGTGTGCTTTTTTCAGCATATCTTGAATCTCATCAGTATTTGAACAACAAACTAAACAACTGCGTGTTTCATTACAAAGAGCATGATTAGTGCTGTTTAATTGCATTTAATACAGCACAGTATAAGAAACATAGAATACAAATCATTGTACTTTTGCATGGCGGTTCCTAAATGTGGAACTACTGGGGCTTTTTGTCTGTTGCAACTAATCAAACGGAATATTATGATGTATTGTGTATCTTGAAAATATCTAGATATCATGATAATATATTTTTGAAATATTGTCCACCCCTAGTCTGTCTTACATAAAATATATACCTTGCACACCAAAGAAAATGAACAAATTGATTCTTGGCCAAATCAAGCCTCAACTTTCACTCCGAACCTAGACACCAAATGAAGCTCTCTTATTATGAAAAGACCCAGTTCACTGGAAAAGACAGCTACGCTCAGAACAGTTGAAGGTAAATGAGGAGGAGGACGGCCAGAAACAAGTTGGATGGAGACTATCGAGGGAATCATGAACCAGCTAAAACAAATTCTGGAGAAACACTGTCCACACGATCGACATGAGTTGGAACCAACTTGACGACACTAAATAAATAACGTGTGAATGCTGGCGGCTTTATCAGAATCTGCCATTGCGTTTCTTTGCAGTTGAAACTGGACTCTCAATAGCGTTTCACCACAAAGCGCTGATTGTTAGCACCTTGATATCAGTGTTGATAACGTGCATGCTTGTCACATGTTTAAGTTTGACCTTGTCAGTGTTGCTACTGAACATTTTACAAATGTTTGATCTTGAATCTTTAATAGTTTCTAACTTAAATTTCCATTTTTGATAGTCTCAGGAAGAAGTATGTGACCTGTTGCATGCTGCACCATTCCAAAACATTCTGCCAAGAGTTCATGTCAAAGGTAATCTGAAATGGAAATGTGTGCATGTATCTGGTGTAGTGTGAGAGAGATATAAACAGGGCTAAGTGTGAATGTTTGTGGTGAGTGGTTGTGAAGCATATGTGGTTTTGTGTTCTCAGGCTGTAATGTCTTGAAAGAAATCTTGTGAAATGAGTTTCTTGTGAAGTGTATTTGCTTAGATTAAGCACCTTCTCCTTCCTCTATGCAGAGGGCGAGCGCCTGGATGCTAAGATGAAGCGGCTGGAGGCCAAGTACACGGCACTGCATCTGGTGCCTTTAATTGAGCGTCTGGGAACTCCGCAGGTGGGCACCAAATCATTTACCTTCCCAACCTTGTTAGCAAACTGTACCACTCCTACACGCATTTAGCCATCAATGATGAGCCTGCCTAGCAGTTCCTTTTGATCATTCCTGCAACAAGCTCTGCTAAGCTTCCAAAGTTCAGTACCATTCTTGAAATGGTAACTTTATTAGAGAAAGAATAAACATTCTTGACATCTGTTCATGTAACTCGATGGATGCAAGGTTAAACGTAAACATTAAGGGTCGAATTCCTGGACAGGGCTGAAGCCTATTTCTGAGAAACTCTGTTCAAAATGCTGTGTAGTCTTGGACTAGGCTTAATCCCAGGAATGTCCAGGAAATGTCCAGGAAAACAACCCAGAAAGCTTTTCTATTGGTCCATTTGTCATGAGATGTTCAATAGAGAGGTTAATTTTATAGGTTCCATCCTATTGAAAACCACAGTGAGTTTGATAAAAACACTGCTACAGTTTCAAAACGTACTGTTCACTGGCCAGTCCATACAGTCCACATAAGGAAACTAAGATGCAAAAGCAGCCTGTTTAGAATGCATTGTTTTAATGATGTTATAAACCAACAATCATTCATATATCTGCCTCTTCAGCCTACATACATTTAGTTCCTCTCTTCACACTGAAGTTTTAAAGAGTCATTTCAGCTCTTGACTCCTTTTTGAATACAGTACAGGGCAGCCAGTCAGAATAGAGATTATTTACATATCATTGCTGTCAAGCAAAAACCTTGTATCTCTGTTTTTGTAAATTTGTACTTTTTTGCATAATTTGAAAACTCCACTTACCTTTGTATTGTGTCCAAATGTGATGATAAACGGACCAATAGAAATGGACCAGAATTACTTGAAAATAAATATTAATACATTTAACTGCCATTACAAGTTTGGGTTTTATTGGAACTAGTCTGTTTAATTCTAATGGATAAAGAGAGGTTGGAAAATGTTCATGTAAAAATAAATTAAGACCGTCTTTGGTGCAAAAACCCATACAAAAAAGTGCACCGCAGGAATTAAAGTACAAGAAAAATATAGGATACAAGCCTTTTAAATAATAAAAAAGGAAGAAGGTTTAGACTGTAAATGCAGCTAAAGGAAATGATCTTCTTATGCACTGTTTTAAGGATTTCATGTTTATTAGATTTTGAGTTATGCATTGTCAAAAAAAATCCAGAATTCAATCTTGAAAACCTTAAAACTCCTTTACACCTTCCATTAGCAAATTGCCATTGCTCGTGAGGCGGACCTGCTGACAAAAGAGAGGCTGTGCTGTGGACTGTCCATGTTTGAAGTTATCCTGACCCGTGTACGTGGTTTCCTGGACGACCCTATCTGGCGCGGCCCGTTACCCAGCAATGGTGTGATGCACGTGGATGAGTGTGTGGAGTTCCATCGTCTGTGGAGTGCCATGCAGTTTGTGTACTGCATCCCTGTAGGAGCCCACGAGTTCACTGTGGAGTGAGTGACCCAGAAACAGTCCAGTTCCTACTTCATCTCTTGTTTAACCCCTTGAACTATACGGTCCTGTTGAAGGCCCAGGCCTGAATTCCTCACTCTAATACGATACACCTTGCGTAACCGTTTCCAGTGGCGAACGGTATCTGTTAAAGCAGGGCTTTCAGCTCAGGCCATAAAGGTCAAAACTCAGACAAAACACACCTCAGTGATAATGCTCACTTCTAGGCTAATGGTGATTCGCTTTAAGGCTTTCAAAAGAGGCTGAAGTTAGCAGTTATATTATTGTGTCTAAATGTGCCAGAATGTAAATGCACTGTTTAAGGAACATAAAACCTAAGACATTACGTTTTATTTGAAACTTGTGACAGAAATATTGTAGCAGTTTCACAGTGACTCATCGGAAAGTCTTAGTATACAGCTGCTCCCACTGTTTTTTGTTTCTAATAACGCCCTGATTAGGCTACTGTTTGTATTCAGTCAGTGACGTGTCTAGGGCATCCGGAAGAGTGATGTTTCTCTCACAAAATGGGTCCCACCCATTGGAAATCGTGATTGTTTAATACCTGTATCACTTTTATGGTTGATAATAAGCCTGCAGTTTGAGGGATTAATAGGGTAGGAAACTATTTGTGCATAGGACTGCATACAGTACACGTTGCTAAGGGCTGGTAAGCCCACTTATGTTAAGAGACACTTCTTATATGGGCTAAACAAATTCTCTGGAGGCATTGAAAGAACTACAGATGTAACAGTAGCAGTTCCATTTTATAAAGACCATTTTGTTCATCTACAGGCAGTGTTTTGGAGATGGATTGAACTGGGCAGGCTGCATGATTATCACCCTGCTGGGCCAGCAGAGACGCTTTGACATCTTGGACTTCAGCTACCACCTGCTCAAAGTGCAGAAACATGATGGCAAGGATGAGATCATCAAGAGTGTGGTAAGTCTTATTATCTTAACTATTACCCTTTTCGGAGACTCTGCCAGTGCTTCTTAACAATGACTGGTGCAACTCATAAAAGTGTTAACGTGAAAAATCATAATGGCCAGCCCACTTAAAAAAAAATAAATTAAAAAAAAATAAATAATCAATCCAGAAGTTGTTCCTGCTCTATACTCAATGTTTAGTTGGTTCTGTTTTGGGTAACATTTTTGTCTCTTATCAGTGAAGGTCTTCCTCACTTTTAACTTCCACAGTCCAACTAACGTCTCTTCTCTTTCAGCCATTAAAGAAAATGGTTGACCGCATTCGCAAGTTCCAAATTCTGAATGACGAGATATTTGCCATTCTGAATAAGTACCTGAAATCCGGTGATGGAGAGAACATGCCAGTGGAACATGTCCGATGCTTCCAGCCACCAATCCACCAATCACTGGCCAGCAACTGAGATCACTTTTTACCTTAAACCAATTCTTAATTAAACTAGCAGGATTGGTGCAGGTTAGATGTACTGTTGTTAACAAGGCACCAGCAAAACAGCAAACTACATCTAATGTAGTTGACCAATTTTCAGTTACTAGTACATTCACTATTACATTCTGTCAGAGGAACTACTTTACCTAAGCCTGTAGTGTTCATCGAGCCAGTAAATCAGCTTGTGATTTGTCAAGTGACATGCTTATGAAGCAATCACTGATTGCAATATTGATATTGTGTAAAACTAAGACCAAGGCTTTGGTAAGACAAGCCCAAAGATGTAGATGTAAGAAGCGGACTTCTTTGGCCCAGTTTTAAACACTGTCTTCTAAGTTGATTTTTTTTTTGTATACACAATGTGCCTTATTATTATGAATGACTTAACTTTACTTTTTTCATTTCATCTAGTACAGTGCTACTCATTATGTTTTATACTCCTTCAAAGTTATAGCCAAGTGTGGGAACGGCCAAGTGGGTTTTTATCTAGAGATTATTTAAGTTTTGCTGTGGTGAAAGATCTATAGTATATTTTCTATTTGGTATTGTTAAAATGACTGCATGCCCCCTCCCCCATTCTTAAAAGAAAGTTTCAGAATAACCAAGTTCTTACTCTTGTTAAACATTTGCCTTTTGTATTTGATTGTACTCTGATTTTAATTCAATAAATATGTAACAAATCTCATTTTCATCAAGATTCTTCAATGTGAGTATGCTTTGCTAAGATTCCACATGAGTTTATTACAAAGAAAGCAGCTGATCAGTTGATTTTGTAGAAAGGAAATTAGAATTCAGTGCCAGTTCAGTGCCAGTTCAGTAATACCTGTACATAAAGTATAACAAAAGGCTCTTAAAAACAGGTGTATATTTACAGTGCTACATGAGGAATGAGATGGAAGCCTTACAATGTAGTAATGTCCAACATAAAGTAAGGCAGAAGAGGAAAACACTTTAGTACAATCAGTTGGTCCATCAGTCACTTTTTTTGCCTTTTTGATTGTCTTAGGGTTTTTTCCGATTTGAGGGGAGTAAGAATACTAAATGTCCACACAGCAGAACACACTAATGAGCTGTTCAGATCTTGTCCCTTTTTGGCCCTAAGAGGCTGTACTGCCATTTCGTCTGGAGATACTATCAAAAGGCAAACCTATTTCTCTGTCCTCAAAATCCACTGAGGTGTCATTATGCAGTAGCTCGTAGGAAGTATGGCTGTGGACCGCCACCCCGTTGGACACTGGCCCGTTACGTTCTTCCTTCCTGATGGACACAGCCAGTGTAGCCAGACTAACGTTAACATCCTTAAAGGCGTGCAGCAGGAAGATGCCCACTATTATGGTAACAAAGCCACTCAGGGTTCCAATGATGTCATCATATCCCATGTTCTCCCATTCTTTGAACAAGATGGCAGAGCAGGTAAGCACAGAGGTGGTAAAAAAGACATAGTAGATGGGTGTGACCAGAGAGGTGTTAAAGATGTCCAGTGCTTTATTCAGGTAGTTAATCTGTGTACTGACACAGGCCACCAGGCTCAGGAGTAGCAGCCAAGACAAGGGGTTTCGCAGTACAGGCTGACCAGCAATGGCCTCCTTAATAGTGATGCCCAAGCCCTTAACGCAAGATACTGATAGGGCACCGATAACAGAGCAGATGGTGATGTAGACCAGGATGTTGGTCTGTCCATGGCGCGGACCAACCACGAAGATAAAAATCAGAGCTATGATGATGACAAATGTTGCGAAGACCACAAAGCCTGGAGTGAAACAACAGAAGATTGTACGACATGAGAACAGCAGCTCATCAGAATCATTATATGGTACAACACTGCTGTTGGCTTCTTTTACTGACATAGCTGTTCACACGCTACATTTTGTTTGATAGCCTTAAATTTATGTCTAAATATGGTGCTTTTTTTTTTGGTTTAGCAGACTTGAGTTCTGCACACTACATTGTAATTACATTCTTGTTTCAGGCCGGCTACTCTCACGGTTCTATTACATATTCCTCACTTAAATTTTACTTGCAAATGGCATCCATTGTGAACAAAGGCTATCTATTCACAGGTAAATTCAGAGTGAGGAATCTTTCACTAAGCTCAAGAGGAAAGGCCTGTAGCACAATTTTCCAAACAGAGTGACAAACTTGTCCACTTGAGGAAAACACTGTTATAGCGTACCTGGATCCACCAGTTTCTTGGCCATGTCTTCTAGGCTGTCAATCTCCTCCTCCTGCGGTGCATGGATCACCATGGTGGTGGAGCCCAGGATACTGAGCAAACAGCCCAATTTCCCATGCAGGTTTAACCTCTCCGTCAGGAAGTAGGAGGAAAGGACAGCACTGCAACAACAGTCATATTCATCTTACAACATGCCTAAATATTTTGATAGCACATACAATATTTTGAAAAGAAGGGTTTCTCAGTTAAACAAATAACTTAAGCCAAAAGACAAGCCCATCCAATAAGAGAAAAGGTAAAGTACATTGCCACTGGATAATCACTTCTGAATTGACCCTTAAATGGCCAGGGCCCAAAGTTGTACTGCACACTTCTATAACCTAAGAATAACTCAGCCAGTTTACATTGTAGTCAGTATAATAAGGGGTAAAATTATCAAGCTAACTAAGAAATCCCTCCTCCTGGTAAGTTACAAAATGTGTGTTAAAGATAGGACTTGCACATTATTTTACACACGCAATTTCATCAAGTTCAATATCATCAGAGAAGCAGTGTTTATCAGTACAACTTGTGCAAATCAATTTTTTTTTTACATAGTTGAGGTATTTTTTTTTAATGTTTAGTTATCTGTCTGCAAAATATGTTTGTAATGCAAAGCATACCTCACAAGTACACTGAGAGCACCGAGGGGAGTGACGAGGGTAGCAGGAGCGAAGGCGTAAGCTGCGAAATTTGCAGCTTCACCAGCACCCACTGCAAAACCAGAACAAGTGCTACTCATTACCACAAAATTCTAACCAATTAAGGTTACACATATAGGCCAGCAGAGCTACAAACACATACAGTCCTATATCGTTAAAGGGGCATTCTGGCCTAAAATTACGATGTAATATATTATTTGTTCTGTAGTATTCTATAGGGCAGTACTGCATTCCTCAACCTTATTGGTTTGACAGAATTCACAATGTTGTATCCTTTTTGTGTGCTGTTCAATTTTCTCTCACTACAAGGCTCAGCATGGTGCAAATACATCATTAGGAATCCCCTCCACCTCAATGAAAAATCACCCTGATTTTTGGGTTAATATTAGGACTACACCAGGAATCATTTCAGTATATATCTGATATAGCTGATATTTCACTCTGAAAAAGCAGAATGTTTAGGGAACGCTGAGCTACTGTGCCAACATGTCTACATTTTATTCATTTTACTGCATCCGTAACCCTTTACAGATAAATGTTACATTCCCTGATGAATTTCTCTGTAATACTAATCCAGGAAGATCCCATTCTCTAAGTTTTTTAAATCTTTATGCATCGGCATCTGCAAATATGCCCAGAAAAGTATCGGGTATCAGCACTGGCCCACAATTCCCATATCAGTGCATCCTTAATTAATAAACACATAAATTCACATATTCAGTTTCCTAGCAGTAACATTAGCTTTCTGGCTTCCTGCATTTACCAGCTAACAGAAAAAAAAAAAAATCAAACGGTCTCCCCTGTGTCTAGCAAAAAGTGCTTGTAGTTTTGCTCCCACCTTCATCTGAAGGGGGTTTTCCTGGTCTTTAAACTATAAAATCCAACTCTCGGGACTACTGTGACACTGTTGTAGGAGGTAAGTAAGCATGTTTTACGGAAGACGCAGCAATGGTTACATTTTTTTTTTTTGGCTGGAGTGCCCCTTTAAGAAGTGGAGTAGACTGCAGAAGCCATTATGAAAATGAAGTTCATACACAGTTACTTACTTGATAACAAGCCAGCCCACCAAAGCCATTCCTTCAGGTATGCATGACCGCCCTGGCCTAGGGGGAAAAAAAACAAGGGATAATGCATGTTTTGCTTGTAAGGTACGTCTGAACACAATTCTATGGTTAATTTACACACTGCAACACTGCTTCTGAGGTACAATCTGTAACACATATCTTAGCCTAAAGTGCTATAAAAAGCTGGCGGTTACTGAACAGCAGTCTGCACGCTTAAAGGTGAAAGATTAATTTGTCAGTAAGGCGTTTGTTGACACTGAACCGTTCAGTGTGTTAACAGAACGCACACGGCCATCCATCCTGCTATCCCTGCATCATGAAATCAGGAGGGTGGACCACAGTTAATGACTCTTCATGTAATAATATAAAACACAGTCAAGGCTGAGCGGTGGTTCCATGTGAAGTGGATTATAATCTACCCAAATGAGCCGCACCCTCAGGCTGGAGAGCTGACGAACCAGCACTGAACCACAGACCACACAGGAGGAGGAGTGTCTGTCGAAACACCTCAAACACACTTTACCGGTTTTACCTCCCTGACGGAGAACAAGTGAGTTTAAAAGTCGTATGACTTCTCCTTAGCTCATAAAAACATATTGTGACAGACGAAGCTCGAGTCAGCTTCTTATTCGAATTTTCCCGTTCCACCTTAAATGGCGCAGTAGTTAGTCTGGCGCCCGCACTATTTAAGGTGGAACGACAAAATTCGAACAAGACGCCGGCGAGTAGGAAGCCAACTTCAGGCTCGTCTTCTGCAGATGTTTACCTGCTCTCGTCGAGCCCCTCCTGGCGAGCCGAAGGAGCCCCTTCTTCTTCAGTATAAAGCTGCCCCCGATGAATATACTGGAGCTAATGGCCAAAGCAAGGCCGATGAAGAAATCGTATTTGCCTCGGTCTTGCCCCATAGCGCTCTTCGACAAAGACCTTCCGTCCGTCACATTGAGGAACTGGCAGAGAAGGCGCTGTCCGGTAACGCACTCCCGTCCCGATACGGTGCCTTAAGAGAAATCCAAGAGAAGCAGTCAGTACTTTAGTCAGTCACTACGTACCGATCGGAGAGAAAACTCAGCGCGACAAACAAAAGTAAGCCCACCATTTCCATAAAGACCCTGACAGAAAATACATTCGGCGTGTTTTGGCGTTTCGTTCATATCAAAACGAAAAAGCGAAATCTCTCACAATGAGAGAGAGAGAGATGATGTGTCTCCACCAGCCGCGGTCAACAGGCGTTGATCTGAGGAATTGAGGAAGTGAGCGCTGCTACTTAAGCTAGGCTGCCTGATGAGCAAACATTATGACTTGACCGTGGAGCTGGTGATGAAATGTACTACTCAACACCACCTACAGAACTGGACATGGAAACGCGAGGATAATATCCGTGATACGTCCATGCCATAAAAGGATCTGATCTCTGACCCTGGGACAAAGTCTGAAAACAGCCTCAGGGTCATCTCCATCTGAAATGGATCCCTAACTCCCTAAGCAGCGCACTACATGAATTAGGAAATGATAATAGTGTCTGGCTAAATAGCGCACGGTTTTTTTCAAGGGAGCCATAGAAAACTTGTCAGGAATGTAGTCAGGCTAGAACAGGGTGCAACTCTTAGTTGGCCAAATGTCACTCAGCACACCACATTACGGCGACATGCAGAGAAATTAGCCACCATGTTAGCTTAGTAAGTGGCTAAATTAGCTGGTGCTGGCAGCACCACAAACAAAATACTGACATTCACCTCAGCTGAGTTAAACAAAGCCGATTCTCATCCCGTCGTGGAATTGACACCCTATAACTGGGTGACTTAATGAGACATAAAGCAGCCCATTTAACAGGAGCCGGATGTTTAAAGCTGCTATTCCAGCCAGCTAGGCTCTAGCGATTAGCTGCCGAGCGGCTTGCTAACTCGACTGACCGGCATCCAAAACTGGCCTGATGAGTTCAGGCATCCAAGTGGCTTCACGCACAGGGTCGATTTCAAAATACCTGTCTGTTTTCCCGGTGTCACAGCGAGTGCGGTCCAGACAGTAAGACTTTCATTGTCCGGCTTTGCTTTGCGGTTCCTGGCGCAGAGAGCGGATGACGTTCCCTTGCTAACCTTTACGGTTCCACCCACACGGTGAAAGGGCAGGGAACTGCGCCTGCGCCAAAGCGATCGTCTGATTGGTCTCTTCGACGTCACGTCACTGTGTAAATGCTGTGAACAGTTTTGTGTTGTTTTTTTTTCTGCCCGTATTCCGACAAGCCCCGCCTCCTGCGCTGGAACTGGCTAGTATGTCGGACTCACAGGCTGTCCGCCAACGGGACGGATATGAAGGAGCTAAAACTAGAGAATAAGATGTTTGTCAAAATCGAACAAAAATCTTAAGTGTCACGTCATGAGGTTAACTGCCTTGGGAAATAATTATTGTCTTTTGTTTTCAGATTATGTGCCAAACTACTAGTTTTGGTCAAGTTTTGTTGATCACACCAACAGAAACAAAAAAGTTTACAAGGGGAGACTTCCAGTTCGGTATAATTGAAATGGAAAAAGGACTATACTGAACCTGTTCGCTGTATCATGTATTTAGTTTAGTTTAATTATTTATTTACTTACTCGTTTTGCTCAGATCAGCAGTTGAGTCAAATCTCACGTGTCCCATCGCGTTCTACGGTTGCTAAGGTGATGTGAACGACTTCTCAATTGTCCAATCGGAGCACTGCGTGAGTATGCTCTATTGGCCAATCCGCGCGCAGAAGGGCGGGGTTCTCGAATACGGGTGGAAATAACACTACTTTGTTTACGTTTCATATTAAGCGTTTGTCTTTTGCCTCCAGTAACAACAACGTTCAATGCGTTTAGGTAACACTTTTAACCATTATGTTCACTGAGATTAAAACAAAATTTATTGCGTTTTATTCCATTAGCAATAATAAACAATAATAATTTGTTAACAATTTGTTATAAAAAGTTATCAAAATGTTCTACTAGTAAACATGTGTGATTTTAAGACATTGAACATCTAATACTGCCACAATAAATCAAAAGAATGTCCTCTGCGTAAAGCCTGTTGGCTTTTCAACATTTTGAGGAGTGGGTAAAAGCTCACACATCCATATTGTTCACTATACTTGTGCAGTACTTCTTTAGAAATTTGATGAGTGTGCACACTTCTCATGCCTGTAATAAACTATTATTCTGGCTCTCCAGAACTTAACTGTCCCATAGGTCGCAGCAGATCACGTGATACCCCACATTGAGGCATCAGTTTGAGGAGTGGCATGAGTTACAACACTTCACAGCACAGTGGACTACTTCAAAGTCTAGCATGTTGCCATTATTTGTGCACTGAATAGTTTGTACTCCAAAGTATGCCTCAAAAGTGCTTTATACAGTGCAGACCATGAATATTCAGCAGACAGAACAGGTTTTGGCCCACAGCTCAGGTGTCTAAGTAAACACTTGTATTTCAAGTATACAGTCCTTTCCACATCACAGATCCTATTTACTACATAAACATTTTAATTAATACAAAAATAAAAAAATTTAAATGTAATTGTGATGTTTTCTTAAGATCAGTTAAATTATAAATAAGCCAGCGTTATCAAGTCAGAGGTATGATTCAGAAACTCCTTTCAGTCAAGACACTCTGTTTCAAGTACAAATTATGTGTAAATACAATGTTTATAAAAAAAATAAAAATTAATTGTTTAGCTCATATCTAGGCCTACATCCAAGAAACCTTTAGTAGGTGTATTAAATTAGAAGTTCACCAATTTTTAACAATGTCTGCATTACTAAACGGTAAAGATATGAATAAAGTCATCCAGAGGGGTTTGATTTGAAATGTAGACTCTGTAGGTACTGTAAGAACTGTTCACAGTGGTGGTGATAGGTACCAGACATCTGATGTTTAAGGCATCTAAAAGCTTCCTCACAGAAAATTATTAGATGCAAAGATTATGAATACACTGCCTAATGTCTTAGACACTGTATTATAATTTTTGGCCTAAAACTTATTTTTTGAAACACATTCTTGGCAGAGGGGTACCTGCAGGGCATTGTAAGGCACAACAGACCCTAAAGAAACTTTTTTTTTTAGATTTACAACTATTTTACCATCATCTACCATTTTACCATTACATAAAAAAATTCAAAAGACATGTATGTTCAGTGATTATTTTGGATAGTAAATAAAATGGCTATATTTGCATGCTAAAGAAATATGAGTTGGTAAGTTTCTCTATAATGAACCATTTTACATCAAACCACTCTGAATGACTGTTTACATCTCAAAGACTGGATTATACAGAAATTTTTAAGGGTTGGTGGAATTCCCTTTTAACACTGTAGCACATTTATACAAAAAAAAAAAAATCAGTAAGTTTATTTACTCCTCCTTCGTTTTTGTTGGAGTCCATGTGAGCACAGCTTCCTGTGATATGCGTAATAAAGTAACACCCACAGATACTGTGGTGAATCCACACAGAATACCCAAACAGTCCAAAATGCCTAATGTTTCCCACTCTTTAAAAAGGACGGCAGAGGCTAGGATGACAGAAGATGTGAATACCACATAATACACAGCCTCAAACATGTTGGAGCTGAAGTTCTCCAAGGCTTTGTTGATGAAAGTGAACTGGATGAGGATGCTGACTGTGAGAACTGCCAGCAAACACAGGAAGAGGTACAGGGCTCTGTTGTCTGTAGTGAAGCCTCCACTAAAGGCATCCTTTGCAGCCAGACCCAGGCCTTTGCAACTGGGCACTGTAAAGCTCCCCAGGAGGGAACAGATGCCCACATACACCATGATGTTGGACTTTCCATAAGCTGGAGAGAGCCAGCCAATCAGTACGACCAGCAGCAGGACCACCAGTGCAATGTAGCTCAGGAACACTAAAAGACATAAACACACAAAGAGTCTATAATGGAAACTATAATAAGAACAACAAAAACATGTCTTAATGTGAATGGTGCTTAGGCCACAAGAGGGCCCCACAAGCATGCAGGTTTTTGCATTGCACAGATTTAACCTTGATCAAAAAGAATTACATATCAATTTTTCATTCTTACAGATCAATATGCCCCACCTAATACGGGGTAGGTGGGGGTGCCAAAGTAGGATGTTGCTTAGGGCCCCCAAAATGTTCAGAAACAGGTTTAGAAAAAACAACAGTAGTCATGTATGGTGTAACAGTAATACGATTACAGAATTGGGCTTCATGGTCATACCTGGGTCCAGAAGACGCTCCTCTAATTCAACTCTCGATGCCACCCTCTCAGACTTAGGAGAATGAATGATGAGCACAACTGAACCACAGCAACACAACACACAGCCAAGCTTCCCTAGAATATTCAGATGCTCCTGCAGCAGCCAGGAGGCCAGGATGGCTCTGCATTGCAAAACAAGCATCATCAACACAGAACAAGTACTGTACTGTGGCATAATCTACTATGTTTATTTCCTGATGTAAAATAAACTATCCAATACTACTATTATTAATTCAACAACAGCACAGATTTAATCCCAACAGTCAAATGGAGAAAAAAAATAGAAACAGCATTTTTCTTGCAGAGGATTACAACACAAGAGTGTAACTCACCCAAACAGGACTCCCAAAGCCCCAAGAGGAGTGACCAGTACTGCTGGTGCTGCATTATGAGCCAGGAAGTTCCCTATTTGACCCACTATCACTGTTGAGGAAAAGCAAAGTATTTTCATGAATGAATAATATACAAATAAATGCATACAATATAAAATACATGCATACATACATAGAAAATCCCATAAATTCATAAATGTGATCATTAAAAGTGGTCAAGCAGAGAGGCGAAATTTCACTCACTTGCAAGTGTCCCACACCACCACACACAGTCAGTCAGGTAAGTCCTACCTGTTTAATAATGCCCAAGAGTTAGACACCCAACAAACGTTCAGCTAGGCTGACCAAGGCCAGAACGTAGGCTGATCATACAAAATGCTATGTAAAGTAGTGACATCGTTTAAGAAGACTTATGTAAACTCTTACTGCAGTAAACTCCAGTCTGATAGAGTAAGTCAGCTAAGTTAGCTACCTGACCGGCGAGCTCGCAGTATTCCCTTTTTCTGGAGCGCAAATGTCGATCCATTGACGAAACTGGACACGATGGCTATTCCAACACCAACTGCTGGTAAAGGAGCGTCCTCCATAAGTGTTGTAGAGTTATCATACGATCTCTTCCAAAAGAAATACTCAGTACTGCTCACAGCAGCCGCGCTCACCGGTGTGGATGGGTTGGGTCGAAGCTAAACGGCCACGAAGACGAGCTCGGGTTTCTCTGCCAGGACGCTCCTCTGGTAGAAAAGCCGGAAGACGGTGTTTTAGCCGGTTTGGCCGCAGAGCTGCAGCGCCTCTCTGGCAGTAATGGTTATGGCTCTCTGGGTGCGTGTCTGAGCTGATGAGGACGGGGCGCTGTCCAAATAGTTAAATGAAGCTTCTTTTCTTATCGGATTGCCTTTGCTTCTGCCTGATTTGGTAGCCATGTGGATCCACAGTGTTTCTGCTCCGCCCATGTAGTATTTAGCGATGCCTTGAACCACAGATCAGACAAAACAAAGGCCCGTGCTAAGGAGGTTTCATTCAAATATTAGGACACAGCCTGGGATTCACCATGGAGGGACTGGATACTGAATACACTGTCCTAAATGTAGTCAGTACTGTATTCCATTACAATACATTAAAGGTAACATGTTCAGAATTCATTTAGAATACACGTAGGATACAGATTGATAAAAAAAAACATGGCAAAACCTTTTTTAACTTCATTTACACGGTTATCATCTTTCTGTATGTAATTCATCTGTTAAAATAAAGTTAAAAAAATTCTCAACTTTTTTCTCGCTCTTTTCCTGCTTCTGTCCTGTGCTGCTCACACAATCCCCCGAGCAGGAGGTCACCACACTAATGCTAAACGTATTACTCGCAAACATGCCCACTACTGGGGAGACTGCTTTGATCATTCAAAAGAGCCCAGTAACACTGATTTATCAGTCTACTCAGGCTTTAGTAGGAGCCTCAGTGTTTGTAAAGAGGCAGTTAAGTTTGGTCTTTTTTCTTAGGTCAGATAATAAACAAGCACTGATGGCATTTTTTCTGTATGCTTTTTTATTATTTAGTGGGTAAGTATTCTAAAATAATTCTTCTAAAATGTAAAAAATAATTGTATTCTGAATACTGCCTTTAGAAAATGTAACTTGGACTGTATACAGATACTTAATTTCGGTATTCTGAATACTCCCAATAGGCCTTTTGTATTCCGTTACATCCCTACCCCGTCCAGGATATGGAAACTTGGTGATTGATAAGATATAAAAACTGTTGGATTACTAAACAAAAACGGGTGCTTTTACAATTTGAAACTAGAAATGAGTTCTAAACTCATGTTAATAATCATGACATCATGCACGCATCCCCCCAGAGCTGTATGTTTTCAAGCCCTACCAGCAGGTGGCGGTGTCCGCATGAAGAAAAGAAAAAAAAACTTAATCAGGTGGAAACACTCATTTCACCGTTTAAAACGCAGTACACTGCCGTGGAGAGGCTGAACTGCACCCTATATTCAAAAAATTGTCTATTTTTCTGTTGTTTTCAGTTATTATTGTGATTCTTTTCTATTTAAATGAAGTTCACGGCAGCAGCGGTTCGCCGCATCTCCAGGAGAAATCGCTGGTAGGTTACCCGGTTGCCCCGTCCCCTGGTGTGACGTAGCGCCCCGTTTTCTTTTGTGTGATTGGCTGCGGGAGATGTCAGTCATCACACAACATGGCCGACGTTAAATTGCAGCAGAGCTTGTGAGGGGACCCGAAGAAACAGGAATACAGTAAGAAAACCAAAGAGGTAAAACGCGTTATTTATGCTCTAATAAATGTGGTAACGGGAAAAACAACCTTCTTTTTGAAAACAGCGGTGTTCGTGTGGAGGCAGCTGAAGGGCAGCTCAGTGTCAGAGCCGCGCTCTGCTCTTCACAGCTGGGTTAGACAGTCAGTCAGATAGCAGGCAGCTAACAGACTGATCCGGACTGACTGCTCACATCAACAAACACACCGAGACCAGCGAGAAAGCTGCCTGCCGTATCATACTTAACGCCTCTTTAGCAAGATATTTGTTGTTATTTCTGATTTTTCAGAGTATCTTAAGCTGTCGTTAGGGATGAGTGTGACCAGGCCACGCCAACACCCTGTTTATTTTAATAAATTATTTTACACAGCATAGTTACACAGGTTTAATTTTAAACTGTGATGCTTCAGTCTTTCTTGGGCTGAAATATAGCTAGCTATTTGACCTAAGAGCCAGTTATATTTGCACTAACCTTAGCTTAATCCCTCCATGATGCTAACATAAGAGTCTGAGACGTCTGAAGCATAGGCTCTGATTATCCCTGCCTTAAACACATTTATTATAAGGGAGAACACTGTTTATGGAATTTATCTTTAAGACTGTTAACTGTGATAAATCTTCTAAACCCGGAGAACTGAAATGGCTGTTATTTAACCCCAAATGTAAGAGAAGATGTGATGTTAAATGTATCTACTGTTCAGGTAGATGCATTTAATATAATGAATATGAGTAGGTCAGTTATTGTAGTGTTATGTAGCTTGATATGGTAGTTTTCTGTTCTTAACAAACTGTGTTAGGAAGTGAGTACAGTCTTTTACCTAAGTGTGTATTTTAACCTAGGGAAGGCTGCATTTGCAGCCTGGCAGAAAGAGGAAAGGATGCCGTCTCCTTCTTTTTCCCTGGATGCCCAGCTGCGGTTCCACGACAAATGGCTGAAGATAGATTTGCAGGTAAACATAATCAAAATATAGTTAAATATTGTACATTTATAATGCTGTTCCCATTACATGAAACATGTGAAACACTGCAGATGTCTCTCTTTACAGATTACATTGTGGTGGCTGACTTTTTAGTGAGCTCTAGGTCAACACATACAGCAGTTTAGCACCGAAAAACAGGCAGGCTGAATGTTGCATAACAAGCATGGATAATCACCTTGTTATTTGTGGGTCAATAATTTGTGATAATGCAGTCTCTACGTTTGCACTCTTACTGAGTAGCCTTGGTTATTGTGGCACTTAAAAATTGAAGATGATGTCTCCTCTTAGAGAGAAGAGGTACAGTACAACCCAAGCTGTTCTGCTTTAAAAGCACTACAGAAGAAACACTGCTGTTCAAAAGCATATTAAACCCTGTGTTTGGAGTTGTTCCCTGTTGTTGTAGTTTATTTTTGGAAAAGTGAAATGGCATAAATAGTTTTTTGATGGATATTGATAGATCTGTGCTCTGGACCTTTAAGAACATTCACTGACCACATGTTTCATTATGAAAAGATTTAGCCAGTGCTCCTGAGTGGTGTAGCTGTCTTAAGGTTTCACCTTGCTGTTGTGAGTTCCGTCCCCAAAGACACCACAGGCTCAAAAGAGCGTAAATACACATGCTAAATGAGTGTTGTGCAGTGCATTATGGGAAGCGTTGAATAAATCACTGTACTCATAGTGTCTGTTCCAAAAGATCAAACTTGAGCAAAATGAAATATTGCTATGCCTGTCGTGTGTCATGAAAAACGTCCTGTATCATAACATTTATATATTGTGTTAAATGTATCAAATACATAATCCACTTTCCATTTATGCTTGTATGTATTTGTAAAATGGTCAGTATATGTATTACCTGTTGTCTTCACATGAATATGTTAATTGTGCTCTTTATAAAATTATAAATGGGTTCTGTTGCTGTGTATTTGCTTGGCTGGCAGTAGAAATAAGTAGGCTGTGTAGTGATGCTCTTTATGTACTTTGTGTCCCACACTGGCATCTGTCATCTGATGAATTCAGATTGTGAATATGGAGTTGCACGCATTTGTGTGCTTGATAAATTATGTCCTTAGAGTCTGTCTGATATGAGAGTACTGGATGTGTTAGGAATTCCTGGTAGTGATCTAGTGGTGAACATAATACTTTTCCCTGTTTGGAACTGTGTTGGCTAACATTTGACAATATATTGCACAAGGAGTCCCATTCCGTTATTGCCATAATTAGCATCCAACCACTGACGTCTGACGTCTGACTTTGTCACAAAGCAAGATTTTGGGCGAAATCTTACACTGTCCAGTACAAGAACAAGTATGGGACATTTCCATTGGACACACTGTAGTTCTGGATTTGTTTTACTATAAATAAGGAGTCTTGTCCTGTGGGAAGGAAACATCCCAAGGTCTGATGTAATTTTCTGTTTTCCCTTTTGACATTTGAAATTAGAATCTTTTAAGAGCATGTTTTTATTGGGCTGTCACATTTACTGTTTTAAATGATATGGTATATTATGATGGTTGTTTTTTGTTAAACTTTAAGCACCATAGCATTGTGTTCCAGTGGAGCTGTATTTCGTTGATTTTGATGAGGAGAAAGGACGATAAAGCTTGACTTTACTTGAATATTTGCGATAGAGTCCCCAGAGGATGTAAGCAGTTACATTGAGAATAACTTGTAGTTAGTCTAACCTGAGTAGTTTAGTTTTAAAGATAATGCAGGAGGGACTGTTATTTTTGGATGGAATCACCAGTGTTAAATCAGACGTGAGTTAACATGGATTTATGAAAAGCAGTGATACTGTGTGTCTCATCCTTCATCGTTTTTTATAACTGTAAAATTTAATTAAATGTAGGTTCTTCGGCTTCTACCAAGTGTTGACAGTGCAACTAAACGTAAGGAGGTGATAATGAAAATAGTTATTTTTACACTAAGCAGAACTCAACTGTATCAAGTGTCATGCATAGTTTTTTCTGCATGTCTATTCTCATGAAGGTATTAAGCGAGCAGTTGTTTCAAAAATAGGATAGCTCTTGCCCAGTTGTAACTTGTTAAAGGCACTAAAATGGGGAACGGTGCTTAATGTTTTGCTATTGTTGTCTGCAGTATGAGCAGAATGGCTTTTCTCTCATGTTGGGGGGACAGTTGGGGAACTGGTTTAGTGTTCACTAGACTGAATGTTGGCATTACTACTGTTACAAAGTTACATTTTGCTTTGGTAATATTTTTTGCTTACTGATTGTCTAGACTAGTCGTTGAATGTCAGCCTGTGAAATATACAGAATTAGCATAAAAACTGCAGTCAGTGGTCTTTACAAAGGTGACTGTATGTGTATTTATTTTATAGGCTGTGGAGTTATGTATATTTTTATGATTCATTCATCTGATAAGTGCCTGATCAAATCTGGCAAATTGGTGCCAAAAAAGGTAAATTTGATATCTCTTTTATGGCCGTATAATTAGGCCTAAAAATACCCACATCTGTTGTCTGTGGTAAGGTCTGCTGTGGGAGACTGAACAAAAAGTGTTTCAGTAAAGCTTTCCTAGAGCTTACAACCCAAATAAAAGCACTTTTTGATGTGCTGTTAAATGAGTTAGATAAAGGTATAATTACATCTAATGGAAAACCTGAGTACTAAATTTTAGACTGCAGCCTCACATTTGCTTCTATATATTATTGTTTTTGTGAGGATTCTTGTTTATAGCGGTTGCTGTTGTATGAGGAGAGAGTTGTTTTGCAAATATTGCAATCAACACATACAATTTTTCTATAGTTTTTGAAATGTTGCCTGAATTTTTTTTTTTTTTTCTTCTTACCCCCCTCCCCTTTCTTTTTTTGTACTTGTAGTTTGAGTAGCCATTGTGAATAGCTGTGGGCAATGTTGGAGTGTAATTGGAGTCCTTATGTCTCTCGGTGTATTAATGTATTTAAAAATTAGGGCCCACTCCCATTCAGATTAGCTCATGTAAATGTTTATGTGGAGCCACTGTGGCCGTTGAACACTGCATGATGCTTCTAAGTTAGGATTGAGCTCTTTTTGCCTCTAGTGTTTTGACTCTCTTGAGATTGTCATGATAGGTGACATCATACTGTCCTTGTGTGTTCACAGTTAGTTTGCCACATGCTCAGAGACAGACTCACAGAGACGTAAAAAAAAGCAGAAAGTGAATATTTTCGTTCTCATGTAATTAAGCTCCCAGATGAACGTGTCATAACCTTCCAACAAGTCATAAAATGATATGCACTTACTTCTAGGTAATTTTAGAACAGAAAAGGCCATGAGTGATGTCTGATGTATTTTTGTTGTTACAGCGTGCGTTTTCTCCAGAGGGACTGAGTGAGATGTGGAATGAAATGGTAAAGGACGAGGAAATTGTGTTTGACAGAGAAGAATCTGCCTATCCAGGTAAAAAGCATTATCCACACGTAATGTTTTTCTGTTTCTACATGTACTATAAACTTGTTAATTGGCTTAGTTTCTTCAAGCTTTTTTGTATATAGAGTAAGTGTTTCCCATGGTTTTCTGTTCCATCCTCAGAGGACTCTGCAGATTGTGCTGGTGCTCAAAAGAAGGATGAGTGCAATGATAAGGAGAAGAAAGAGGAGGAGGAGGCGTCTTTGTCGTCTGTCCATCATTCAATCATAGAGACCTGGGATTGGGGGAGGCAGCCAGGTAAGCAGAGCTGCTAAAAAATCCCACTCTAGTTATAGATGAGGTGTTGGCACGTAGACTGCTGAACTCGACATGCTGATTGCAGCGTCCACCTACAGTCATTCTGAAAGGTCATCCCACTCATTCCTCACCAGCCTTCACTGTATGGAAAATTGAAAGGCACATTGTCCATTCCTTTGTTGCTAGGTGAGCCAAGGCAATCTAATCTGTGCCGATGCCTGTTGAACTGTTCCAAAGGAACTCAAAATAAAACTTGGTGTAAGATGCCATTTCTGGCTTCAATATGACACTAGTGTTATTCTCTGCTTCCTATGAAGGATAAATATTTAGTCTCTGACTTGTTCCAACTGCTTTTCTGCTTTCCTGACTCCAGCCTAGTGCTCAGATGTATTGAAAAAGATCATCACAGTGTTTTTCAAATATATCACAGTGTTAAATGATTTTAAATTTTGTGAACCCATGCTTCCTGAGTACCAGCACTCTATGCTAAAAGAATGTCTTACAAACCTGACACAGCTTGTTTTGATTGGATTTTGTTCTGTTCTGCTTCTTTTACTATTACATCAAAGGGAGCCTTAAGCTGCTTTCACACAGAACACTAAAAATTTACTGCTGTGCTTTCAAACACATTATTTTTTTGGTGCCCTGAGATCAGAGTGGGTTCTTTAGAGCCAACGCATAGGTTCACCTAAAGTTAAAGTGTTTAACTTAGTAAGTATGAGGAATTGTAACGTCACAAAATGTAGATGTCTACTTATGTCTGCGTCCCAGATTTGTTATTAAAAGTCATCCTGAAATCAAAATTTACCTATTTTTACCTTGTTAGCTCATGTCCCTGGTCATATTAAGCATGTTTTCTCATATATTATAATTCTTGTTTTCCCAAATGTGATTACTACCCACCTCTAAAATGTCTGATTTGATTTTTGGCCAAGTTACTTTGTATTATCAGGTGGGGAAAAAAGGATATTAACCAATGATATCATCTTCCCTCTCTTACCACCCACACATCATAGATTGAAAATGCTCAGATAGCGCAGAGACTGTCCCTGCTACTGTATTTTACTTGTAAATGTCACAGTATGGATGGGGAAATACGTTATGATTTCAGGTTCATGTTAACTTAATTAGCATTTAAGATATCTCCATAGCTTGCGGCATCTCCAACTGGCCAGTGTATGGTACCGTAGCTGCTGATCTGTGTTGTGATTGGAGAACACATGTTACGTGTAGTGACAATGGGCTACGCATAAATATTTGGGCTTTTCAGAGTTGCAGTTTCATTTAAATGATTCAGCTACAGCTAAATACAGAAAATTCCCTCTCTTTCTGGTGTCCACTAAAATTCTCCCTCACTCTTTAGAGAGTGGTGCTCACTTTCATGTCAACGGGTGAGCACTTCACAAACACATTGAAAAACAACATGATGCTTCTAAGTTAGAATTGGAAGTCGCACTGACTTTTTATTTATTTAGCTCATAGTAAGCTAGTCTCATGCTCAGACTCTCAACTATCAAAACAAGCTAAAACTGAATGCTTTCATTCTAATCCAATTTGACTTCCTAATGAAAGTGCCATTGCCTTTTAGCAGGTTATAAAAATGTGTAAAATTACATGTTGGTAATTTTGATTCAGCTACAGCTGAACACAAAGTTCCGTCTCTTTCCACTGTCCACTGAAGTTTGAAACAGCTTGCCACAGTGTGAGCAGCGAGTGCAGCATGTACCTCGTTCAGCATGACAGCAGCTTTACACAGCACTGTAAATGTCTACTATACAGAAAATACATTTCCAGAAAGGAAACTTATGCATTTAAAACTGAGCTTACAAAAAATCTGAAACACCCAGCAAATTACATGCATTGCAGTTTTTACCAATTATCAGTACTAAATATTGCTAAAATCAACTTTTCGTTTTGTGACACCATTGTACTGCTATAGGTGATATCATCCAACACTGCTGCTGTGGGCATTTGGATCTTGCCCTGCTATAACCCAATTTTTTTGTACCCCCCCTGTTCTGCCAGTCTTCCTCTGCTAAGTAGCTGCCCACCTGGCACCTCTGTACAAACCTTGTGACTGTTTCCAGCTGAGGTTTCCCACCCTTGGCATTACAGAGCAGTAAAGGAGTAGAGCAGATGGATTTGCGACATCTAAATGTGTCCCAGTATTTTGTGTGTGTGTGTGTGTGTTTGAGTAAGTGAGAGAGAGAGAGAGAAAACTAGAGAGTGTGAGGTTTTGGCCTGAGGCACGTGAAGCGTTGGGGGCTCGAGTGACTGTACAAACTGTCTGAGGGGTTATTTTTACCCCACTGACTCTCTGTGCTGGCTGTGTGTTTACAGCCAGGTCTGGGTGGGGTAACCTACTCTTCTGGTGGGTGCTGATAAGAGCATGCTGATGGAAAGGCTCTACACCACAGCTAGCTCCATATACATCACATGGTAAAAAAGTTCCGTAAACATCACATGATTGGAAGCCCTTCACACAACAAATGCTTGGAAACTGCATCCCTTCACACCCGTCTCCTACTGAATGAACCCAGCGACTCATGACTCTTAAGAAATTCCATGAAAGTAAAAGATAGATTTGTTATGTTAAGGGAGTGATTACATGGGAACATCTCTCTTCTTTTTGAATGAATGACTAAAAGTGGTTCAGAAACTTTATTCCATCGTTATTCCAGAACAATACAGCATATGCCCATACATTTCCAGAAATTAATGGTGACACTCTTTTAATTTTTGAACCAAACCTTCATACTGTAATTAGCATTACGAAGAAATTTGTAGCAAATTAAAAATGCAGTAAAATGAATCACATTTCAGACCCTTCAGCATTTTAGCATCACCTAAATATTCTGCCTTTATGAAGGAAAATAAATACATCATCAGATTTTGTCAGTCAGATGTAAACATCTGTTCAGTAATGTATGTGTGTGTGTGTGTGTGTGTGTGTGTGTGTGTGTGTGTGTGTATATGTATGTATATATGTATATGTACACACACACAGAGCGAGGGCTATAGTTACATCAGTGGTTGGGACCAGGCCTAGGCCTACAATAATTTTGAGTGGGCTAATGTTTTATCGTCTAAGCTATGATACAGGCTTCAGGACTGACATTAAACAATGTGAAAACTGTTTCAAGTTCATCTTACAGCTGAGAAAACTCAAAGGTGACTGTGCTGAGCTAGATCTTTTCTCTGCTGTATAAACAGTTCACGAAAACTATGCCCATCAATCTAGACTTACATTATGTAATGCAGTTCCAGGATCTCAGGGGTTCTACCACCTGTACCCACCTTTAGAAGCAGTAAGGGTTAAATTAAAGTTAAAGTTCTCTAGTAGGCCTCTGCACCACCACACTTCTAGTTGGATGAACTGTTTTGTAATTGGAGGAGAAGTGTGATGGTGTTTTTACAACACTGACACAGCTGTGCATGGCCAGTCGGATGCCAAAATGTCAGGGGCACGTTTGATGTACAGCTCTCTCTCTCTCTCTCTGTCTCTCTCTGTCTGTCTCTCTGTCTGTCTCACACAGTTTCTCACTCATACAGGTGTGCCACTCTCGTACCATATGCAGTTGTGCTCACAATGTAGTGTAGACATCCAGGGTATCTGAGCGGGACACTGGCTGGCATGCAGAAAGCTTAAGTGGATTTTGGAACTGCTATTTTAACTCACTCTGTTGTCTTGCTGGTCTGTTGTACAATGCCACTTTCCAGCCATTGCAGTGAAATGAATGCTGGTTGATTTAGATCTTTGGGAACGTGTAAAGAACGTGTTCTCCGTGTTTTAGGTATTATTTTGATATTATTAGAAATGTATCTGATTTTGAACTGATTCATTTCTTGTTGTGGTAGGATGTAATTAACAGGACTAGCATCAAAGACAGAACAAAATGTGGTTTATAATATGTATGCAAGAGCAAGCCAGTGATGTAAATATAAACATTTTTCCCTCAAATACATGGGTCAGTTTAGTCTTTTTTCAAAAACATAATCTAACATGAGCTTTAATAATGCAGGTGTTTACCATATGCATGTCAAGTCTGCTGTATAAGTGTACATGTACTAGCACGCACATTAAATATATTAACCATTAAAAACTACAAGCTTGAATAGGTATATGCCTCTGCCTGTAAAATGCTACCATACATTACTGGAAAATTGTTCATTTTCCATGATTTTTTTATATTAGAATAATTAGTCCTGTTGTCCCTTTTATCTGTCCTTTTTCTTGTTAATCTCTCTACTTTCTGTTCTTTATTTCTTACGGCCTTTCCCCTACCATTGCCCAGCCAAAACGTGCTGCCTGTTTTAGATGAAATACAGCATAAGGACTTCACTGGCAAGCTAAAGTTGCTTCTAATAGTAAATTTTTTTTAGAAGTCATCATGGAGTTGGTGAGCTTTAAATCCTCACATACCATCTTTCCGTTTCACTTTAGTCATCACTTCCACAATCTGCTTGTAGTTGGTGTGAGTCATCCTATGCTGTACTGCTCTTGTTGACTTTTTATACATGTGCGGTAGCTGCAGTCACATGCAGAGGTCTTGGCCTAAACAAACTGACGTTGTAGAATGTCTTTCATCTGCAAAGATGCACTAAATTCACATCACAAGTCCAGTTTTGTGCCAGAGGAGCTAGCTGCACTCTTCTAGTGAGTAAGTTAGTCAATAGGCTTTAATCAAAGAATTTCTTGGTCCTTCAAGAAACGGGGTTGTTTTCTGCAAACTTAAATATTAACTTTGTTCGTATATTTTTTAAATTGAAAAATGATGTTGAAGCATCAAAGCCTGGTATTTCAACTTTGCCTTTTTGGTGTGAGGAAACAAAAACTGCTTATGTTTGCAGACTTAAGCAGCTGACTTTTTATAGTATTTTTGAAAGCCCCAATAATCCAAAGCAGATCTGTTTGGACTTTCTTATAGATTTGATTGTTCAAACATTATACCTTTGGTTTAAGGGGCTATTCACATTGTTCTTATACAGTTCTAAAGAAATATATGCAAATTATGCTTTAGCCCAACATGAACTGTAAAGCATTTACATGATTTCTCCAGATATAAATGAACTCTTAAACCTTAGCAATTGCACTTCTTAAAAAATAAATGTTTAGAGAATATAATGCATCGTGTATTCACGTGTATAATATATACTGTTCTTAAAAATAATTCTCTATGTTCAAATGCATTCAAGTACCTGCATGTTGTGATATTTTTATATGTCCATCTTCTCAGATGAGGTGGAGCTGAAGGACTGTCTTACGGTTCTGGTGGATGACCAACAGAAACTGGCTACACAGACAGCTAAAAGCACTCTGTCTGCGCGGCGTCTGAGCCAACGGCTGCTCATCCTGGAGCGCTACCTCATCTCACTCACTCACAGCATGATGGAGGAGAAGTACAAAGTTCGGTGGAAAAGTCCGCCCAGCCCCCCGCTGCCCACTGTGGATAACAAAAGGTATGAGAGAAGGACGTTAACCAAAGAAAGAAGACATGATATTTTTTTTGTTTTAGGCTTAGTCTCATGTGTGCTGGTTCAAACCAAGCAAAATCACACTACGGTGTCCATTAAAATTTGCTTTATACTGTGCCGTGTGTCTTTCTACAGCACTCGTCCTGTCAGTAAGGGAGTGGAGGGCTTGGCTCGAGTCGGGTCAAGAGCAGCTCTTTCCTTTGCCTTTGCTTTTCTCCGCAGGGCTTGGAGGTCTGGTAAGTAAACCCCCCCTCCAGTTTTCCTTGTTGTTAAGCCCCTTGCAAACTGTACAATAACAGCAGTCTTTTAAGTTTATGGCATGCCACACTGTAGAGATTCTGCTACATGCCAAATTATGATAAAGATTGTTTTGAGGATCAAGAAAACGATTTATACTCTGCTTGACTCATCCAGCTGTCAGCACTTCCTTGTTCTGGTCTTGTGTCGAAAGGAAAAATAATGTGCAAACAAAAAATGGCCTTCCATGTGACATATGCCATGTAACTATATATACCATAAATAATCTAGGCAAATGTGATTGAAAAGGTGAGGGAGAGTTTGGAGCCATTTTGGCATGGAAAATGAAGTCATCATGGACTTGGTGAGCTTTAAATCCTCACATACCACATTTGTGTTTCACTCTTATCACTTCTACAGTCCGCCTGTAGTTACTATGAGTGCTCCCGTGCTGTACTGCTGTTGTTGACTTTTTATACATGTGTCATAGCTGCAGTCACATCCTGAGGTTTTGGCCCAAAAAACTGACGTTGTAGACTGTCTTTGTTCTTAGAGGCACCATATCAGTATCGTCAAAATACACTGCGTGGAGCAAAGTGATTTGTTTTCCTCCTTCTGATGTCCATGGAGAGAGGTGACAGTTGTGCATTCTGAATTGTAGTAGTGGCAGCAGAGCAAAAAATGAATAATATCTGAGCTTTATGCAAGTAATAAGCAATTTTTACTGGGTGGCAGCCAATCAGTTGACTCATACCTCCTGTCAAGCTACCACAGTCACATCAGTGTTAAGAAGATGGAATAAAAATTATTGGGAGGTTACACTGGCTACTTTATTTTATTTTTAAAATATTTAATCCTCTGTTAAACTGTACGTTTAATTTTTAAGTTGTCGTTATCAGCACTTATCTTTTATAGGCCTGTCACAATTATTATATAATCATCTTGTCACAGTTATTTTCTATGCTTGTTATTTCTCACAATCATATGTTAACATCGAATTATACAGAATTTAATTCTGTGTATTTTCATGAGTTGGTTTGAGGGGAAAATACATGTAAATAAAAGAGAATGTTGTGGATCTCATGAAAACAAAAAAAAAAGTTCTAACTTCTGACTGGTACTAAATCTCCTTTCGAGTGTAGCAGTTAGTAATGTTTGTTTATTCAAACTGGTCAGTTGGAAACTAAGTATCAGCAGCTACGAAGCCACATAGCGGCCAGTTTTTCCACTTTAGGCTTTAACTTTTAAATTAATAAACTTTCAAAAAAAAAGGCTGATAAATTGTTCATCAGTTATTTATATGGCATTTTGTCATGGGGGTGATAAATGATATTATTGAATATCGCGATAATTTCACCCAATGACTATATGAAGTAAATTATCGTTTTATTTTTTATCATGTACCTTGCCGTGTGACTTTTGCTGATTTTGTCGTTCTTTGTGTTTAACCATTTACTTTGTACAAGCATTCTAATCTATGGTAGGTTAAAATTTTAGACCTAAGTTATAACAGAAAAGACGGTATACACCATGCAAACATAACTAATTAACTACAAATATGTTTTTAAAACGCCACTTGAAAAGATTAGACTGTAGCGTTTCAGTCTGATTTCTGAATGCTGGGTATATGCAAATGAAACACTCCGCTATGTGACCTTCACCCAAGACGGTGAAAAATAGATGAGCTTGTACAGAAGAAGGGTGTTACTGCGCCCGTTTGGCAATATTTTGGTTTCCAACCAGACGAACACGGAGAACCGTTAGATGTTAACAGTGTTACATGCCGTCTATGCAGAAAACTGATCATCATCAAAGGCGGCAATACAGACCTTGAATCCACAGTACGAGCTGCCAAGCCATAAGTACATCAGAAAGACAGCGGTGCCTGAGATGTATAATAGTGTTAATTGTGTATGAAACAATCTAGGTTGTTAAAGACTATAATCATAATAATATTAAGAATTATTTGTAGCACGTCATGCGCTACCCCGGGCTCAAGGAGGACGCTGGAGGCAGGAAAAACGTTTGCAGCAGCCATTCCTTTAATATTTGCTTCAAACTCTCACAAAATAAACTTAACAAAACCAACGCTATGCTTGCCACTTTTCAGTGGCTTTCACTAGATAAACTTCAGTCTTTTTCTTACACCAGCTTTTCACCTCTTCAGTCAGTCTCTGTTGCTGCTGCTCGTCCCTCTCTCTCTTTCTGTTCCCTTTCTGCTCTTTTTAAAAGCACCCGACCTGAGAGGGAACGAGAGCTCGCTGCTCCGCCTCCTCGTCACCGCCCCCAGCTTGCACCTCGGCTGCCCGAATCGAACATGAGGTGTAGTGAAACGGCCTCGCTGCAGAACAGGGTGCGGGGCCCGTGCGGCTGTGCTCGGGACTCGCTCCTTGCCCTGGTGCCCCTCGTGGCCGGCACCGTCGTCCTCCTCCTCCTGCCGTCACTCGTGTGATTCGCGTCCCTCGGCCGCTCGGTGTTTGGGCCCCGCCTTCCTGCCGGCTCTCGCGGCCGTCATTGTCGGGGCCTGGGGGGCGGGCGCATGCCACATTATTATTATTATTATTGTTTCTTCTAACGTAACTGTTTTTTTCATAACATAACTGCAAATTAAGATTCACTGCTATAATTCTCCTTTGCTGTTCCACTGAGATGCAGAAGTTCACTTACAAAAGCTGCAATAAAATGATCACGTGACTGAAAGGCTCACTCACTTGAGTTTTCTTCGTAAATTAGTTTTTAACATGATAATATCGTTTATCGCGATAATTCTGGAGACGATAATCGTTTGTCTAAATTTACATTATTGCCCAAGCCTAATTGTTCATATTATCTTTTATGAAATAGCAGATGTTATTTTGGCCCAGATTTACTTTATTGCCTGTCTAAATGCTCTATAAAAAATTAAGCTTTGAAAGCTGACCTTCAAAGACACCTTAGCCTTTAAAACAATGTCTGTCTGCTTGTACCCTTATTTATTTTTTAGCTCTTGTTACATATTCATTGATTAAGCCACTTATTCATAAACCCTTTCCTGAGACAGCACTGCTTTGAGTTTTTATGCGTTGTGTAACTGGGCTCTTGCTGTATAATCCTCTCATAGTTATGGGATAAGGGTTCCTTACACAGCCCCATTCAAACACTGTGCCAAGTTGAAACATTATGTTCAGGTGGCAGAATCAACCTGAAACCCACCTCTCTGTGGTAAGGGTACAGTATTCTTTGGAATTTGTGGAATTGAATCCATAAACTGTATAACATGGCAGTGGAAAATGCGCAGTGACTTTTATTGACTCTGGCTTTGATTCCAGATATGTTAATCGGACCTTTTAATGAAATTGTAATGGACTCCTATGTGTTTGCATGGTAAGTTTCCATTTGCCTTTGGAGACTGTTGGACCATGAAAAGAAAATACTCAGAGAATCTGGCTATATGACAGGTGTGGAGCTCAACCCTCCCAAAAAGATTCCATGCCTGAAAATGTTTTCAGCGTGCTGCACACTCAAACAGGAAAAGCTTTCTGTTGTTTTTTTTCTATTCTTTTGCTGGGAGTCTGGGCATCAGCTGTGGATTAGGGGAGTGATGTGATCCAGTGGGCTGATGGCTTGTTGAGAGCAGAATTGCACAATCTATTGGTGTCCATTGGGAATGGGTGAGGCCAGCTGCTCTGGCTCTGAATGGAGAGCTGCTTTGTAACCTGAGCTACATATAGAGATCCTGTCTGAAGAGATTTGAACAGAACTGCTGTAGTTCTGAATGAGACAGTGTGAGAATGGGGAAAGAAACAGATGAATTGTGGAGTGGTAGAAGGAGACAGGAAATAAGGGGAGGAAATGTTCAGGCAGAACACACTTTTAGCCAGACTAGTGATGAAACATTCTGGCAGTAATGTGCTTTATAGAGAGTGGAAAATTTTAAGAGACTAGGGATGCACTGATATGGATTTTCTGGACCAATAACGGTAACTGATAATCAGCACCTTGTTGTGGTCAATACTGATATCAGTCATTTTAGTTTCAATTACATGCCAAATTAAAACCGAGCAAAAGATTTTAAGCTTTGTTTTAAGCGCTAAAATGGATCGTTGAATAATTTTACATACCAGTTACATCCACTGTATGTCCAAAAATCTGCTAATCCAATATTTCTTCTCAAATTAAGGGTAGTAATAGGGAGTTTTTCCCACCCTTTGTTGCAGTAACAGCACTGACACTTCTGGGAAGGCTTTCTAGGTTTTTTTTTTTTCTTTTTTCTTTTTTTTTTCTTATATAGCACTGAAGATTTAATTACAGTCTGTCACAAGAGCAGTAGTGAGTTCGGATACTGATGTTGGTTGATTAGCTCTGGATCACAGGTGCCACTCCAACTCACCTTAAACATATTAGATATGGTAATTTAATGTTAATTGCACAAGTCTTACTCAAGAACTCATACTGGTGTCCCAGTGGCGTTCCTGCCTGGAAGGGAAGTGAACCGATAGAAGATCATAAATGCACACAACTAGTGATTACGCAAGCATCAGTGCATGTGCAAGCACAAATATCAAATTATTGGATGTAATAAAAATGTTCTGTTGATCCTTAGGAATAATACATTGTGTGGCAATGTATGGTGCACCTTTAACTGATGCCTTAACATTTTTTCAACTAATGGATGATTTGTTCAAGTTATGAAATCATTCTAACTCTCAACCTGGATTGTAATATGTGTTGTAGGTGATGATGCAGACCTATGCAGTGAGCTGCTTCAGGAGTCCTTGGATGCTCTACGTGCCCTTCCAGAGGCCACTCTATTTGACGAAGGCACTGTGTCATCTGTCTGGCTAGAGGTTGTTGAGAGAGCTACTAAATTCCTCAGGTTAGTAACTTCATTATGTGGTTACAAAAAACGAAAGGTGATGAAACTGACAGGAGATGTTAATAAAATTGTTTCACTAGTTTTCACCAGTAACTGTATTTACTGTTGCTCAGTATTTTAATTTTGCTCATGTGACTGTCATAGTAAATACTTGAGTGTTGCTTTGCATTTGGAGCAGTGATGTGCATGGAGGTGGCAGTGGCAAAGCCCCAAGCAGCATTCCTCTGCAGGACCAGCACCTGGCCCTTGCGATTCTACTCGAGCTTGCCGTTCAGAGGGGCACACTCAGGTACACACAGCTTGTGTTCCATGAATTTTACCTCTCTCAAGCTTTCAGGGTTTATTTGTCTTGTTCATTTCAGACAGGACCCGTATAGGTACAACAGAGTTCTTACATGTCCAGGGTGCTTCAACTAACAGTTCTGTACAACATACTACAGTACACTGATGTTCCTTCACTTCTCAAGGGGACCTATTATGCTCATTCTCATTGTTCATAATTTTATTTTTGGGGTCTACTGTAACAGATGTAAGTGCTTCAGTGTTCTAAAAACACATTTTCCTCATACTATACATCTCAGTTCACTCTGTCTGAAATGCTCTGTTAGAGTTCCTGTGTCTTTAAGCCCCCCTCCTGAGAGCACAGTGTGTTCTGATTGGTCACCTCACCACTCTGTTCTGATTGGTCAACAGCCAGAGTGGTTCCACCCCTACATGTTTCACCCTTGTCTTGCAGCCTGCAGATAGGCCTTACTCTGCTGAGCAGCTGTAAACCTTGGTGTGGCTATTTTTCCAGGGACATTGGTTCTGCCCTGTCATTTTGAGCTAAAGTCCGATCCTGAAAGTAAGGTCAGCGTCTTCTTGGCGTGGCGAGAGGGGATTCCAAGCTTGCCGGTAGGCGGGCAGTAAGGATTGTGTTAAAATATTGCATCATCTTGCAACAAAGAAAAATGATTGGAATTCCAATGTGGCGTATCTGGGGAAAAGTGGTTTCTGTGGGAGAGAGTTACTCCCTCTGGTGTGTACTTTTAGCTTTGTAACTTTGCGGACTGTTTACATGCACAAAAAGCTATATAACACACTAAAGGAAAAAAAAAATGGAAAAGCATAATACGTTAATATGTAAATCTGAAATGTTTTTATTTTGCTGAATTTCTCTGGGCTACCAAAAACAGTGCTGATGTTTCATGTCTGAATTTCTCAAGTAACTTTTTCTCATGCATGAGTCCCATACACTCATGCTTATGTCGACGACTGTTAGATCCTCTTGGAATTTTTTAGATTTTAGAGGTATCAACATGGAGCTGTCTAATAGCCACACCATGGTTTACAAGAGACTGCCTCGTCCCTTGATATCACTATCTTATGTCCACTGCCACAAAAACACAATACACAGCCTCAGGTTGCAACTGACAACTCATTGGCAGGTGGTCGAAGAGCTGCTGCATTTCATTTTCACTTGAAACTTGGCTAAAACATACCTGATTCTGCCATTCAGCTAAACAGGCTAACATTAATGTGTTGCACTGTCTATACTGGTTTGAAGGTTGTGACAAAACTGATACCTTAGGAAGAATTTCAACCAGTATACCAGATGAAGCGCTATACCACCCACTATAGTTATTACTGAATAATAATGTCTTGAAATTAATAACTGCATAATAAGCCTGCTGTTGTAATGGTAGCTAAAAGCCAGTCTGATAAATATCGATGTACACTGTAACACTTTCTGCCTCTTGTGGCATCTAGTCAGCTGCTGTCTGCGGTGTTGTTGCTGCTGAGGTTGTGGGATAGTGGCACCAGAGAGATGGATAATGAGCGTTCCAGCCAGGGCACCAGCGCCCCATTACTGCCACTTCTGCAACGCTTCCAAAGCATCCACAGCAGCAAGGAGGAACCCGTCCCAGAGGAGGAGGTTGAAGTGAGATTGCTTCTTCATTCACTCCATTATTACTGTACTGTTTCTTTTTAGATGCAAAACACCTCATAGACCTGACATGTAACTCACTCAATTGCTCACTTATGTTTTGTGGCTGTTAGTTCATAAGTAGCTTTTGCGTGCATTATTCAAGAGGAGGAAACCTACACCAGCAGGATTTCATGAATGCGTGCATTTGCAACCTGAAATTGCGTAGATAAAGTAAAAGGGGTCAAAACTATGCTAAACATACCCTGTGTAATTACACAAATGCAGAATACATTTGATGCTGCTGCCATTGTGGAATGATGATTATGTACAGATATTGATCAACGTAACAACACTTCAGCTAGATTGATGACCAAACAAAATAGGAATGCTATGGAAGAATGATGCTAATTGTGTCCTTTTTACCTTGAAGTCTCAAGTATTAGTACTAGTATGTCCTTTTGTTTCTTGAAAGTAAGCTAGTAACCTTCCCACAGATTCTGTCTGCCCCACTGAGCCCAAATGAAAGTTTCCTGCGCTACCTGACCCTGCCCCAAGACAATGACCTGGCCATTGACCTACGACAGACGGCTGTGGTCATCATGGCCCACCTGGACCGCCTAGCAGTCCCCTGTAGCCCTCCACAATGCAGCTCTCCCACCTCCAGCAAGGTACTGCATATGCCATGCCACTTAATGCTTCATCTTTTTGTGCTTCGCCTTTTGCTAGGAAGCTTTGCAATGCACATTACATAGTTTCAGCAGAGATGTCAGAAAATGGTCAGAACTGTTTTGGAAATATTCTGGGTTGCTGATCTTTCTGCTGCATTGACACATTTTTAAGCTTTGCTTGTTGCCTTTTTAGCTTCAGCTATGATATTTAAGCATATTCCTACGTACTCCTGCAAGACTAACTGTGTTCTTTCTGTGTCTGCCCTGTTGGAGGACCATGGCCCTGTACAGGTAATTGGGTTTGTTAATGTATTCCTGCCTAGACTGAGTTTTCTGATTGTCTTGTACTTCTGTATTGTTATGCAAGATTATAAAACCATCCTCTGCACCAAAGCACTCTTTCTCTCAGGGTAGCCCTGAAGATCCATAATTTAAATACAGTTCCTATTGTGTGGGTGTGACACAGTTGCATCACAAAGAGAATCTTATTAATACTCTTGTTGGAGGAGAATTATCACAGGGTTGCTGACCAAACCACTGTTCATGTTTTAGCTGTGGCTAAGGATGAATTTATCTCACCCCGAAAAAGAGAGAGACTTTGGTGACTCATAGTACTTTGAGCAGAGATGTCACTCCAGGTTCCTTCTGGGGCACAGCTCTACAGAGATTGTCATTTCCCATCTGCTGACACTCATGAAGGCCTTGCTAGTTAGCTGATGAGTTCAATCAGGTGCATGTAATGAGGCAGAACACTAAACTCTACAGAGCAGTGGTACAGAAAGTAACCTGGTTTGATAGCCATGATTTAGAGCGATCCCAAACAGTTCCAGCTGCATTGTTCATGTATGGTGGTCTGTGCAGTGCTGTGTAAAGTGCAATGCATGCATACTGACATTTAAATTAAATCCTACAAAATCTGTCCAAGTCTGAATTAAAATTCCAGATTTCAGCCTTTGCCATCTGTAATAGGAACAGCAAATTCTTAAACCAGTGCTGATAATTCTGATGTTTTTTTAGGGTACATTGCAGGAGGTGATCGGATGGGGTTTGCTGGGATGGAAGGTGCATGCCAATGTGAATGGACCAATTCAGTGCAAAGCTCTGTCCAGCGTGGGCGTAACCCAAATTGTGTGCTCAGAAAAGGGCTTTCTCATCCTGTCAATTTCTGGTGCTGTATACACCCAGAACTACAAAAGCACCACCCTGGTCAGTGTCTCTAATGTAGCTTTTTAATGGTCATGATCTATACTTCTTAAATATAAGATGGAATTCTGGTAATTTAGCCAGTTGTTTGTCTTTTAGTCCCCCATGCTGGTCCATGGGCTGTCATCCAGGAAGATAGTGAAGCTGGCGGCTCACCCGGAAGGGCAGCACTACCTTGCTCTCTCGGCCAATGGAGAGGTTTTCTCCTGGGGCTGTGGGGATGGGGGTCGCCTGGGACATGGAGACACCACGTAAGAGTCTAGCTAATTCTGTTCTGTGGTATTCTGATCTTGAGAAGTCCCACTGTTCATGAACCTCTCCCTTATGAATTATGATCTGATAAAGCAATAAACGTTTGTTAGATGTCATATTATAATTAAACTTTCACCATTAAAACCCATTGAAAACGTCTGTCTGCCATAAATGTCATTTCACTCTGTCGTTTTACTCTTAAACTCTAAGTTTACCTGCAATACTGCAAAGCTTCCTTACTCTTACAGTTCTCATTATAGATTGGCCTAAAGATGCATGCATATATGCTGTGCATATGCACGCATTATATAATTTAACAAATAGTTTTAATGGTGACTGCAGTACTTCCTCTTGCTGTACAGGTACTTGGAAGAGCCTACCATGATTGCAGCATTCTCTGGGAAGCAGGCTGGCAAGCATGTAGTGCATGTAGCCTGTGGCAGCACCTACAGTGCAGCCATCACAGCAGATGGGGAACTGTACACATGGGGCCGAGGCAACTACGGCCGGCTGGGCCATGGTATTGTCCATTTACTACCACACTATAGCTTCTGCTTAATAATAACGTTTTTAAAAAAAACACTTTTAGTAATATTGTTACTTTCCTTATTTTTATTTTTTTTTTACACTAACTGGACATTTCTGTGACCTTAATCTAGGCTCTAGTGAGGATCAGACTACCCCCATGCTGGTGACTGCTCTGAAGGGGTTGAAGGTGATAGATGTGGCTTGTGGCAGTGGAGATGCACAGACACTTGCGGTCACAGAGAATGGTATGGGAAATAAAAAGAATTTGTATATTTTCTGCTTTGACTTGTGCAGGGTTCTCTTTCAATGGTAATGTCCTTATTTGATGTCTGTGGCATGGTAATCAGAGTGAAGATTTGAAATACTATGTTCAGTAGGGGTGAGATTCTCAAATTTCATGACATTTACATATTTTCATTTTTGCATCACATGATACATTTTTGATACAGAATTAGGAAAGAATTGCTAACATAACTTCAGCATTTATTTATTTATTTATTTGTGATTCCCATGTTTACCACTAAAGGACAACAGTAGCACAAGTCCTTTTCTTAGATAACATAAACTAAACAAAAGAGTATTAAAAAAAAGTTACAATATCTATGTAAAAGTAAGTAAAAAATGTAAGTTAAGTGGCTGCATCTCAGTATTAAATGAGCCGAGCATGACAAGTTAATTTACAATTTGGTCTTGTGTTTCTATATAAAATGTTGGTGAAATGAGTAAGAGGGCTTTTCTAATGTAGTGCAGTCACTCACAGCAAACTGTGAAGTCCGCAATCAAATAGAGATGCAGGTCATTAGCTATTAACATCTTAGTGAGGGAGTTATTTGTTTGAGCCATTCAGAATCAGCACTTAGTGGCTGCTTGAATCCTGTGGGGAGACGTAGCTGCTAAGACTCGTGATTCGTCCACAAGGCTGAAAGTGGTTTAAAATTTTCTGTTTCACATTAAATGGAGCAGCAGTAACATGCATCTGTTGCTCCATTTAAGGTGGAGTGAAAAATTTGAATTAAAAGCTAGTTGACTTCAGCTTCATGTTTTCTCCTTGCTCCCATATCTGACATGTATGGATGATGTCTTCTTCAGATATGCTAAATAATTTGTGTATTAGCACAGGTATCTGATCTTTTCATTAAGCAATGTTGGCACTGTGTCACTGTTCATTTGGCCTCACCTTTCCTATTGTTGTACTTGACTGAGAAACCAGCTTCATTTCAAACAGCTTGGCTAGTCAACCATTCAAGGAAGACTTACCAAACCAGTTTTTTCCAGTTCTGAGAGCTGCACAGCAGTTGTTGATGGTTATCACTGTTGGGATTCATGGATTGTGTTAAAAAGAACTGTAGAAATTATTCCCCTTATCATACATTCCATAGCATGAAATATAACTGTATTCAATTCACAGTGCAATTTGTCTCGCAATTCTTGTTTAAAAAAAAATATTAATATTAACGTGTATTGTGACATAGCCAATGTTCACTTATGAAAGCTGGCATCTTATATTTAGGACTGCATGATAAGGCTTAAATATTGTGATTGCAAAATATTTTGATTGCAAGAAATTAATAGTACTTATAGTAATTAACAGTAACATGGTTACATGATTGCGCCATGTACTGTGGTTAAAGATTGGCCTGCCTTTTTTTTGTTCATAATTATTTACCATTAATTAATGTGGATTATGTAAATCTCTTTATTCATTAAAAATTTGTGGAAAATATGTCATTGTACAGGATGCTTGCAGTACACAATAAAAATGTAAAACTATACCCTGTCCTCACCTTTCCTTCTCTCTCTCTGTATCTGTCTATTTCTCTCTCTCTAGGTCAGGTATGGTCCTGGGGGGATGGGGACTATGGGAAGCTGGGCCGTGGGGGCAGTGATGGCTGTAAGAGTCCAAAGCTGGTGGAGAAGCTACAGGATTTAGACATAGTAAAGGTGTGTTGTGGCAGCCAGTTCTCAGTAGCTCTCACTAAAGATGGCCAGGTATATACCTGGGGCAAAGGAGACAATCAGCGCCTCGGCCATGGCACTGATGAGCATGTCCGCTACCCCAAGCTGCTGGACAGTCTACAAGGTTAGAATTTACCCTGACTAATGTTGCAGAAGGTTTGAAAAATATTTCTTGAATACCTTGTGATGAAATTCTTTGGTCATGAGTGTGTTTCTCTGAACTACCCAGGGAAAAAGGTTGTGGATATAGCGGTGGGCTCCACACACTGCCTGGCCCTCACAGAGGATGGAGAGGTGCACAGCTGGGGAAGTAACGATAAACTACAGCATTTTGACACACTCTTCTCCAACAAGAAGCAACCCAAAGCTCTGCCAGGTCTCAACTCCAAACACATAGTGGGCATCTCTTGTGGTCCAGGCCAGGTACTGCATTCTTATCTGTGGGATCTAACCTTTGTTTGGCTGAGACACAAGTTCATAGTGAAGGAAATTGTTTTAGTATTCTTGTTGGAAGGGAATTTTCACAGGTTTGCTGATAAACCATTGTTGTGTCTGTGTGGAACTTTTGGTATAGGTTTGTTTAATAGTACCTTTTGCTCTTTGTCTCTCTCAGAGTTTTGCATGGTCCTCCTGCTCGGAGTGGTCAGTGGGGCTGCGTGTTCCCTTTGTGGTAGACGTGTGCCCAATGACCTTTGAGCAGCTGGACCTGCTACTGCGGCAGGTCAGTGAGGGCATGGACGGCAGCTCGGACTGGCCGCCACCTCAGGAGAAAGAATGTATGGTGGTGGCCACTCTCAACCTGCTCAGACTACAGGTCAGCGATTGTCTATGGAGGCCCGCAAACTGTAAAGCCTAGTAGGGTACATTAGGCCTGGGTGATAAAACTTAAAAAAAGAATTATTGAAATAATGTTTTTTTCGATATTGATAATGCATATTTGTTGTTTATTAAAATTATTATGACATTCCGATCCTCAATCTTGTATAAGCAGGAAAAAGTTTCTTGCTACGGGACACTGGTTAGTGATGTGTGCCTTCTTGGCCGCACAAACCAGTTAGGAAACTGAAGTAGCTAAAAATTGTGTTAAGATTAAGTGAAAAAGGAAATCAAGGAGTGTGAGTTGATGAACAAGTTTGAGCTCAAGGTGACTGTGGCAAAAAGGCACTTTTAGCTAAATGTAGTTGAAAAATCAAAATATTATTCAGACTGAAAATCTCAAAATATTACTCAGACTGAAAATCAAGCATTAGGAAATACTTAAGTAATTATTGTTATTAAATGTGAGGAAAATATGCTCTCAAGATTATTCTAGGACTACATAGTATTTGCCTGTTAAATATTTTTCCCAGTTTATCTTAAATGTTAGCTTTTGTGACAATACCCTTCGATCTGCTTTACCTGATCTTGTTTGTTCAACCCTGTCGTGGTCTCCTGTCTGTGGCCTATAGCTCCATGCAGCCATCAGTAACCAGGTGGACCCGGAGGAGCTGGGACTAGGACTGGGCAGCAGCCTACTCAACAACCTCAAGCAGACGGTGGTGACGCTGGCCAGCAACGCCGGGGTGCTCAACACCGTGCAGGCAGCCGCGCAGGCTGTGCTCCAGAGTGGCTGGTCAGTGCTACTGCCCACTGCAGAGGAAAGAGCTAGAGCCCTGTCCTCACTACTGCCCAACGCAGGTCAGTCTCATTGTGGGCTGGGGCATCAGAGTGCAATCTATTTGCTGTTATATCACAGATTACATCACACATACAGCTGGTCTGTGGTCTCAAAGGTCAGTCTTTCTTGTTTTGCCACAAAGATTCGTCCAACATCTTGCTTCATCATGTTCAGGCCTTTTTCTTTAGAAATCTTCTGTTCCAAAATATTTTTGACATGTTTGATACTGCATACAGATTAGATTTATTGTAAATATTTGTGAAAATATAATAGATAAAGTAGCTCTAGATAAAAAAAGTAGTTTAATTAATGTCTGAGTTTATTACTGTGTGTGTTTGTGTGTCAGCCTCTGGTAATGAGATGAGCGTGAGTCCAGGCCGGCGCTTCATGATTGACCTGCTGGTCAGCAGTCTAATGGCAGACGGAGGACTGGAGTCTGCTCTGAATGCTGCCATCACAGCTGAGATCCAGGTCAGTGTGCATTATTCAGCAGCCATTTCATCATTTATTCACATCCAGCATGCCTCACGTCTGCCTTGTTTGGTGTAGCATGGCCAAATTCCTGCCTAGGGAAGACTATGTCTGGAAATTGATTTCTCATACACAGGAAAAAAGCTACATTTTAAATAAAAGTGCACTTGTTTTGATTTATTACTGCCCTTCTTAGAAATTTTATTTTTGAACCCAGGCAGTACTTGCATTTTCTGAAACCTAAAACAAGTGAAAAAAGAAATGAGTCATTAGCATTACCAGAGTTATTACCAGTTGTCATCAAATTTGTATCACAGTAATTGCCAGCATAGAGTGCACTGTTTCTCTTAAAGATGTACTATATCTGGTTGTTGTCTGTCAGGATATTGAGGCCAAGAAAGAGGCACAGAAGGAAAAGGAGATTGATGAGCAGGAGGCTAATGCCTCCACTTTGCACCGCTGCCGCACCACCCTGGATAAAGACCTCATCAACACGGGCATCTATGAGTCCGCAAGCAAACAGAGCTTACCGCTGGTCCAGCTCGTCCAACAGCTTCTCAGGTACTGAACACCTCGCTATGCTAATCAACTCTAGCTATCTGCTATCTGCTTTCACTGTTGCTGGATACAGCATTATGTCGTTCAGTCAAAAAAAGTCAAAAGCTTTTATTGTCATATCAACTTCATACATAAATTAACTCCATGGAAACACACTAATTGGAAAAGTAGATTTTTTTTTATTCATTGTTCCCACTTTTTTTGTGCTCAGGAATATTGCGTCACAGACTATAGCACGTCTGAAAGACGTGGCACGGCGCATTTCAAACTGCCAGGATGCAGAGCAGGTGAGTAAAGAGCGCTCTGCTTCCCTGGACCTGCTTCTGCGCTTTCAGAGATTGCTGGTCTGCAAGCTGTATGTGGGAGTCCACGGCACTGTGGGAGTAGGGGGATACAGTGAGTACCAGGCGCACACACACAGAGCATGATGTTACATAAGGTTAGACCTCCATGCTTCATGGCTTTAAATTACAATTGATCTGTTTGGGTCCATAGAGAACCTGAATAGACTAGATAACTAGATGTTATTTGCCTTTAAAAGAAGGTGTTCTGTATTCTGTGTTTTAGCTTTGACCCACTCTGAGATTCTAGGAGTGGGCTCCCTGTTGAAGAAGTACATTGCCTTGCTGTGTACACACATTGGGGACATCCTTCCTGTAGCCACCAGCATTGCATTCAACAGTCACCGCCACTTTGCTGAGGTGTCCCGCGTCATTGAGGGAGACCTTACTGGTAACTCGCAAACATTTCATCCAAATTCTCATTGCTATAAAGCAAATGAATGTCTAGCATTTTTTTCATAGCCACTAGATTTGGCAAGAAAGCAGATTTGCACTGTTGCAAGTTTAAAAAAAGTTTGGAATCAATGTTACTAATAATCTAAAACCAATTTGTTGCATGCAAATTATTAAATGGCTCTAGCTAATCCTGTGCAACTAAAAAAAAGTTAGAATAATAAATGGTGCTGCAGATGATTCTTGACAAGTTATTTAAGTAATTGCAAAGTTTTGAATGGTATTTGTAGCATATGTTTATATGTAGTGTTGGTAAGCTTGTCTTGTTAACTGCACTGTCCACCTCTGTTCCCCAAGGTGTGTTGCTCCCAGAGCTGGTTGTGTCCATCGTGCTGCTACTGACTCTCGATGCAGGCTTGATGCAGGAGACTGGTTCCATCCCTCTGCTGGCTGCTCTGCTGGAACATGTGGACCGCTTTAACCACCTTGCCCCAGGCCATGAGAGAGATGACAGTGAAGACCTGGCCTGGCCTGGTCTCATGGGTGTGTGGGAACATTCATTCTTGCTCTTCTCATGAAGAGTCATTTAATTTAAGTAAATTTTTTCCCATTTCAGGATTTGAGGCAGGAAGTAAGGTGGCATTTTCCATGTTTTTACAGGGTCTTTCTTTAATGGGCCGAGCTCAAAGAACAATGAGGAGGTTTCACTTATCCGCAAAGCTGACCTGGAGAACCACAACAAAGATGGTGGCTTTTGGACGGTCATTGACGGAAAAGTATATGACATCAAAGACTTCCAGGCCCAGTCTCTTACTGGAAACACTATTCTTGGTATGCCATATGAAATAGGAGTGAAGATATCTGGTATTCAGTCAGATTGCTTGCCATATCTTATCACAGGAAGTTTAAACCATAGCTGTAAGTGTTTCCTGAAATGACCCCCAATCTGCAACTTCATAGATATGTTGAAAATGTATATCTTGGTGTTGGTACTAAATCTCAACCACATTGATTTTAATTTCCGACTTTCTGTACAGGGTAGAGTATTTGGTTTCAAATGAGGAATGGGGCTGTATCATCATGGTTATGCTTTCTTCTTCTTTGTAGCTCAGTTTGCTGGTGAGGACCCTGTGGTGGCTTTAGAGGCTGCTCTGCAGTTTGAAGACACCCGAGAATCAATGCAGGCTTTTTGTGTGGGCCAGTATATGGAGGCAAGTTTTTCCACATTATTATTTTTTTTTTTAAACTGGCCTTAACGTAATGTGAAAAGCACATTTATACTAGTTTAAAGGGCATGATGATCTAATAACTGACTCCATGGTGATGGTTCTTGTGTCCAGCCCAATCAAGAGACAGTAACGACCCCTGACCTGAGCAGCCTGTCCTCTCCGCTGATTGACACTGAGAGAAACTTGGGCCTGCTGCTTGGCCTTCATGCCTCCTACCTGGCCATGAGCACACCACTCTCTCGCATGGAGATAGAATGTGACAGTAAGTGCCTTTCTCTCACTTTGCTATCTCTGTCTCTAATCTGGAAGGAAGAGAGTGCATTGCCTCAGATAACATGGACCATATCATGAGAAATGAAAACAATTCCATACTTTACATTTTGAAAGTGATCCATTGTCATTCAGTGTACATTTTGATTTTTATGTTAGAAAAGTACATCCTTAATGACTACAACCTTATTTACTTTGCTACTTCAGAGTGGCTCCAGTCATCAATCTTCTGTGGAGGTCTGCAGACCAGTCAGATCCACTATAACTATAATGAGGAGAAGGATGAGGACCATTGCAGCTCTCCAGGGACCACTACACCTGACAAAGCCAAACTCTACTCCCGTAGAATCACTCTCAGTGACCATGCGCAGCCTTTTCTACAGGCAATTGCTGATAACACTACCCAGGACCACACTGTGAAGGTACATGTACACTGATTAGCATTAGAGTGTGCAGAGTCGGAGCGGAATAGGGAGTAGAGCAGCCTGATTTTGCCCACAGAGCAGAGTGGCTTTTTAGAATGTCAGAGTAAATGTGTTCTCCCTCGCTCCAAAATCGCTCCAGTACCACTCCGTCTAACAAGCCAGTCCTTCTTCCACACTGATGACCTCTGCATGACATTAGTGATGTGGCAGTCCGACTGCTACAGCTTGCACACAGCAGCCATACTCTTTGTGCTGCAGACCTACATATTGGAAATTCTCACTGATCGCAACAAAGTTCTACAGATATTAAACAGCATTAGTCTCCTGTCATCTGTTTTGCTGTGTGATTGATAAAGAAGGTTGTATTAAAAGCATGTGCATTTGTTTACCCTAGTCAGTTTTCTGGCTTGTGTTTCGGTTGTGGTTTTGAGCCTATATATACTGAAAAAAGCCTGTGAAGCACAGAATGTTTAACTAGATTTTTTTATTAATAATGGTGATAAAATGTGTAATTTGAGATGAAGCATATAGAGTACTGTCCATATGTTCAAGACATAAAATACTTATCTTAAGAATAAATCATATGGAGCAAGTTTTCTCTAATGTGAGTGAGGAGCAGGAAAAAGAAAACCTGGAGTGGAGTGATGTTTGCCACTCTACACTCATACTCTGATTAGTATACAAAATGCAAAGATGTAGCAGGGTGCACATATACAGACTCATGTGCTGAATGAATGTGAAATGTGAACCCTGATGATTTTGTCTCATGTGAATCATGTGAGTTTTAAAGCAACAACACAGTTTTTAATGTTCAACCACAATGTAAGCTGAGAGCAACAGTGCATTTTTTTTCAACTCTTCTTAATTACGGTCCTGTCACTCTCATATCACTATTTTACATCTTGTTTTGAGAGGAACTGTAACTTTTCGCTTTACTATTGCTTCTGTTAGTTTGCCACTTTTTTAATTTTTTTATTTTTCTTTATCTGTCGTTCTTCCGTGAGCACTGTCTAGTATAGTCTGCTAAAAGTGTCCTCCAGTACCGAATTCACTGTTACTATTGGTGTTACTGGCATCAGCGCAATATTTTGCTTACTTACGACTCTGCGTCCTTCTGTGTTAAACAGATTTCCCATAGCAGTAGCTGGAAATACCTTTTCATTTCCAAGAGAGCAATCAGTGGAACTTGTTGGCTTTTAAAAACCGTATTTGAACAAGAGGTTGCGTAGTCATAGCAACATGGCAAAAAAAAATTAATGCCTTTTAATAGTATAATGTGTCAGTGCATTGCTAACACATTAACTTGGCACCATTAAGTTTCCTCACTTTTAGCTACCTTAATGCTGCTTATGCTGCATTTAGTTAAAGCTCGGACTGACATCCTCGTGATTTTATGGTGTAGTTCATGCTGTCACCAATACTGTGTAATAGGCTGCTTCTTCTGTTTGTATTTCAGGACTTTTTATGTCAAATTGAGCGGTGCTGTAAGCAGTATCATCTCATCACACCCATCACTTTCCCGCCAGAGCACCCTGTGGAGGAAGTGGGCCGCCTGCTGCTCTGCTGCCTTCTTAAACACCAGGACCTTGGTAACCTAGCAACTGGCCTTTAGTACACACAATTCTTACACTCTGGTGAATTGTTGCCCTTTTCCTTTAGCTTCCTGTAATCATGACAGATTATGTCTGCTTATTGTATTGATCTCAATAGTCATGTAAACAAAATGTTGTTATGATCATGTTTCTACTTGCTGTGAGAGAATTGACACCGGCTGATCTCTCCCTATTTAGGTCACGTTGCCCTTTCGCTTGTCAATCAGTGTGCCTTGGCTGTGGACCAGGGGAAGCAGCGGTCCCTCCCCAAATCTGTGATTGATGTGTGTCGAATGGTGTACCAGGCCAAGTGCTCTTTAATCAGAGTAAGATTTTCTAACAAGTGAAAAGCTCAGTTTTGTCAGTTTTACTGTGATGTCACCATTGTATTGAGGGTGTTGTTTTCTCATACCTTCCTTTTTGTCGTTACTTGAACAGACCCATCAGGAGCAGGGCCGCTCCTATAAGGAAGTGTGTGCTCCTGTGATTGAAAGGCTGCGATTTCTTTTTAATGAGCTGAGGCCGGCTGTCAGTAATGACTTGTCTATTGTGTGCAAGCTGAAGCTGTTGAGCTCCCAGCCCCGCTGGAAAATGATCACCCGGAAGCTGATCAGAGAGTGCAGAAAAAAGCGAGGTGGGCTCCAATATGGCCAGTTAGCAGAAATAACACAAAAAAATAGAATAAACCTAGTTATTCAAGACAGTTTTGCCTAGTGAAAGTTAGGGATGTAAATCTCTGACCTGACAGAGATTCAGTTTAATTATGATTCTTTTGCAAACGATTTATCATGGAAATTACAAATTTCACCTCAATTTAAATAAATTATTTTGTTGTAAAACAGTTTTTTTTAAATACACTTAATTACACTAAATACACAAATTGTTACTTGTTTTTCAATAGGCCAAGACTTTTGGACAAAAAAATGAGCACACACTTTTATTAAATATTATTATAATTGATTATAATTGATTTGTAATTTATTAGAATGTTCCAAAATCGATGCTGTTGAATTGCAACCATAAGATTGATGCAATATCATGAATTTATAAATTTTTACAATCCTAGTAAGAATTTAAAATACATTTTTTTGTTATCTATATTGGATGTCCCTGTGGCTCTTTCTCTCTCAGTGCCTAAGAAGTCAGAATCTGCAGATGTGGAAGAGGGTAAGCAGGAGAGAGAGAGGGAAGGGACCAACGAGGAAGAACCCCCACCTCCTATTAGCCCCACACCTGTGGACAAGAAACAAATCACTGTCAAATCACCAAAGGTACTCCTTTTTATCTCAGTCTCTGATTGCTTACTTTATACTGCTCTGTGACTGTTTGTTTCATTGCTTCATTGTTCTGTATATGTCATCATATTGTAACCATGCTCTTGTTTTCTTTCGGCTCATTCCCTTTCCTACCTTTTGTGTATTTAGCAGGATAAGTGGCAGCCTCTACTGAACACTGTGGCGAATGTTCAGAAATACCGCTGGTTGAAGCACAGTGTTCAAGGTTCCTGCTCCCAGTCTAGCCTCATGAGCACCATTGTGGAATTTGCTCTCAAAGAGGAACCACTGGATGTGGAGAAGATGAGGAAGTGCCTTCTTAAACAGGTGAAGAGACTTTTATGCCAAATTTCTTAAAGTGACTGCTTGGTGAAAATCTAATTTAGACAGTTTAGCAGTTAAAAATTACCAGTTGAACATCACTGCAAACAGTCTCTCTTTAACTAGTTTACACTTTATCTCCTATCTTTATCTTTATCTATAGTTTTGTTTATCTATGTTATAAATACTGTTCTCTGCATAATTTGTGGAACTCGCACTCAAGGTTTTCACTCACCTGTGTCCCTGTACTCTTGTGATGTGACAATAAATCTGATTTGATTTGATTTGATTGATTTTGGTCTTCTCTGTAGCTGGATATATTCTGCCTTCGCATTAGTAGGATGAATGGATCGGCAGAAAGCTAACCGGCTAACGCTCCAGTCCAGCCTTTAAAAAAGGAGCTAATGTAATACTGCAACTCACTAATTAAGTTGCAAAGTAAAGAATATGTTACTTAGGTGCCTGTTATGAGATGAAAATGTCTGTATTTATACTAGATCTGACATCTGATATAACACTGAGCTAATCCTGGTAGCTTAGTACTAACATGCCATGGTGCGAATACCAGGGTCGCTAGCAGAAATGAGCATTATCATAGCACTTTTTTATTAAACTTCAGCAAATCAACACATTTCTATGTTAAACGTTGTCAAGTTTTTGAATTTGTGTTAATATGTTGAGTCCAAACATATGTCATTTACCTTATTTCTTCAGCTGGAGCGAGCAGAGGTGAGGCTGGAAGGTATAGACACCATGCTGAAACTAGCCTCCAAAAGCTTTCTGCTGCCTTCTGTACAGTACGCCATGCTCTGTGGCTGGCAAAGGGTCATCCCTGAAGGGCGCAATATAGGGTAAGTGAGCAAAACCAAACTTTTAAACTGTTGGAAATGTTTGCACAATATACCCATATACGTTGTTTGCATGTTTTCTTCTCCTTCTGTAGAGAGCCTCTGTCTGACTGTCTGAAGGATGTGGATCTCATTCCTCCCTTTAACCGCATGTTGCTGGAGGTCACCTTTGGCAAACTGTACACTTGGGCCATCCAAAACGTCCGCAACATCCTGCTGGAGGCCAGCGTTAAATTTAAAGAACTTGGTACACCTTGATACAAAGAATCATTTTGAAAGATGTTTTAAATCCATTTCAGATCAGTAGCTTTGGTGTGATGTAATAGTGATTTGTTTAAAACTTTCGTTCTTTTCCATGCAGGAGTGCAGCCTGTGCCTCTGCAGACCATCACAAATGAGAACCCAGCAGGGCCTAGTTTGGGCACCATTCCCCAAGCACGTTTTCTCCTGGCCATGCTCCACATGCTGACCCTAAAACATGGAGCCAACAGCCTCAGCCTGCTGCTCAACTCTGGCACCCTGGCCCTCACACAGAGTGTCCTGCGCCTCATTGGTCAGAACTGAACTTATTCTGTCTTAACCTGCAGTCAGTGCTTTTACCTTCTATTCAGTTTAGTTGTAGCTTGCAGTCACTCTCTGTCTGACTTCTGAACAAGGGTATCTAAAATCATATAGTTAGTATAGCATGTCTGGACATACTCTTAAAGTCTTTTAACTGTTACTGTAGATTACACTGAAGCATTCATAAGTACTGTTCAGCCAGAATACGTTTTCTGGTCCTATGTCCATAATGTTGTGACAGGATGTCTGTAATGTTTGTGACTAATTCACAGAGGAAAAGGGATATCTGTATGACTTACAGAAGAGACTAAAGGCTAAAGTTTAGAGACTAAAGTGTACTCGATTTGCATATCATCATCAGACTAAAAAGTGGGAAAAAAAAAACAGGCTTGTGTCCACATAACTTGGAGTTGAGAATTAGTATGTCTGTACATATAGTCATATGGCAAATCAGGCTGCCCCTGGTCAAATAACATGTTTTGTTAAACATGGGGGCATAAAATGTGGATTGTGAAACAGGCTAATTTTATATTTTTCCAGCATATTAAACTTAGTCAAAAAAAGAAGTAATGCATTAAAATTAGCAGAAAATGACATGTTAAAGTATGTTTCATATAGAGGATGTGTACGTATTTTCAGCTCAAAAATCAACAGATCTTATTATTTGACCAGAGGTGTTCAAACTTTTTTTTGTGTATGTAGAATGTACCTATGGTATGGTACACTGTAGGTTAGTTAAAGATTACAGAAACGTCAGTCCTCTGACAGGTTTTTTGGATTTTAATGTTCAGCATCATACACTTTAGCTCAATGCATATTGGCTTGATGGGAGTCATGGAAAATACATTTGAATGATAACTCGATTGTCTCCTAACTTTAAGACGATTCCACAAATATATTTACCAAGGTTTGGTATATGGTAAGGTAAAATATGCTGTAATTGTTAAAAATGCGAGAGTATGCAGTTCATTAAAAAAAGCTGAGATGAGAAATTCAGACAGGACTAATCTGTAGAGATACTGTGGTAACAGTTACATTACTGCATTTCCCTTCGCAAAACCAATCCTGTCGTGATATTACTGTAATTGAAGAATGTGAGTAGGATAGAATTTGTGATTTAATTAATTAATTAATTAAATCAATAAATAGAATTATTATTAATTAATTCTAATCCGCATAGAGCTTAGATGTACAGTGATATTTCTTGCAGGTCCCAGTTCAGATAGCAGTGAGGAGGATTTAAGTGCTGGAGCTCACGGAGGCTCAGCCACAGTGCTGGAGGAGTCCAGGAAGGAGGCCGCCCCAGCGCCCCTCCCCGCATCTGGCCCTGAGCTGGCTGCCATGATGAAGATTGGCACCAGGGTGATGAGGGGACAGGACTGGAAATGGGGTGATCAGGTATGTGACAGCTGTCTGTGCTTTTCTTGTTAATGAAGGTAGCGATGCGTATTCACACTGATATTTTTAGCAGTGAATTTCTGCATGTATAACCCTGTTCATGTTTTCTGGTTGCTCTCCAGGATGGCCCTCCTCCAGGTCTAGGACGAGTGATTGGTGAGTTAGGGGAGGATGGCTGGATTCGGGTGCAGTGGGATAACAGCAGCACTAATTCCTACAGGATGGGCAAAGAGGGCAAATATGACCTCAAACTAGCAGAGCCTCCTCCTGCTACACAGCCTGCTACTGAAGACTCAGACACAGAGGATGACACTGGTCAGTACTTCCATTCTCTTCCTAGTATAATGTCTTCTTGTCCTGATCCTAGAGTTCCTCTGTCCTGTGTGTTTTGATGTTTATTCTGCTATAACACACCTGACCAAACTGTTCAGTTGATTAACATGCCCCTACTGAGTTGAAAGGATTGTGTTAGAGCAGGGAAAGCACAAAAATTGTTTGGACTGAGGTAATTCCCAGACCAGGTTTGCATTGCATTGGTGTAAAATATAGGGTGTGTTTATTGTACAGAAATTTCTGGTACCTTTAAGTGGCTCATTGTTGGCTCTGCAAATTGGATTGTCTTTTCAAGCACTGTCTTCTGCTTTTTTTTTATCCTTAATTGTTAGAAGGGGAAGTGATGGAGAAGAGCACTCACCCCACAGCCGTCATGTTAACCAGTACGGTGAATCTGCTGAAGACTCTGTCCCTTTCATCCGGAATTCATGCAGAGGTTATGCAGACTGAAGCCACCAGGACTCTGTGCGGTCTACTCCGCATGCTTGTGGAGAGTGGAGCCAACGACCAGACTGGTAATTTAATCCTCAGTCTGCTGTGGTATTGGAGATAATGCTGCAGAGCTCTCTGCAGAGCATAAATGATTTTTAAGGAAATTAAAGAACGTATGCCTTTCACTCACTCCTTTTTGTTTCTTTGTGTGTCTGTGTCAGGTTGTCCATCTTACAGGCTGGTATCTCGTGAGCAGCACAGGAGCTGGTGTACTCTGGGCTTTATCCGCAGTATAGCACTGATGCCTCAGATGTGTTGCACTCTGAGCTCCTCTGCATGGATCAGCCTGCTCATCCGCATTGTGGAGGGCCACCAGTCATTCACTGCTGTCACACTACAGAGACAGGTACAGACTTGCTACTCTAAACACATGTTCTGTGCCTTTAAATATTAAAGGGCCCATATGGTACATTTTTCATGTACTTCATTTTTCCCTGAAGTCCACTTATGTTTCTTTGGTTTTTATATTCTTTTTTTATTGTTTATCTTTTTGAGAGAGCCGACTAAATTGCTAGGCTGAATAGGCAGTCTTATGTAAATAAATTGATGGTTGGGACGTCACAACGATGAATTCAGATAAGTTCAAAGCATAGCTAGGCTGCTGAGCAAGGCTGCTTAATCCTTTTGCTGGAGATCTAACACCCTGGAGAGAGATCCAAAAAACATATGGCTCTAATTTTCAGATGTCCTTACAGCCCTTTGTTACCTGTAACAGGTGTGTTTGATTAGGCCTGGAGCTGAATTCTGCGCAGTGGTAGATTTCCAGAATCAGGATTGGGCACTGCAGACATAGAGCATACTCATTTCATCCATCTTGTCATCACAATTACACATCTGCATATGCAGTACTGATAAATTAGCTGACGTTGTTTTCCTCCCTCTGTCAGATCCTGGCTCTGCGCTTACTGCAGGCAGTGCTACCATCGTGGGATAAAATGGAACGCTCTCAGGATATGAAGTTCCTTGTGGAGAAACTTTTCGGCTTCCTGGGCAGCCTTCTTAGCACCTGCTCCTCAGATTTACCACTTCTCAGAGGTAGCATACACCCCTCGTACTGTTCCTGAACACCTTTCACAATACAGTCTTTTTTTGGCTTATATAAACCAAGAGCTTAACTTTAGAATACATTAATAATAAATTAAATAAATATTTTAGCTGTTTGGAGATATTTCTCATGTAACGTGTGCTTGCAATTAACCCTAGATTTTTTTTTTTAGTTCTTAGTTTTACATTTAGACTTTTTTCAAACTTGTCTCATTTGCTCGACAGAGGGTTCTCTGCGCAGGAGGAAATCCCGCCCACAGGCCTCCCTGACAGCCACTCATAGCAGCACACTAGCAGAGGAGATTGTGGCCGTTCTGCGAACACTGCACTCTCTCAGCCAGTGGAATGGCCTCATCAATGAATACATTAACTCCCAGCTTAGTGGCATTGGAGACATAATGGCAGGTCGTCTGTCAGAAGCGGTACGATCTTTCAGTAATTTAATTTATAAAAGACTTCCGTGTTTTAAAAAATAAAAATATGCATCTGTATTGCTGGGAATTTCACAAATTTGATTTTATAGAGGTCTATATGATACAGTTAAGTAAAGACTCTTCGTTCTTCTGTCTCTGCCATGTCAGACGCTACTGGAGGAGTACTTCCCTAATGCAGAAGCTCCAGTGGTGGGCAGTCTAATGGCTGTGCTAGCGGTGATTGGTGGAATTGATGGACGTCTCAGATTAGGTGGTCAGGTGGTTCATGAAGAGTATGGGGAAGGCACAGTCACACGCATCACTCCTAAAGGTCGAATCACTGTGCAGTTTTACGAAATGAGGACGTGCCGAGTGTGTCTTCTGAGCCAGCTCAAACCGGTGTGTACGCACAGCGTGATACATTAGTATAAATAAACATCAATATGATAGTATTTACATTTAAACACTCGCTTTCTCTTTCATTCTTGCACATATGGTGCTATTATACAAAATTTTAATTTCCCTTTGACCCCTTTTTCTTTCTTGGTTTCTTCTCTTGTCAGCTGCCTGTTGTGTCATTCAGTGTTCAGAACCTGCCCTTTACAGAGCCAATGCTGGCTGTGTGGGCTCAGCTTGTCAATCTGGCCGGAAGCAAGCTGGAGAAACAACGCATGAAGAAATCCCTAAGCAGAGGACTTGCTGGTACAGCTTTCTTTCTCCCGCCACACACACAAATATCAGTTCACACAGGTGAAGAGAGCTAAATGAATCCACTGTACTCTCAAAATATCACCGCCTATTTCATTATGTTCTTACGCAGTCAGGTAGACCATACTTCCTGTTAGTCAGCAGAAAATTCCTGGAACTATCAGCCCACTGACTCAAAATTGTGCACAGCAGCTCACAGCCTTCTGACCCTTTCTTCTGCTTCTGCCTTTCTCCCTCTTTAGGGCTGTTGGCGAAAAATTGTCATACTTAAGCCTCTCAGACCCCAAGATCTATTTTAGTTTTTAGAGATTTATTCAGACTTTAATAATTCAGGAATAAATAACAACAAAAAATCTTTTATCTTTTTATATTTTTTTTGGCCTTGTCTGCATTCTGTCTGTTGGTTAGTTGTTTTCACAGCACTAACAACAAAAAATCATCACAAGCATCACATCCAGTGTTTATAGTTTTGTGTAAAAACATCATGTCCAAATATTTCACATTTCTGTGTTGTTTCTTAGCGCTGGTGTAAAATGACCTTTAGAGGTTCAACTTAATGCTAGGGATGCACCGATATGGGAATAATGGGTCAGTGCCAAGATCCAATGTGTTTCATGTACATATCTGTTATTACCTGTACATGAACAGTTGGGGCTATATCAGTATTAGCATTACAGAGAAATATACAACTTATTTCTGTAGGTTTACAAATGCAGTAAAATAAATAAAATTCTGACATTTTGGTGGCGTTGCCCAGCTTCACCCAACATTCTGCTTTTCCAGATTACAAGAAATATGTCATCTGATATCAGTTTGAAATTCAGTCTAATCTAAAAATCTGTCCAGTAAAAGTATTTTATTTATTTATGTTTTAAGCAAATATCAGAAGATATACACTGGAATTCCAATATCATCGTGCATCTCTAATTAATTAGGTTACATTTTTTAGGAAATAATGTGATGTATATCATGAAATCTCAAATTTCACTATGATTTAATTGGATACAGATCAATATTATTTTTTAATGTACACAGACTGCATAGATGTGAATGGAGGAAATTTACACAACAGTGCAAAATAGGCAATAAAAACAATACATCAATGCAGCTGAATTGCTACCTTCAGTCTGATGCATTATGATGCATTTTACACAGCGTTTTTGTGCCCATGATCTTGCAGCAGACCAGGTGGACGTGCACTTGTTGCGGTGTCAGCAGCTGAGACTGTACATCCTGAAGGCTGCACGAGCTCTGCTCTCCCACCAGGACAAACTCAGACAGATCCTCTCACAGCCAGCAGTCATAGACAGCAGCCCAAACCCCAGCGGTAAGACTGCATTCACTCGCGATTTCTGGAATCTTTTACATAGATATATTCTTCTGCATTATTCCCTCCTGCTATTGTATTGTCTTTTTTGTTTTTTTGATTTTTTTTTGCTCCTGCCTCCTATCTTTCTTCACATCTCAATACTTTTCTTACTTTGTTCTTGCCTCTGCTGTGTTTGTGTATACTCCTTTTTTACACAATACACACTTGTCTATGCCTTTCTCCTTGTGAATCTCCCCCCGATACAGAGGTGCTGGGAAATTAATGAAGTTTGTTCAGCAGCTCTTCCTACTCACTGCTCACACAGCATATAGTCAGTGTTGGATGGTTTGGGGGTGGACATTTTTAACTGATGCTAATGAATTTACCTGGATTAAAGCTGCTACAGAGCCAATATGGCCATTATGGGGGCGGACATGTGTGGATAGTAATTACTAAGGAACTTGGATTGTGTGTAGGGAAATCCCTGTTCACTGTTTTATACTGTATTCAGCAGATTGTTAAATGTCATGTGGGTGATTTGCTGCCTCCTGGTGGTTCAAGACATAATGGCATACTATCCCAATGATGTAAATTGACTTTGTTGAATGTCTATTTTGAATGTGTTTGTGTGTGTGTGTGTGTGTGTGTGTGTGTGTGTGTGTAGAGGAGCAAGTTGTGTCATCTCCAGATGTAGGTGATTTGTCCCCTGAGGGTCCTCTTCCTCCCCTCATCCTGCTCCAGCAGCTTCTCTCTGCTGCCACCCAGCCTTCACCCATTAAAGCAATCTTCGATAGGCAGGAGCTGGAGGTCAGTACCTTGTCACATACTTCTTCTTAGTGTTCAGTATTCTATTTATTCCCTTGTGTCCTCTGGTGTTGTAAAAGTTCATTGATACATTGTGATTCATTGATGTCAAGGGAGTGATTTCAAGTGCCTCAGTTCTGAAATGATCATAATTGGTTATGATGATGTGGGTGGGCTATAATAATATTCAAAGTGTGTGTTTTGTGTTTTTGACCAAAAGATTTGTATATTTGTTCTTATGGTCTATAATATATTACTGTGTATTTTTTTTTCTAATTGTGAAACGAATCATGGTGAAAGTTTAATGCTTCATGATGCATTGAATTGTAAACAAATTGAATCATTTTATGGTCAGAGGCACGCTTGCAGTCCTGGTATTTCCACTTTCTCTTACTGGATGCTGTACTGTACTCTGTAGGCAGCGGCTCTGGCCGTGTGTCAGTTCCTGGCAGTGGAGTCCACTCACCCTTCATCTCCACTGTTTGAGGACAGCAGTTCGAGTGAGGCCACCACGCCAGTCACTGTACAGCATGTACGCCCTCCCAAGCAGAAGAAGCACAAGACATCACCAGTGCCCCCAGCACCCATAGTACTGCAACTCATGGAGATGGGCTTCCAAAGGAAGAACATTGAATTTGCCCTAAAATCCCTGTCTGGAACCACAGGAAGTGCTTCCGGAGTTCCAGGTAGTATGATTCTGTCCAGTCAGCTTATTAGTCTTTTTTTTTAAAAACAAGTGAATAGTACTGAGCTTTAATCAGTTGATAATAGACTGCGCTTGTGTTGTCCTAGTGAAGCTTAAACCACAAGTTGATTTGTGTGTTAATATTCATCTACATTCATGCACTCGTTTGTAAACCCGTAGTATTATTTAAGCCTCCTGTAAGCATTGAGTAAATTTTGCAAGTTCCTGTAGTTTCTCCAAAAATGTGTACCTAGTTCACACAGTTTTTGTTGCTTTTGTAACTCTACTATAACGTAAGATAATATGAAGTTTCTATGGGTGTATATGTGTTTTATATATAGCTAGAGAATGTAAATGTAAGATGGTGGGTTGGTCTGTTGGGCACATCCTTACCTCTGTTTTGTTTGTTTCAGGTGTGGAGGCACTGGTAGGCTGGCTGTTAGATCACCCTGATGTACACGTCACAGAGCTGTCTGATGCTGACACGGTATCTGATGAATACTCGGATGAAGAAGTGCTGGAAGAACTTGAGGAGCCAGAAGCAGCTTTTCCTGTGGTATGCACACATACACACAAGTCTAATAAAGACAAAGACTCACTTGCTGAGATTTTGACCATTGTTTAATGTTGACTCTTCTTTCTCTCAAGCCTCCTGGAGTCGTGGTCACTGAAAGTCAGACATTTAAGAAGCGGTCAGACTTTCAGAGTAATGATGACTATGCAGTGTATGTAAGAGAGAACATACAGGTAGGGAGACACATGCATCATTTTTCATGTTACATGCTAGTTGGCTTAGCGGGTTCATGCCAGTTTGAAATTACATGCATTATTTCCTGTTGGCTTTATTGGAGAGTGGATGGCATAGCAACTGGCTTGCAGCTATAGTGCTCTTCATGCTGCATGTTTTTAGCTCATATGGTGTGTTTGTGTGTGTCTGTCTGTACTTTTTTTAGGTTGGAATGATGGTGAAGTGTTGCAGAACGTATGAGGAAGTGTATGAGGGAGATGTTGGCAAAGTGATCAAATTAGACAGAGATGGCCTGCATGACCTAAATGTTCAGTGTGACTGGCAACAAAAAGGTGGCACCTACTGGGTCCGCTACATCCACACTGAATTGCTGGGTAATCTTCCCCTCATCCACACAGCATTTTTACAACTAGTGACTCTGGAAAAGTGTAAACTCTCAAGGATCTTAGAATGTTCTAACAGTGGTTTAAAGCAGATCTCAGGCTAGGTTCCTTTTTGGCCAAAGCTCTGCAAAGATTAGCGTTTTCCCTTTTTTATCAACCAGAGATCAGCACATTAAGACCCTGCTCATTACCTGATGAGTTGAATCAGATGTGTTTAATGAGACAGAACCCTGAGCTCTGCACAGCTGTGGCCCCTTGGATCCAAGTTTAACACCCATTGTTCCAAAATATGTATATGGGTATAATGCAAGCTTCTGTTTCATTAGACCTATAACGTTGATGTTTTACAATGGAAACCAAGTTGCATTTTTTTTTTTCTTTCCGTTTCAGGATTTCCTCCTCAGAGCTCTCCATCCCACATTAAGATTGGAGACAAGGTGCGAGTCAAGCCTTCAGTCACAACACCAAAGTACAAGTGGGGTTCTGTTACCCACAGAAGTGTGGGCACAGTCAAAGGTGAGGTTTATTGAAAACAAGCTGATGTTTATTTAAAAGAGAATTGTGTTTTCTTAGTAGCGCACTACTTAACCTTATGATTCAGCTTTCAGTGCCAATGGGAAGGATGTGATAGTGGATTTCCCTCAGCAGTCACACTGGACAGGCTTGCTGTCTGAGATGGAGCTAGTGCCTAGTGTTCACCCTGGGGTCAGGTATGTGCTTGTTTGCTTGTGCACATATGAATGGCAGATTGAGGTATTCACCAGCAAAGTATAAATTGTTGTTCATTCTGGTGACTGTGCTATTTTTGCATCTGAAGGTGCGACGGCTGTCAGATGTTTCCGATTAATGGGCCCAGGTTTAAGTGTCGCAGCTGTGATGACTTTGACTTTTGTGAAAGTTGCTTTAAAACCCGCAAACACAACCCCAGGCATTCCTTTGGACGTATAAATGAACCAGGTCAGTCTCATGTACAAATTAGATATGACAAGTTTAGAAATGTATTTTGGCAGATTTGAATTGGTTTGCTTTAATATAGCTCATTGCCACACATTTGACCTCCAACCTCTGACTTGTAGGTCAGTCTCCAGCCTTCAGTGGGCGGTCAGGAAAACAGCTGAAGAGGCACCACAGTAGCCAGCGGGGCATGCTGATAGACGAGTGGTCGAGAGCAGTGAAGAACCTCAATGTGTCCTCCTCGGTTAACCAGGCCTCCAGACTCATAGACTGTGGAGATCAGTGCTGGCAGTCCTCTGGTTCTCAGGGCAAGGTCAGTTACGCATTCCTCCATGTACAGGGAAGTTCTGACCGTTACTGATAGTGTCCCAACATTGGATGGAGCTGTTAGTGGTTTTAATGATAATACTGTGGTATAAAACTCAGTGATAATCATAACATTTTAAATGTAATAGTTCCGTTAGCCATGTACATGTACACACTTTTTCATGGTGGAAATATACAAATTAAAATGGGTAAATATAAAGTAACTATGCTGACAGTATGTTTTTCATTTGTGTCAAGTAAGACAGCGTTCTTGTGGACACTTCAAGGTCTTCTAAAAGTAGTTTTTAAATGTAAAATGTCATAAAATGTCTTGTTTAACAATGTTAGAAGTATTCAGCTTGGGGATGACTATATCAGTTATTATTTTAATGGATTAATTTTGTATATATTAGGTCCGATACAGTTCTAATCTTTTGTGTCTTTTTTGCTGTTTATTCTTTTGCTGGAGAGAGGCACTATGAACAGTTGTTGTTCACAAACTGCAGCAGTAAGGCTGAATTTCAGAAGTTAACAAAGTGGTCTAGTGCAGTTGGGCTTTGTCGAAACATGGGCACATAAAATGTAAATGTGTGAATATTGAGCTTTGAATGTGTTTCCTGCTGCTTAGTGTTAGTGAAATGCCACCAAAATCAACTAATCACCACAAAAAAAAAAAAATGTTACACTCTGCTTTACCAGCCATGCTGGGCACTTCTGCAGCGTTAAAACCGTTGTTAACAGAAACCACATATTCAAAACAGAGACAAAGGAGCAGGCTAATACCCACGTGTTAGAGCATGAAATCATATCACATTTAAATAGTTTACCAACCCCAGATAGGCCTCTGACAGTAGTCCTGTAGTCTGAAACTGACCTGTGATGAAGGCCTGGAGGACAGTAGAATTGAAAAGTCAAATGCACTGAAAAGATCATGCAGGGATATTGCAAACAAAAATGTATCTGTTCAAGTTTCATTTGGTTTGAGTAAAATAGATATCAATGCATGCCATGATTTTTGTGTGTGTTTGGTTTGTGGAAATGGTATTATTTTTGCTTTGTTTAGGTCTTATAAAAAATGTTAAAAAGCGTTGAAGGAACTCTCTAAATCTCTTGCTCTTTTGTTTTTGCTTTTTGTATGTCTGTATGTCTGTGCTGATCACCACAGCACTGGATTCGATTGGAGCTCTTCCCAGATGTTCTGGTCCACAGGCTGAAGATGATGGTGGACCCTGCAGATAGCAGTTACATGCCTTCACTTGTTGTTGTGTCAGGTAAAAACTACATGGTTCTTAGAATAAAAGTTTTTCTTCTGATATTGGATCTTTTGAAGCATATGTTTTGAAACATATTTATAATGTGTGCTAGGTGGAAGTTCCTTGAACAACCTGATTGAGCTGAAGACCATCAACATCAACCCTACAGACACTACTGTTTCTTTGTTAAATGACTGCACTGAGGTGAGTTAATTTTTCACTGTGCACTAGAGCTGCTCTATAAATTGTGTTTTTATTGTTATCACAGTACGAGTTTCCACGATAAACGTATCGTTAGAGCAGCAATGACAATGACAATAATTTCTCTTTATTTGCAGAATAGTAAATAGTCCTTTTGTAATTTTGTATATTGTTTTTTGTTTGAAGCTGGGTTTAAAGAGAGATTAGTTAGATTTCTGTTTACACATACCAAAAAACGTCCTCGCTTGTGTTATATCCAGCCGGAGGCACATTATTTTAACGGTAATTTATCACTTCTCATATTGTCAACGTGATATCTGACAGCTTTATTGAACATTGCATTTTATGTCAATATTGTGCAGCCCTACTGTGCACCATTCTTATAAACAGGCCTGTTAATGTCTCTGTTGAGATCAGAGCTGTTTGTGTATTTTCAGTACCACAGGTACATAGAGATAGCCATAAAGCAGTGTCGAAGCTCAGGGATTGACTGCAAGATCCATGGCCTGAGCATTGTGGGTCGTATCCGTGCTGAGGATGAAGACTTGGCCACTGTGCCTTTCCTGGCATCAGACAATGAAGAGGAGGAGGATGATAAAGCAGCCACTGGGAGGTAAGTGGTTCTGAAGACAATGGAAGATACGTGCGAAGCGTCTTTCGATTCTGTGGTCTTCATTCAGTATGTTGCCATGGAATCTTTTTTACTTTACTGTATCTGTAACTTTAGTGATAGTTGAGTACTCTGTCTCCTGCTGCAGCCTTACTCGAAAGAGGTCCTCAGGGCTGGAATCTGGTGCCTCCATCAGAACCAAAGTGTTTGTGTGGGGTCTCAACGACAAAGACCAGTTGGGTGGTCTCAAAGGGTCAAAAGTCAGTAATGTGAAATACTTCTTATTTCTTGATTGAATTTAATGAATATAATGTGTTTTTCAGAGAGCCTTGGTGTTTTGATGTTTGTAGTTATTAGAACTTATCAGTCTCGTTTCACCTTTCGCCAGATCAAAGTTCCATCGTTCTCTGAGACGCTCTCTGCTCTGAATGTAGTACAGGTGTCCGGAGGCTCCAAGAGCCTATTTGCAGGTGAGTTCAGTTCTGTTTATTCAAAAAATGGCAGTATATTTTAATATGTGAACGCTGTAACGTCGTGAAGATACTTAAGTTACATTATTACCTATAATGACATTAAAGTTACTTGAATGTGTACATTTTATGATCTCTTTTAAGGTCTCAGGTTGCTGAAGATGAGCAGTTTTGAGTCATTTGATGTTATGCTTGCAGCCTGACTGTGTGTGTGTGTGTGTGTGTGTGTGTGTGTGTGTGTGTGTGTGTGTGTGTGTGTGTGTCTTTGTGCTTGCAGTGACTGCAGAGGGAAAGGTGTATGCTTGTGGGGAGGCCACTAATGGCAGGCTGGGCTTAGGGCTGTCCAGCGGTACTATACCTATCCCACGCCAGGTCTCTGCCCTCAGCAACTATGTGGTGAAGAAGGTTGCTGTACATTCAGGTCAGTGCCTGTTATGAGTATTTCCTCTTTCTTATTGGCATATGTTGGTTTAATCCACTAGAAGCTATTTGTGTATTTGCACAGGTGGGCGCCATGCTATGGCTCTGACAGTGGATGGAAAAGTGTTTTCTTGGGGTGAGGGAGATGATGGCAAACTGGGGCATTTCAGTAGAATGTAAGGCCAACTTAAAATTGTCTTTTTACCTTATATGCTCACAAAATATTGCCTTTTTAAATGCTTCATAGCATTAAATTAAGAAAAATGGGTCTCTAGGAATTGTGACAAGCCACGACTTATTGAAGCTCTGAAGACCAAGCGGATTCGGGACATTGCTTGTGGCAGCTCCCACAGTGCAGCGATCACCTCCAGTGGAGAGCTGTACAGCTGGGGTCTTGGTGAATATGGCCGCCTTGGCCATGGAGACAACACCACCCAGCTCAGGCCTAAACTGGTACAGTCTCCTTTAGCAAACTTTTCATGTGCCATTCATGTCATCAGCTTTAGTTATGTCTCTTAACATTTTTCATAATTCCATCTTACATCTTTTTGTTTTGCAGGTTAAAGTGCTGTTGGGTCATCGAGTTATTCAGGTGGCATGTGGAAGTCGTGATGCCCAGACTCTGGCTCTTACAGACGAAGGTACAAACTGTGTTTAGTGTTGGATTGCATGTCTCTCACTATGTATAATTGAATGCACTTTGTTGTTCTATGTTGCAGTGGACTTTTGTAATTAATTCTTACATAAATGCATATTAATTATTATTTACTTAATTATTACATTATAAATAATATGATGTGTGCGTGTAGGACTGGTGTTCTCATGGGGCGATGGTGACTTTGGGAAGCTGGGCCGTGGAGGCAGCGAGGGCTGCAATATACCTCAGAACATTGAGCGGCTGAATGGACAGGGCGTGTGCCAGATTGAATGTGGAGCTCAATTCTCACTCGCTCTCACCAAATCTGGAGTTGTCTGGACCTGGTACATTGTTACACTTCATCCGCTGGAAAAATATCTTAATCTAAAGTCTTTTAATCTAAAGAAAATGTCCTGTTCTATTTGCGTGAGCAAAGCAAATTTAGCTATGTTATTCCTTAAAATGAGAAAAATGATTTGCAACTGGAATAAGAAGTAGAAAAGCATAAGTAAATTAAATAATAATATTCTTACAACAATCTTATAATGAGAAATATTACATATTTAGAATATATATTTCACATGATTTCAGTTGCCTAGACATTATTTTTCGAGGCAAATAATTTCTGGAAATAAGCTAAATTATTTGCCATTGGACATTTTCACTACATTAAGATTGCATAGAACCTACATAAGTATGTAATAATATACATTTATTATTATTATTATTATTATTATTAATGTATGTCTCAAATCTTGTGCTGACCTGTGCAGGGGGAAAGGGGACTACTTTCGTCTGGGTCACGGCACAGATGTGCATGTGCGGAAGCCCCAGATGGTGGAGGGACTACGAGGCAAGAAGATAATTCATGTGGCTGTGGGGGCCCTGCACTGCCTGGCTGTCACAGACACAGGACAGGTAAGGCTACAGATTCTTGAAGATATTTTGTGTAGTCAGCGTGTGCATCACTTACATTTGTTTTACAGTTTTTTCAGTAAACACCAGACTTTTCAGTTCCAAAACTACGTTAGCACACATGGAGGAAGCATATATTAGTGTTGTTGTGTCAGGATCCATCTGTATGTTGAGTCTGTATGTGCTGAGGCCCCCTTTTTTGCTCTTTTCAGGTGTATGCATGGGGTGATAATGACCATGGGCAGCAGGGGAATGGCACTACCACAGTTAACAGGAAGCCCACGCTTGTTCAGGGTCTGGAGGGCCAGAAGATCACACGTGTAGCCTGCGGCTCCTCTCACAGCGTGGCTTGGACAACCGTGGACGTCACCACGCCCTCGGTCCATGAGCCCGTCCTTTTCCAGACTGCCAGGGACTCGCTTGGAGCCTCCTACCTCGGTAAAGAAACAGTATTGCTTTTTCTGAAAGTACTGAATTTGACTTGGATACTCTGTTTCTCTTCCCTCTTGCTCTCTTTTTTGTATCTATCTCTCTGTCACCCATTTTCCACTGGTCACCATTTCCTAGACAATTCTCTTTATGGTCACCCCAAAAGTAAGTTCAGTTATGTGATCATTTTTTGTGTGTCTGTTTTGTCATGTAGGTGTACCGTCAGACAGTGACCCATCTTTGCTGAGTAATAAGCTGAGTGGACAGAGCAGCATGAAGCCCAACAGGCCATCTCTGGCCAAGATCCTGCTCTCTCTGGATGGTAATCTAGCCAAGCAGCAGGCTCTGTCTCATGTGCTGTCTGCTCTGCAAATAATGTATGCCAGGTACTGTATCATGCCACCTGTCCAACTGTGTGTCTCTTTGTTATGTGTTGGCCTGATAGGGTCTAGGATTGAATAGCTCAAAGGAAATTTGGAAAGCGCTACGGCTGTAACAGTTGGTTAAATGCAGATTAGTCATTTCTTGATGTCAATTGGTGTGATTGACACATTATTTGCTTAAACACAAAGCACTCTGTAATGCTCATATGATACACTTAGTCATTCTGATGAGTAGTACTCTAAAGGAAGATTTGGGGCAAGGGTTTTGGTAGCTTCCGACTGGCAACTGCTCGAGCTCTAACTCAAATAAAGAAATGTTACTTACTGCTGCCCTCTAAACATATGAAGCACAAATCAGAACTTCTGTTAGAACTTCTGTTATTTTTCTGATACCTGACTAGTTTTCTGCTTTCTTTTATTTACATGCATTTGCCTCAAACCACTGGATAGAAATGCACCCACAACTCAATTCACATTATATTTGTTGTGATGTAAACATAAAATTGTGAAATTATAACAACTGGAAAGTAATTGTATTCAGCTCAAATAAGATAAGACAATCATGTAATAATTGTGACAGATGTAGACCTAATCATCAGTTGAGCATTGTTGAATGCAGTGGTTCCCAAGTGGCCTGCAGATTTGAATTTACCCTGCTCTCAACACACCTGATCCAATTAATCAGTTAATTAACAAGCCCTTCCGGAGTTAAAGTGGGTGTGTTAAAACAGGAACAGACAAATTGTGCAAAGCAGAGGCTGGTTCAGGACCAGGTTTTGGGACCTGTGGTTTAATGGACAGGAACATGCAGTAATTGAATTGTGTCTCTGCTTGTTTGTGTATAGGGATGCAGTAGTGGGAGCTCTGATGCCAGCCTGTATGATGCCGGTGGAGTGTCCATCCAGCTCCCCTGTGCCACCCTCAGACTGCTCGTCTGCCTCCAGTCCCTCAGAGGCTAAAGGTCCTTCTCTGTCTGCTGACACCGAGGAGCGGGTCAGCCCTCACCCCTGGCAGGACAGCAAAAGGGGAGAGGTATGCTGTACTACACAATCTAGAGTATTCCTTTCCCTCCTACTTTCCTTGTTTTACTATTCAAGCACACCTCACAGAACACTGGTGATGTACTTGATATCAGACAAACATGTACCTACCTTTGATTTTCCCTTTTTATTGATGATATTGTCTTGTCACTAGATGGCATCATCGGAGGATGCTATCACCCCATCGTCTGCTGTAACACCCTCTGCCGCTGCCGCTTCTTCCCGCCCCTTCATCCCCGTCACAGATGACCCTGGAGCGGCCAGCATCATTGCTGAGACTATGACCAAAACCAAAGAGGTCAGCCACAGAGTAGTGTGAATTGATGCTCTGCTTCTGTTTATCATGTAAGGTCTTTGGAAAGCTGAAACTTTTTGGAAACTTTTTTGATTTTTCTTTGCTTCCTTGTTCATTATGACAGGACTCTGAGTGCCAGAACAAAGCCGTAGGGCCTGAGCCACAATATCTGGATGAGTTCACAAGTCTGCTGGTGCCTGATGACACCCGAGTGATGGTGGACCTGTTAAAGCTGGCTGTGTCTATGCGTGCAGGCGAGAAAGGAAAAGAAGTGCTATCTGCTGTTCTGTCAGGCATGGGCACTGCCTACCCACAGGTTCACACTGCCTCTTTCTGCCTTCTTCTGTTTGATTTAAAGTGGTCATTTTGTGAAAATTAACATTTTTCCCTTGCCCCAAATGTAATTGATCAGCTAGGTTAAGTTTGGTTTCTAAGTCTGCTTCTTTAATTTTTCACTGCAGCACTGATGAGGCTAAAGAAGGCTTATACCAATTGCACATGCGATCACCTATTTGCCATTATTTAAATGTCCATTTTTATAGTTAACACATTTTTTTTGTTGAGCTATTGTTTGATCATGTCTTTTCACTGTGAACATTGATTCTATCATTTGTATGTTATTTGAAGTTCTGCAATTTTGTGTATGTGCAGGTGGCTAACATGCTACTGGAGCTGTGTGTGACTGAGCTGGAGGATGTGGCCACTGATTCTCAGAGTGGGCGTCTTTCGTCTCAGCCTGTAGTGGTGGAGAGCAGTCACCCTTACACTGATGACACCTCCACCAGTGGAACCGTCAAAATACCAGGTAACAAACCCTGTCTGTATGAGCTGCATCAGTATTACATCAAAGCACTTTCTTACAGTAAATTGACACATCATTGGAAAGCAGTGTCCATAATTGTTTGCATTGCTGTTTTTTCATGCATTATCAGGTGCTGAAGGACTGCGTGTGGAATTTGACCGGCAGTGTTCTACAGAGAGGAGACACGACCCGTTAACTGTCATGGATGGAGCCAATAGGATAGTGTCTGTCCGATCAGGTGATTTAAACTTGATTTAGTTGTAAGAACTTCTAATTATTTCTGCTAATTAGACTTTTAGTCACAATAGAGATAGTCTAGTATATTCTGTTTAGTTAGATGCTAACAGTGTGAAAATCTTTTATTTAAAGAAGTGGCAGAGCTGTATGTAAGTGATTTATCTTACGGTTTGTGCCGTGTTTCAGGTCGAGAGTGGTCAGACTGGTCCAGCGAGTTAAGAATCCCAGGAGACGAGCTGAAATGGAAGTTCACCAGTGATGGCTCTGTCAATGGCTGGGGCTGGCGCTTCACTGTATATCCCATCATGCCTGCTGCTGGTACGTTCATCACCCAACCTTGAACATTCAAATTAATATTTAAACACACAAGTTGTTCTTAGGCTTTATAAATATTTGCTTTTATTTTGTTGATGTTTCTCAGGCCCTAAAGACCTCCTTTCTGATCGCTGTATCCTGTCCTGTCCCTCTATGGATCTGGTCACCTGCTTGTTGGACTTTCGTCTGAACTTTGCCTCCAACCGCAGCATTGTTCCCAGACTGGCTGCTTCACTTGCAGCCTGCGCTCAGCTCAGTGCCCTAGGTATGTCGGCATGACTTCTTAATCAGCCTGTTAGTAAGAAAGATTGCATAGAGTAAAGTAATAGGTGTTTTGCTTCTGCTCACCTTTCGTGTGCATGCATGTGTGTTTGTGTTTTGACCAGCGGCTGGACACCGTATGTGGGCCCTGCAGAGGTTACGCAAACTCCTGACTACTGAGTATGGCCAGTCCATCAACATAAACCGTCTGCTAGGAGACAATGAGGGAGAGTCTCGCTCAATGGTCAGTCTGGCCAAAGCCATCCTGCTGTCTGAAAGACATGTTCACATATAACATTAATGTCCATCTTGTATGGTCAGGTACATGTAATTTGAAAGTTTGGAATCACAAAACATAACTTTGAATTTTGAACTAACTTATGAACTAATTCAACTAATTAGTAGGAAGCCATTAAAAAGTAATGTTAGATGTGTCTTGAATGATGAAACGAGCTATAGACGATTCTGTGATGACTTAAAAGCTGTACAACGTTCAGAGTGAAGCTATGCTAAAATTATCACCCAGAATTCCTTGTATTTCAAAGGTGATGATCAAATCTCTTGCAGATAACTTGGAAAGAAGTTATAACAAATAAATAATTACTGTTTGAATTAATACTCAAATTGAATAAAACAACAATATTTATAGGAGAAGTGACACATTAATAGGACAAATGATTCCAAACTTTTTGTGCTGATATATGTCAGATTTGCTGTGAACGTCATGTTGAGATTTCTTCGTTTTGGGAATTGTTCTTAGCTGTTCTATTTTAATGGAAAACTCAGTGCAGTGTGTCACATTATGTGTCAGATCAAAATAAAATCTGTTAAAGTGGCTAATATATTGTTCATTGGTTCTTGTAGAGTTTTACGGGCAGTGCTCTGGCTGCCCTGGTGAAGGGGCTTCCTGAGGCTTTGCAGAGGCAGTATGAATATGAGGACCCCATTGTCAGAGGAGGCAAACAACTTCTCCATAGTCCCTTCTTCAAGGTATGTGTAAGAAATGTGGTGTGTAAAGACATAGGAGCATGTACATGTGCATGTGCATGAGAACTAAAACTAAATAAATGTTTTGTATTTAGGTGCTGGTGGCACTTGCATGTGATCTGGAGCTGGACACTCTGCCCTGCTGTGCTGAAACTCACAAGTGGGCATGGTTCCGTCGTTACTGCACTGCCTCCAGGGTGGCAGTGGCTCTGGACAAGAGAACACCCTTACCCCGACCTTTCCTGGATGAGGTATGCTGATAATGTCAGTGTTTCATAATATGTCTCTTATATTAATTGCATTATAGTAGCAATTATTTTAATTTTTTTTTCTGAAGGTTGCTAAGAAAATCCGGGAGCTAATGGCAGACCATGAGAACATGAATGGGCTTCACGAAAGTCATGAGCTGTTCAAGAGGGAGCATGATGAACAGCTAGTGCAGTGGATGAATAGGTGATTGTCACAGTAATCTTTGATCAGGATGTAGTTTTTCTTTAAGTAAACTTGTTCTGGTGAATGACCATGTCCTAAATGTTCTATAGACGTCCAGATGACTGGACTCTGTCGGCTGGAGGTAGCGGGACCATCTATGGCTGGGGGCACAACCATCGAGGCCAGCTGGGTGGTATTGAAGGCGCAAAGGTCAAAGTTCCCACACCGACAGAGGCCTTGGCCACGTTGCGTCCAGTTCAGCTCATCGGTGGAGAGCAGACTCTTTTTGCAGTAACTGCTGATGGGAAGGTAAGGCAGCCTTCTTCCACCTCAGCAGTACTTTAACCTAGCAGAAACTGGTGTTAAACAAAGTGGCCCGGCCAAAAGTCTATACAGTTGTCCCTCTACTCCATATGTAATCAGTCAGCTAGGACATTTGGTGTCTGAAGTTAGCGTGTTTAGTTTTGCATTTTTGCTCTGAGGCTAATTTAGCTAACAAGTACAAGAACTTAAAGCCACCTGCTGGCTTTTGCGGACTGCATGCCGAACATGCATGGCACAATGTCCTGACTCATTGATTACTTTTTGAATAAGAAAAAAAAATGTGTAAATTTGATTTTTGGCTAAAAATATGCCCCGCTAATAGATTATCGGATGCCAATGTTAAAAACCCTCACATATATTTTGATGAATATGTGACTGTCAATTGTGTCTTTGTCTTATCAGATGCTCCTTCTCCTTGTTGTTCTCCATTTATTTATCAAGGGCTGAAACAGTGCTAATATTTTGAAATAAGCTGTTTTGTAAAATTTTTGCCCGATAACCCTTTTACAAGCTGTGCTGCAGTGACTGTCATGCTTCTCTCTCCAGCTGTATGCTACAGGTTATGGAGCTGGAGGACGTCTGGGGATTGGAGGCACTGAATCTGTCTCTACCCCAACCTTATTGGAGTCCATCCAGCATGTTTTCATCCGGAAGGTAGCAGTGAACTCTGGGGGGAAGCACTGCCTGGCACTGTCCTCAGAGGGAGAGGTCTACTCCTGGGGAGAGGCCGAGGATGGCAAACTGGGTCATGGCAATAGGAGGTCAGGAGAAGTTTCTTTTGTGTGTTCTTTACTTAGTGACTGCTATTTGAAACTCTGTGTGTATATATTCGGTAATATATTCTCTGAATTTAAATATGACATTCAGCATAGTTCAACCTTTGGGTATTTTGACTTTAGATAAATAGTAAATATTCTTTACACTATGCGCACACCATACGTGACATAACAGTATATAGTATATGTATAGTAAGTGTATATACCATGAATTTCCAGTGGAAATTGTGCAGAGTTGTACAGTTTTCTATGCTTCCAGCAGATGTCACTTGTGCTCATGCTTAGCACACGTTGAGCCTTGTGAACATCATGAACCTTGTGCGTGAGTTCTCACATGTAGTGAAGAAACAGCATGTATTTTCTCTGACTGAGCCTGTGGTCTTTTTGTCAGCCCGTGTGACCGTCCACGAGTGATTGAGTCTCTGAGGGGAGTGGAGGTGGTGGACATTGCTGCTGGAGGGGCACATAGTGCCTGCATCACAGCCAGTGGAGAACTCTACACCTGGGGCAAAGGACGCTATGGGCGACTTGGCCACGGAGACAGTGAGGACCAGCTCAAACCTAAACTGGTCAGTGCCTGGAGTAAAACATGCTGCCAGTATGTGACTGACAGATTTAAACGTGTCTCTGTTTATCACACTGCTCTTACCATGTATGGCATTTGCACAACACGATGTGACCTTTTACTTGAAGCCTCTGGAGCTGATGGGCTAACAAGTGTGCAGACACGTTTACAGTGCCCATGCACATTTAGAAGTGACATACATGTGTGTCTGTGTATCTGGCACTTAACATGACCAGACAGCTGAAGAGCATGTTTTCACATGTGAACAAACATACTTGAAATCCATTGCACATAGTTCAAGACATGATTGGGTACGTTGACCCACTTTTCAGGCTCAAACTTTTCAATTTGTTGTAAGCTGAGGATATGCCTTAATATGCTACATGCTTCAGGCTTGTTAATGCATTATGTTAGCACTAATTGATTGATTTACAGAAGCAAAAGTAAGAACATTACTAGTGCAAGCTTGTGTTTAGCTGAAGTCCTCCTACATCCCTTTATCCACCTGCTACATTCTTCCCATGTGGATGTAGAGTGAATACAGAGGCATTCATATACTGGAATACGCGTATATTGCACTGGAATATGTGATACCATTCTCTGTATTTTCTGTTCAAAGAGGTTATTGTCAAGTTGCTATGTTATTGTATGTGAAAACTTTTTTTTATTTGTGTGCTCTGTGTGCAGGTGGATGCTCTGCAGGGCCACAGGGTGATAGACGTAGCTTGTGGAAGTGGTGATGCTCAGACTTTGTGTTTGACCGATGATGACATGGTGTGGTCATGGGGAGATGGAGACTACGGCAAACTGGGCCGTGGGGGCAGCGATGGCTGCAAAGTGCCAATGAAGGCAAGAGTTAACACTTAGATTCATTAGATCTCCGGCAAGGTGTCTCTGTATTTAATATATAACGAAAGTCTAATAAATTCTCTCTCTCGCTCTCTCTCTCGCTCTCTCTCTCGCTCTCTCTCTCTCTCTCTCTCTCTCTCTCTCTCTCTCTGTCTCTCTCTCTGTAGATTGACTCTCTTACTGGTTTGGGAGTGGTGAAAGTAGAGTGTGGTTCTCAGTTCTCTGTAGCCCTCACAAAGTCTGGAGCTGTTTACACATGGTGAGCAGTAGGGATAAAATACCTTACATTTCTGTATATTATGATATGCCTTGCAATATATGAAAACCATATGCGTAATTTTGTCCAAAATTATTTACGTTTGTTGGATGATCCAAACACCCACAGAAACTCATCTAGGACATTAAAGATGGGTCACGATAAATATTTAGTGTTTGTTTGGGGGCTTATTTCTACATTTCAAACCTTGGAGAGATGATGATAATGATGTAAAGGGCAATACTGACAGTTCACAATAATATATTATGCAGTCCATTGTATTACTTTTATACATCTCAGAACATAGAAGAGTAGAGATATTGTGTGTTTTCATTCTCAGGGGAAAGGGTGACTACCACAGGTTGGGCCATGGCTCAGATGACCATGTTCGCAGACCCCGACAGGTCCAGGGTTTACAAGGCAAAAAGGTCATTGCCATAGCAACTGGTTCCCTCCATTGTGTATGCTGCACTGAAGATGGTAAGATGTTGGCATACTTTCCATTGTCAAGCGAGCAGTTTATGACTACAAATTGGAGTTCCATGTAAAATGTATTGTTTTATGTATTTTATGCTAAACTCCGGTTGGAGATTTGGTTTTTATTGTTGTGTAGTGGTGTGATCTGTGTATAACGGTCATTTGTCTGTGTCAGGTGAAGTATACACGTGGGGTGATAACGATGAGGGGCAGCTGGGTGATGGGACAACCAATGCCATCCAGAGGCCCAGGCTGGTGGCAGCACTGCAGGGCAAGAAGATCAACAGGGTGGCCTGTGGCTCTGCGCACACCCTCGCCTGGTCGACCAGCAAGCCCACCAATGCTGGCAAACTCCCTGCTCAGGTACTGGATAGTTTCAGTGCTAATACAACTATTATAATAAACAGTGTGCTAGAGTTTGGGAGATGAAGTCATATCATCATATTAACATAGCTGTGCCATTGTCTTGCATTAACGAAGCATCATATACAATGTTTGATTTAGGATGTGATTGCTAACCAACAGTACTGGACAAAATGAGCTGGTAATGAATTAGCCTTAGTGGTTGTGGGGCAAGATGAATTTGGAACATGGGTGCAAATACCTTTAAAATAAATAAATAAAAGCTCATCTGAAAGGGTCTCTAACGTCTTAGAGCAAAAATAATCAATGAGTGAGTTGTTTATGAAATTCACATTTCTTTCTAGTTCAAGAAAGAAGATCTAATGTCTAACTCTAAAAGTCCCCAAGTCACATGACTACAAAATTTCCTGCTATCTCATTTTGTCCAACTATAGAGTGCTTAAGTAAATAGCTGAATCTGTTCAAACCTACTTTGTAGCAGTAAATGACACAGTGCATTATGGATTTTGCATGTAATGCTCCTTTAATTCATATAAAGCTAGTATCCTAACTTGGAGTCTAGTCATATAGGTCACTACATCAGTTGTCTCTGTCTTCGAATGTGTACAAACCCAGGTCCCTATGGAGTATAATCATCTTCAAGAAATTCCAATCATGGTTCTGAGGAACAGGCTGCTGCTGTTGCACCACATCTCTGAGCTTTTCTGCCCTTGCATCCCAATGTTTGACCTGGAGGGACGCCTGGGTCAGACTGGGCAGGGCCCGTCTGTGGGCTTCGACACACTCCGAGGCATCCTCATCTCGCAGGGCAAGGTCAGGAGAGGTTACTTCTGATATACACATTTGAATGACACTTGTTATATTGGAACATTCTAATATGATGCATTCTGATTCATAGGAGGCTGCGTTTCGTAAGGTGGTGCAAGCCACAATGGTGAGAGACCGGCAACATGGACCAGTGGTGGAGCTCAACCGAATACAGGTAAACATGCTGGTGACATGCTGGCAAGCTTCAAACGTTATTTTTTACATTGAAAATTATCATGTTACCTATTTATCCTTGGATTTCTTTTACACATGACATTCATATGATTTATTATTATACTGTGACTACAAATCTGCCCCAGTATTCTGCTCCACATGTGATGTTTTTTATAATACAGGGTACTTGTATCTGTTTGTGGGATGTACCAAGCATGTTCCAGTTAGCAGGGGGTCCCTCACCAGACTAGATTTCTGTTTATGGGCCACTGGTTCTCTGTAGGGCATGCAACCCTGGATGTCTGCCTGTGTGATCTCTGCACTGTAACAGAATAGCAGAATAACAGAACAATAGTGTAAAGTCCACTCCCTCTCATCCTCTTGTACATTCTCGATCTTTCTCTGTCTCTCTTTTTCTTTCTAAGGTAAAGCGTTCTCGAAGTAAGGGTGGTCTAGCAGGGCCAGATGGCACTAAGTCTGTGTTTGGGCAGATGTGTGCCAAGATGAGCTCCTTCAGCCCAGACAGTCTACTGCTGCCTCATCGGGTCTGGAAGGTCAAGTTTGTAGGTAAGCTTGTACCGGAACACTGCCAAGAATATTCCAAATAACACTGACCATTATGGGTCAGGCCAAAATGAGGCTACAAGACACCTACTAAAGCCTTTCATGACAACTGACGTAAACCTATATAACCATTTGTTCAAATGTCGTCATCACTCTTTCTGAGGTGAAGTGACATCAAAATTGACAAAAGCAGAATTTGACAATTGATGCTTGTTGGAAAAAGCCTTTATAAATGTTTATGCAGGTGTGCTAAATGCTCTAAGTAAGTGCCATGTAGCCTTACAAATGCTGCCTTTAGTAAAGTGTTGCCATCATGTCTAAGCAGATTAGTTTTCGCTGTTGCCTACAGCTCTTGTGTGTATTTGTGTGCAGGGGAGTCTGTAGATGACTGTGGAGGAGGCTATAGTGAGTCTATAGCAGAAATGTGCGAGGAGCTGCAGAATGGTCTCACTCCCCTGCTTATTGTCACTCCTAATGGCCGAGACGAGTCCGGAGCCAACAGAGACTGCTTCCTGCTGAATCCTGCTGCCAAGAGCCCTCTACACATGACCATGTTCCGCTTCTTAGGTACCCAACCTAACCCCACACTCAGGACTTAGGTTGTTGCATTATAGCTATTGAGCCCAAATCTGGAGACAGAAAATATTGTAATTTTTCATTTAAAAAAAGTGCTGAATTGCCTCATAATGGTTTGTTAGATAGTAGGGTTAATAAAGATAGACGCATGGTACAAGGCCTAGTTGTGCGTCTGTATTAGGGAGTCATGAATCTTAATTAATTTCCACCAAAACAGTAATTAACACACATGTAACTATACCTTGTTCCACACATGTATCTTTATTGCATCTTATAATGTTTTTACTACTGTATACACCAATCTGTGTAGAAGCAGAGGCTTGAAGTGTTATTTGACTTCAGGTTTTGCATTTACCTAAAAAGGGAATTTGAACGCCCCTTGACTTTGCAGCCATTCAGTTTTGATGTTTCTAAGTGTATTAACAGAATAATCCGGATTTTAAATTCTGTAAAGTTCCGCTCTTCCTAAATTTTGGTTATTAAAGCTAAAACCTGGAGCACACATAACATCACTGTGCAAAAAAGCTGCCATTTCGTTGTTGTCCATTGTTATTTTTAATAAACAATTGTCACATTTTTAGTTCCCTTGGCTGAGTCAGACAGTATGGTTGCAGATTGGTAAACTTCACTAAATTGAAGTAATTTCAGCCTCATTTTGCCTGGTTCAGTTTTAAACTGAATTTATGGTTCACTTTACTCTTCTGACTTCTACCATTTATTTACCTTTGTCTGTGTTGCTTGATGCATTAAGCTATTAAGTTTGTAAACTGATTTTGTGTGTGTGTGTTTGTGTGCGTGTGTTTTGTGTGTGTGTGTGTGTGTGTGTGTGTGTGTGTGTGTGTGTGTGTGTGTGTGTGTGTGTGTGTAGGAGTGCTCCTGGGTATAGCTATCCGTACAGGCAGTCCCCTCAGTTTGTACCTAGCTGAACCTGTGTGGAAGCAGCTTGCTGGCATGAACCTGACAATCGCTGATCTCAGTGAGGTAAGATGCTTTTGTTTGTGTGTGTTTGTAGAGGTGAAATGTTTTGTGGTGTGAATGGCACTGCTTGGGTATCTTTTCTACAGCTGGGGATTACATACAGTACTTCCCACAAATGGAGGTTGTGCTACTGTAGTGCTGCCATTTGAAGAAAAGAAAAAAAAAGAAATCTGTCTGCAGGTTATATAAGGTTCTCAGGCCCACTTAAATCCCTTATATAAACCACAAGATCAAACGAGTAGACACGGGATTTGTTACGTTCTTTACATTTTCCAGAGATCAGGTCAGCAGACGTGGTCATAGTTCTTCGTCTAATGTAAATATAAGCTGCTTTCTCAGAACTTATACTGTGTGGTACAAAACTATGTGACCTGTTGGTACATATGTACCCTAGAAATGCTGCATAACCTACAGGAGATAAAGCAGGGAGTGAAAGCTAGCTGTATGTGATTATAATTTAGGTTGAATTAAATTTTTTTTTTTGGTCATGTCTTCATTATTTGTATTGCATTTATTGCATATTTTACACTATTATATGTTTACCTGACCATGAACTGCATATGGAATCTAGCTAGTTCACTTTAGCTTTCTCTGGTGCAAAGCTTTTTTCCTCATTTATGAGTTTTAAATATTTGTTAGGTCTCAAACCCATAACATAGTTCTCAACCCATTTAAACCCCTTTTTGCTCTTATTAAAGGGGAACTCCACCAATTTCTCAAAAGTTCCACATAATTAAATGCTTAAGTAAGCAGAGTCATTCAGAATGGTTTGGTGTCAAATGCTCTGTTCTAAAGAAACTTCCCAAGTTAGAATTGTTCACACTCGAAGTGATAGAAAGACATCTTCCTCTAAAATCTCCTCACACGAATTACTTGAAGTTATTAGATGTATGTCTCCCTGATACCTGAGGCATTGTTTATCATAGTTTTTTGATAAAGTTTTGGCCTAAAACATCTTGTTAATCTATTTATTTTTATCCATTTATGGCAGTGGGGTACATGCAAGGTGTTGTGAGGGCAGTTTCTTCCAGATTTTCCACTATTTTACTATCATCACCCTGCCATATAAAAATGCAGAAGACACGTGTAGGTTCACTGGTGCATTTAGACAGTAAATAAAATGTATATTTATTTGTGTTGTAGACATGGCGACCTCTGGTTTCTGTCACTACCACTGTAAAGAAATCTGAGTCTGTTACTTTATAACAGACCATGTCATGTCAGACCACTCTAAATGACTTTGTGTACATTGCAAAGACAGAATTATTCAGAATTTTGAAACATATGTGTAATTCCTCTTTAAGTCCAACTCTTTTATAAAGTTTGAATTGGGAAATGGCTACCTTTTTCATATCTTTGTTTAAGTTATTTCTTTATTTATGTTGCAAAATTTGATGGTGAGGGATAAGGGAGAGATGGAATGTGTGTGAGAGAGAGGGATAGCTCTCCTGTGTTCACGCTGAAATCATGAGATGCTGAAATGTGTGTAGAGACTGGGCTCTGCATTGCAGGATGGCCTTTACTCACAGAGCTGCTCTTGTTCAGAGTCTTTTGCCTAAAGCTATCAAAAAAGTTAAAGAGGAAGTCTTTTCACCACAAGACTACAACAAGCAGACACACACTCTCTCACACATGCAGTCATTCACAGAGGTGTGCACAGGTCTAATATTCAGCCAGTGGTCAAACCTGTTTTTATATCTAAATCGCAATTTGAAAGATTGCATTTTTGATGAATTATGTCCCACATTACTCAATGTTCCCTTAACAAGTTTTAAGTGGGAAATTTTGGAAATATAGCAGAGCTTGAACTGGTAGTCTGGCACACCACTACATTCAGCATGCCATCCTCACCCGAGTTGTTTAGCCCTACATTAACCAATACATGTTATCATTAGTTTCCCATGAGAAATGAAATTTACTCTGTTAATTGACCTGTTTCAGTTTCAAATTGCATGTCTCCTGTGTCATACTATGCACTGAATGGCATAACGTAGTACCCTAAAGCTTTGTATACGTGTTCAGGTGGATAAGGACTTCATCCCTGGCCTAATGTATATCAGAGATAATGAGGCATCAGCAGAAGAGTTTGAGGCCATGCCCCTGCCTTTCACTGTGCCCAATGCCTGTGGCCAGGAGGTGCAGCTAAGCTCCAAACACTCTCACATCAGCCTAGAGAACCGCACAGAGTATGTGCGCCTCGCAATCAACTACAGGTGAGTGCTGAAATCTTTCTAAAGCAGTCAGTTATGCAGTAATCCTGTTCGTTTTAAGATATGTTCAATTCGTAGTGGTAGTGTTGCCAGTTAACTACCCAAACAAGCTCTGATTGAGCAGACAGGATGTTCAGTTGCTTGTTTTGCAGTTTGAGCAGTCTCAGTATTCAGTTACTCAGTCAGCAACATTTGCAGTAACTAAGTCTGTGTATATACTCACTTTGCTCTGTTGGTCTGAAATTACAAGGTATAAAAGTTAATATGTCAGCAAAGCTGCTGTAGCATGATTTCTCAACATTTTATTGCTCTGTACTCAGGAACTCAGCATGCTGTTGTGAATGAGTGTCCATAGATGGTGTAGGGATACACCGATACCACTATGGATACATGATCGGCCATACTGAGTACTGATGCTGATACTACCTCTGTTTAACCTTACTAGCTTATAAGTCCCGATATTGATATAATTCTGCTTTTTAAACATATTATTTTGGTAATGATGTCCCTTGTCACTAATAAAACATATCAAGCTTAAATGATTTCAGATGCTTAAGACTAAGATATATTTGTTCATTTACTATGTATAGTTAGTATTTACTATTATACTTCTATTAGTATAAAGAACCATATTTAACAACTGAGATAAATGCAAAACATTTTTATTGTGTGAAATGGTTTAAAACAAAACCAAACAATATATGGTTAAACCTGTGGTCTGTATATGTAAATATGCAGCACCGGTGCATCCTCATTTCTGAAGTTGTCCGATACGTACGTTCCGTGCACTCGCGCTTACACTTCAGAGTGTCAGTCTCTACACTGTTCGTATGTTGCATTATCTAGTATATTTGTGACATTGGTGAAACCAATAGGTTAGGAAGAATTCCAAATCGTGTATCACCCATTACTATTGCCTTTTCATGAAATACTGGCATTACAGATTTTGCCATGAGTGTTTTACTTCGCTTGTCAACCTATACCACAAGCGTGCTGTTAAGTTCTCTCTGCTGGCACACATACGCACGTCAGCACACATGTACATCAGAAATCGCTTTGTGGTATTGGTCATAGGTATCAGTATCCCCATCACCGATACGGATCAGGCTGTAGCTACACCAGTGCGGTATCGGTAGTCTGTAGGGCTTGCATTTGGTGTGCAGTGTGAGCACAAACATCGCAGCATGTCAGTTGGACCGAGCGTTTTCATACATTGTTACAGCGTGTATAAATTATAGACTTTGGCTGACTTTGTCACCAAAGAATAAGATCAAAAATGGCACAGTGTAAGACAGGAAAAAAATCACACAGTGTATGCCTGGCTTTAGATTTACGGTCAGACCTGCTTTCTGATTTGCACTAGTATTCTTGTCAGAAGAGTTTCTCCCAGCCTTTACAGTAGCTGTGCCTATTTGATCATGAGGCCTAGTTCAGCCACTTACATAAAAGTACATCATATGCTCACACATCCCAGTCAACCATGGCAAATCTGCATTGGAACATGGCCAATTTGCAGTGTTTCTGTTTTTCCTGACATCTTGGCTGCATATTGTGCCTACGGGACTTTATTTGTCTGCCTTTGTCAGCTCACTGCTGACTGATTTTCTTGTGTGTGCAGGTTGCATGAGTTCGACGAGCAGGTGGCTGCAGTGAGGGAGGGTATGGCCCGGGTTGTGCCTGTGCCTCTGCTCTCTCTTTTCACCGGTTATGAGCTGGAGACCATGGTAAGAGCCCTCACACACATCACACCACATTTAAGGGCTGGGCAATATGGTTATGTAATTGGAAATCAGCAGTGATTTACAAGCAACCTGAATCTGATCCTTGATGATGATCCCCAGTTTTGGGGAAAAAGAAATGATGAGGAACTAAATAGGAAAAATTCAATAAGCAAAAAGAAAATATTGTGATAATTACATTTTAGATATCGCCCAGCCCTGGAAGGCACTCTTATTAGGGGCCTACTCTCAAAATATAGAGACCAGGGAGGACAGAGAAGAAGGGTGGTGACACTGTGATGGATACTGATATGAGCCTGGTGTGTGCTGAAAGACTTGTTTTATGCTCATTCTGATTACTGTGCCTGTACGTTTGGCCTGCAGGTGTGTGGCAGTCCTGACATTCCACTGCACCTGCTGAAGTCTGTAGCTACCTATAAGGGGGTAGAACCCACAGCTCCACTCATCCAGTGGTTCTGGGAGGTGATGGAGTCCTTCTCCAATACAGAGCGTTCGCTCTTCCTTAGGTTTGTGTGGGGACGAACGCGCCTACCCAGGACTATCGCAGACTTCCGTGGACGAGACTTTGTGGTGCAGGTGAGGGGGCATGTTCAGCCTGATCAGCACAAGCCAACGTAGTCACCTTTTTCTAACTTAGATTAGCTTTGTTGCACTATGTATATAATCTATAAAAAATTACCTATCAGACTTATGAAAATCTTTATCTATTTCTGAGACTTCAGGTACATACATAATTTTTTTTTTCAGGGGCCCGTACATGGCTTTGTTCGGAGATGATGATGGTTATGACAATTGAATCATATTTGGCTATGTCCACGTTACATATCCCACTGATCTCTGTATTGGGATTGATTGATGCAATTCTCTAATAAATCTAGCTGAAATATTAGACACAACAAAGTGGAAAGCAAAGTGAAGGTCACATGATAACAGTAACCTAATGTTAATATAATTATAACAAGTAGCTAGCTATACAGCTAAACATATAAAGAAGTTGCTCTTGTGTTATCTGTATGGAAATGTGTTTCGTAATAAAAAGTAAAAACAACAGAGAAAAAAGAAAAAAAATCAAAAATAAACAAATAAAAATGCAACAAATGAAAACCATAGCAGAAAAGGGATGTATTAACAATAAGTGAAATTAAAATGCACAAGTATGAATAAAACACACAATAAAAATACAACTAACAAGAAAGTAAAAGTAATATTGAGGTAAAATAAGGGAAACAACAAAAAAATAGTTAAACGCTGAAGTAAAGAAATATGTTTTTAAAAGTTTTTAAAAAACATTGACCAAAGAAGCCTGACTGATGTTTATTGGTACTGTGTTCTAGATCTTTGGTGCATAAAAACAGAGCACTGCCTGTATGCTTTCAGAAAAGAAAAAGTGGTATTTTGCCACCTCTAGTTTTCATTACAGGGTTGAAGTGGCACAAATCCTATTTTTACCTAAATTTAACACAAGTTTGCCTTTTTTAAGAGCTGTATAAACAACAAAGTCTCATTTTTAAATCAGATTTGAGCCACTTTCATATGAGGTCTGCTCTCGGCTCAGGTGCTCAGGAGCGTGAGCGCCTTTTAAAAGAGCTGAGAGGGAACAGAGAGAGAGAGAGGGAACGAGAGCTCGCTGCTCCACCTCCTTGTCACCGCACCCAGCTGGCAGCTCAGCCGCCCGGGTTGAATGTGAGGTGTAATGGAGTGGCCTCGCTGCGTAACAGGGGACGGGGCCCAGGCGGCAGAGCTCGGGACTCGCTCCTTGCCCTGGTGCCTCTCGTTGCTGGCGCCATCGTCATCCTCCTCCTCCTCCCGCCGTCACTCGCGGGGGTGGGCGCATGCCACAAGGTCATAGGCCCATGCATGACTGTGGGTATAATGAAAAGGGACAGATTGTTATTCATTTATTTATTTATGTATTTATTTATTTATTTGTCACACTTTACAGCATCATTCAGAGTCAGCAGCAGCTAACGTGTTGATAAAATCTCTGCATGTGGTTCCTTTCAAGGCACAACTAATGACAGATATAGATGTGAACCATCAAAGCAGAATGATTTGAGCAGCTGTATTGAGTAGTAAGGCTTGTAATGGGAACACGCATCACTAGCAAAGTTCATCCCCCTTTACGTTTATGATCATTTTTTTCCCCACTTCCAGGTGCTGGACAAGTACAATCCACCTGACCACTTCCTCCCAGAGTCATACACCTGCTTCTTCCTGCTCAAACTGCCTCGTTACTCCTGTAAACTGGTTCTGGAGGAGAAGCTAAAGTACGCCATCCACTTCTGCAAGTCTATCGATACAGACGACTATGCGCGCATTGCGCTGAGTGGGGAGCCTGCAGCCGACGACAGCAGTGATGACTCCGACAACGAGGATGCAGACTCTTTTGCGTCCGACTCCACACAGGACTACCTAACCGGACACTGACCTCTGCGTATCACGGTCTCACCCACGCACACCCTCACGCACACACACTCCTTGATGTGGCAGATGCAACACATGGAGAGTCATAGTAATATGCTGCCAAGCAAAGAGAAGAAAACAAATATAGAAAATAAAAAGGACTGAAGATTTGTTTTAAACTCACTTAAACACATACACGCATATGTACTACCATGACTAAAATGAAGAGGTAAAAATGTATCTTTATGTGCAATTAGCTTTGAAAGCACTATAAGCTGATGAAGAAAACTTTTTGTTTATTTAAAAAAGAGCCAGAGAGTGAGGGGAGAAACTGCACATTTGATTGTTTGTAGACGTTGTGTTTATATATTTTATGACTGCGGACAGAAAGGCCGCCTAGCCTAGCACTGTGGTAGACGACCCCTGACACTCCCCCTTACCCCTCCTCCCTCAGTCTTGCTTTGTTGTTTTATTTTAAAAAGCATCAAACAGCAATTCCTCATCCTCCTTCTCAAAAAATAGCAGTGTTTCTTTCTAAGAACCTTTTTAACTTTGAACCGTAAGAATCATGTTAATTTGACTTGGTGTCAATGGGAGCTCGTTCAGGGGTTGTTTTTAGGTCGTCGGTCACTGTATTACGTGTTCTCTCCCCCTCCATCTCAATGTGTGTCTGCACTGGCTTCCTGATGGAATGTAAATAATATTATTGTGCCATGTGTTCATAAGATGTCTCATTCCCATGTAATAAAATAAATGTTAATAAATTTCTGTTAAAAAATGTAAATCCAAATAATATTGTTTTGCTTGTATTCAGTGGACCTAATCAGCAGTTTGAAAAGCACAAAGCCAGTGTGTTTTTTTCCAGTATTGATACGGCTGAATCTGGTTTAGCCAGTGCAGTCTTTATGTGAAAGTAGTAAAAATCTATTTATTATATTTTGTTTTACACGTTTTAGAAGTGGGCGGCATGGTGGTGCAGTGGGTAGCGCTGTCACCTCACAGCAAGAATGGCCTGGGTTCGATTCCTGGCCGGGCGACCAGGGTCATTTCTGTGTGGAATTTGCATGTTCCCCCATGTTACCCACATCAGCAGGATCTCACAAATACTTTGTCACATATTGCCTGAAATGCACCATATGTGTGTATGCCAACTTGCGTTACATTGGGGTATGAAAACAGCTGTTTACTGATGGGGGGAAATGTTCAGTCAATCAGAATAACAGTACTCCAGCTAATATTGAGATGACCCCAGGCAAAAAAAAAGCACCAGGCCATATGGACTAGCGCAGCATCGCATTAATCATACCGTGTCCTTGTCAAATCAATATATAGACATTGCAAGGTTCAGTGATGTTTTTGTGTTCAAAATAGATGAAATCTCTTGTAGCCTGGTTCTGTGTTGGAAATAACGATACTTAAATATTAAAACTTAATCAGGCTTTAGTCCAGGTGAATTGTACAGTTTGTACTTTTGATCAAAGAAGCATTTTATTTAGGATTCCCACACCCTGTCCCTCTAACAGTTTCTGCAGTTCTTTTGGTGTTAGCATGGTAGGATTAATGAAATTCCTCCTAATGATCTATGTGGCTATGGTTAGATTAATGACTGGACCACCAAGGGGCTTCAAAAGACTGTTCATTGAAGTTCAGTACTTTAAAGGGAGGCTTCAATTTTCCATGTGTGGGCAATGATCTATCTATCTGTCTGTCTGTCTGACAGTTGTCACCCTTCAAGTTGTATATCGCTGGTGTCGGAATAAAACTTTGTATATCCATTGTTGTATATGCACTGTTCAGTGTAAATTTTATGATGAATGGATCAAAAGAAACAGCCCAAAATTACTTGGAAAAGGTCTGATTACATTGACTTACATCAAAAGTAAACCAGACAAGTTTTTTGCTTCTCCTGTAAAGTTAGCATTTTGCAGATATGAGGTTTTGTTCTGACAGCACTGATTTTATGTGTATGTGTGTGTGTGTGTGTGTGTGTGTGTGTGTGTGTGTGTGTATGTATGTGTATATATATATATATATATATATATATATATATATATATATATATATATATATATATATATATATATATATATGACTGTAGTAGAGACTGCTACCTCCGCACACCAATTTAGTACAAACTCTTTTGGCTTTTCATTCAGTAGTATTGTTAGAGGTCACTTAATTTTCAATAAAACATTGGTTCACATTCTAATTAATCAACAGAAATAACTGATTTTTCATTACAAAAAAAAATTAACAGATCTGTCCAGTTTCATTGGATTAATTTTGAAAGGTAGGGATCACTAAGTAGGTAGATGAGGAAAATGCAGGCAAATCCATCAACCAGTCATCAACAAACAAAGGCAGGTAAAAGTCAAAAATTAAAAGAATTGACTAGGCATGTTTGGAAACACGGCTAAGAACTGCATGAAAACTGCTGAGAACAAATTTATTACAAATGTAACTGTGGTTCTATAAATGCTGGATGTCTGCCAGAGGGTGCCTTACCCGTAGTTCCCTAGCGCATAGCGCGGATCAAGACTTATGCCTCCAAAGTCATGTGTAATGTTGCTTGTGCTACAAAGAGAATTGTCATATTCATTTGTCCTCTGCAAACTTCTCATGTCGCCACAATGCATCTGAGTGAGGAGTAGCTCTGGCAGTCATCCGGCATTCATAGATTCACAGTTACATTCCTAATTAATGTTCAATTTCATGCCTCCATACTGCTAGAGGGCATTTTAGCCTATGGATGACTACCAGCATAGTCAGGAGGACAGGTGCATCACCATCAAGGCTGATCAATGGCTGACAGAACTGAAGCACACAAATGCATAGTTGATGATAATAAAATAAGATGACCAGGTTGCTGCCACACAAATGTTTGAAAGTGGAACTTCTCTAAGAGGAGCCCATGATGCAGAGAGGCTCCTTGTTGAGTGACATACCCCAAAGCAAATAAAGGGCTGGCCAGTGTGATGAATAGACTCCATTATCTACACAAAATGCTTGAGTGCATAAAAGCCAGCGTCAGTCATCAGAAATTTCTGTGTAAGCCAACAATTCAGTAGACTGATTGACACAGGATGGTGACATACCATTAGGCAGAAAGGATGGATTAGGCAACAGGGTGACACCAGAAAAGTCTGGCTTCCACCACAAACAGGTGGTGCTAACAGAAATTGTGTGCAATTCACAAACCTGTTTTGCAGAGACCATTGCTAATAAGAAAGCAGTCCATCTGAGGTAGTGGTTCAAAAGAGGGTATGCACAATGAATCCAGTGTCCATTGTTGGTCCCATTGAGAGCTATGTGGTGCCTGTATGGTTACAGGCATCTTGCACCTTTGAGAAAACTACAGACGAGTCTATGGGCCCCCAGAGATTAGCTGTCCAGTCCTGCATGCCTAGTAGATATGGCAGCCACATACTTTTTTAACTGTGGAAGGTGATTTACCTTCATCCAGAAGCTGTTGGAGAAATTTTGACACCACTGGAAAATCACAGTGTGAAAGTGATACCCCCAAAGCTTCACACCAACTAGAAAACAGTTTCCATCTGTTAGCATACAGCAGTTTTGCTGGAGTTCTCACATCATTCATGATATTGAATACTGCTGTTATGTTGTCCAAACAAATGAGGACATGACAACCCTCTAACCTTGGTAGGAAGTGGCGTAGAGCCATAAACACCACTCTCAACTTTAACAGATTTACATGCTCTGTGGTGTAGTTTGGGCTCCAGGAGCCGTGAAATGCTCAGTGCTGCCAAACTGCCCCCACGCCTGTTAATGAAGCATCAGTGGAAACCACTTCTCCGTGCATAGTGAAGGAGGCATCCCAGGCGAATTTGTGCCACTGGGTTCTAAAAGTCTTCTATGCACCATGGCAACTAGGGGTGGGAATCTCTAGGCACCTCATGATTCGATTCGATTACGATTCAGAGGGCTGCGATGCGATTATAAAATGATTATCGATGCATCTCGATGCATCTTTTTTTTCTGTACAAGATTTCTATTTTCTTACTGTCTGAGGACTTGGTAGTTTTAAAGCAAAGCATTTGTAATGATCCATAATGCATTTACTTCCAATATATTTTATTAATAAATCAAATGGAAGTGATGTGGTAAGTGAACTAGAAGACTCTCATTCACTGCTGTTGTTTGGAGCGCATGAGACGCTGCTGCCACTCATCGGTGATAAAATGCGCTGTTAGGGTGAAATAAGATCCAGTGGTGATAGATGTCCACGCAGCACGTTCCAGCCGTCCTGCCCGTTTTCTTTAGTGATTTTATAACTTCAGTTTTGGTCTCGTGGTAGAGACGGAGGGGAGGGGGGTCGCTGTGACAGTAAAATATCTTCGAGACGGGACGTGAGCAACATAGCGCGAAAGCCCTGTTTTGCAACGACTGAGAATTGGCGTGCAGACTTCAGGTCATCTAGCAACGAGGTTTCTCCGAGCGAGTAGCGAACAAAACAGGAAAAGAGAAAGACAGACGAACATTTGGAGACAAATGGACTTATTCGCATTTATAAGCAGCGCAGTTGGTTTCCTGGTACGTTAAATCTGCAACAAGAAACTGTCAAACACTAAAAAGTCGCACAGCTGAAGTCGCTTCTCTTTCTAATTTTCCCGTTCCACCTTAAATAGTGCCACGTTTACGTTCTGGCACCTCATGCAGAATTTAAGGTGGAACGGGAAAATTCGAACAAGAAGCTGGAGAATAAGAAGCGACTTCAGCCTCGTAAAACAGTTGAGCTTTGAGAGACATTTTACAAGAAACTATTAAACTTTTGAGGAAAAGTTTTCTGGCGGAGGTGGAAGAAAAGCGGCTATAGCCGCATCGCAATGCATCTAAGAATCGATTTTTTCCCGCACCCCTAATGGCAACAATGTTGCGGTGACATGGGCTGAAAATTCAGAACTATACCTGTGAACCCAGTGGTTTGGCTAGGGGTTAGTGAGCTCTTCTCCAGGTTGACCTTCAACCCCAATTTCCTGATATGGAGTTTTAGTGCAGTGATGTTTGCCAGAGTTGGTTCTTGAGTAGGTGAACATACCAGCCAGTCGTCCAAGTAGGCAAAATCTTCATACCCACTTCCATTAGAGGAGACTAAGCTGCCTGCATGCATCTGGAGAAAACTCTTGGAGCTAGGGGCAGACCAAATGGCAGGACACTGAACTGGAAGTGATGGAAGCCATGCCCTGTAAAGATAGCAGTTTCCACCATTGCAGTGACTGCAGGGAGGGGCGGACATGTGCGGTTTGAGGAACACTCACTTGTTACTGACAAGACTCAGACACAAGTATATGACATTCCATAGCATCCTTAGCTGGTGCAAAGAGGTGGCCAGGTACAAAATGAAGCTCTCAGCGTGTAGTTCTACGTGTGTCTGGCAGAGGAGTCTGTGAAAACCATACCTGGCATTGTGCCTGTACAAAGACTGCCATTAAACACGCCAGTTCCTGGTAATGAATCCCAGCCCAGAGAGATGACACTGGTATCTACAGGAATTATTAGTTCTAAGCCAAACTCGGATGAATCTGCTATTTTCCCAATCGCAGGGATGTGTCCACGTAGCAGTGGGCTTACGTACAGAAAGAAACTCTTCGATGGATGCTTCTCATTTAGGAATGAGGACAGGCGCTTCCATGGAGGATCGTCTGAAGTAGGCACTTGTGCCAGTAGTTGTCTCCAATCATAGATGATTCAGGGCTTGGATGGTGGCTAACAAGGAATGAGAGCTACTTGCTGTGCTCTTGTCTGTCTCACCTGGGTCCACACCGA